TTCCGGGGTCTTTCCGATTTTCCGGGTAGTAAGTTTCCGAGAAAAACAACAACCATTTTTTGAATCAGCGTAAAATGTCGGACATTTGAAAAAAAAATGAATTTCGGTCACGTTCATCATACCAAATTTCATCAAAATCGGGTAATTTTTCCTCGAGTTATCGTGCTAACGGACACATGTATAAATATAGACGGTGGTGTTTTTGGCCTCTGTTGACCTCAAAACTAAAAAGTAAATCGATCCCGGGTTCAGGTCTTACCGTGAGACCTACGGTAATAGCTTATTCCCTATTTAGGAAATTACATTGGTGTGCTGTTCCAAGCATTAACCACATACACGGCCGCCTGTAAGGCGGCCGTGCCTGTGCCTGTGCTATTACCAGCGTTATATATTCAATGCCCTCTCCCTCTGTTATATATTTTCTATTTGCATTCCTCAACAATCATATGTTAATTTAAATATTTATTATTCCTGATATTTTTACTATTGTAATTATCAAAACATTGTTCTCAATACAAGACTCTGTTACAACTCCATCTTGAAATAATTTATTCAAATATTAATTATCTAATATTCCTTCAAGTATTTTAAAGTGGCGACGAGGAAAACGGCAAGATGGACCAGGAACAGTTTCAATTATTTCTACAAACACTCACAACAGCTCTTCAAGGTATGTTTGATTCACAACCATCAAAGAATTTAACACTGATTTCAAATTTTGACCAGTTTGACTGTACACAAGAAACGTTTTCTCAATACAAAGAGAGATTTGAAAACTACTTGAAGTTGAAACACGTTTTCTCAGACAAAGATCTCTGTGCCCAGATATTTATTAACAGTCTAGGCTCTTCTGGCTACGACTTGTTGTCTACATTATCGTTGCCAAGAAAGGTAAATGAGCTGAAGTACGAAGAGCTTACTGCCTTAATGACAAATCACTTTCCTGCTCAAAACGAAATTTTCGAACAACACAAATTCTTTTCTCGGGTACAAAAGTCTGATGAGTCTATTTCCAGTTATGTCATGTCCATCAAAAAGCAAATTTCGACTTGTAATGTGGCCTGTTCTACTTGTAACGCTTCCGTTTCTGACCTATTCCTCAGGGCACAATTCATACGAGGAATTAGGGATTCTTCCATAAGGGAGAACCTTCTTCAACAGAAGGATCTAACTTTTGACTCTGCTGTAACACGAGCTTTAGCGATTGAAGCTTCGAAGCTGAATTCCAATGCCATAGACGAGTTTTCGCAGCAGTCACAACCGTCTTACAGCAACGTAGGCGTCAACAAGTTGGCAGGACATTCGAAAAGGCACCGATCGTCAGCTAGATTCAACCATCGTTCGTCAGGCGAGAGCAGCAGTCGTTCTTCCGACAGCAGTCGCAACAGCTCAATTTCTTCTGCTACACTACAAGGACATTATAGGCGCAAAGAACAAGTTGATTTAATTGCTCTTGGCTTGAATGGCGTTTGTCTTCGGTGTGGCAAGAACAATCATACGTCACATCAATGCAGACTGCACAGATCTCGAGTCCGCTCTGTAATGCCTGTAACAAAAAGGGCCACATTTCGATGGTATGTATCAAGTCCCTACTATCTAAACAAAGTGGTTCAAAATGTGGTTCAAAATCAATCAAAAACTTAAATCTAGATAATGATAACCAGTCCGTGGAGTCAGATGTTGATGATATATATGGCGTAGGTCAAGTTGGAAACATTCATGACATACACCTGTCAGAGACTGATAAGTTTATAACGACAGTTCTTATTAATGACAGGCCTCAAAAATTCGAGGTTGATTCAGGATGCGCCCACACTCTACTTCCTAGAGGAGACTTAAAGCGTTTAAACATTTCAATGGACACTTTAACCCCAACATCTGTCAAATTTCGCTCTTACACAGGGGAGCTACTTTCTCCGCTGGGCATTGACAAGATCGCGCCACTCATCCCACACTCACCCTTCACTCATATTTGGGTTAAAATACGCACATAGTGGCGTCCCCATCTTAAATAATTGATAATTGATAATTGATAATTGATAATTGCTTCAGTACGCGTGAAAAGCAATGGGACATCAACCGTCGACCAGTTATTTGTTGTTCCTGACGGATACAGTCCTCTTTTAGGTCGAACATGGATACGACACTTGCAAATCAACCTAAGTAAGAAAAAATCAGAAAATGATCTAAATCATCCACAGAAGATACATGTGTCAGAAAAAACTAGCTGGAAAAAGTCTTCCACCAAAAAGAAGGAATTTAGTGAAATCATTGAAAATGCAGACTTGACATTTTTCCCTCCGTTAAACGCTACCAGTTATTCATCCACCAGCCATTCGTCCACTAATCATTCGTCTACTAGTCATTCATCCACCAGTCATGCATCAACCAGTCATCAACCAGACACAAGTACATCTGTAGGGTCAACCGGGGCTAATATGAACACACCAAAATATTGGGGCTAATATGAACAATGACTTAAAAAGTCATTTATCTGGGATTTTTAATCATGAAAAAAATATAATTAGAAAGGAAATTTACTGTATTTTTTGTGTCCATAATGAGAAAACTTCAAATTTGACTTTTAGGTACTTTAAAAAAATACTTTGTTAAAACACTTTTTTTCCGCCCAAAAAACTTTTCCGCGCAAAGTGAAAACTTTTGTTATAACAATTTTTACATTGGTTGTAGGAATAATCTTAAGCCTGAATTTTGTTAAATAAGAATTGGGGATTATTTTTCTTTTCCCAAAGTTAAAATATATTAATAACAGCCAAAGTTATAAGCTTTCAAAGTTGGGGGGCTAATGTGAACAGTGAATGGGGGCTATTATGAACAACAATATATACAGTATATATTGTACTATATATACAAGCTCAGGCTGACGGGGAGATCGAAGTGATGGGATTTAAATCCTGTGATGAGGAAAAAAAATCATTCCTGAAAAAAGAAGATGGTATATTTATTGTTTCTACCACTGACATTTTGGGGAAACTTCCAGCCCCTAATGTATGTGGAACCAGTGATAGACATAAGTATGTCTTCGACAAAATTGTCGAAGTTTTTGAGGCGTAAGTTCCTCAATAAACTTCTTTGAAGGCCTTACAGTGATAAAACAGTTTTAATTTTACAAAGACAACAGTTAAGGTGTTGAACAGGCCTAGCCCACATTTTTATATTTACCTAATAGGCCTAAAAGTGCAATAAACTGTCATTTGCCTAAACGAAAAATTTGCATTGTCTTAAATTATTGTTTTTTTAAGTGCTTTAAACAATTTGTATGTGGAAGAAATTTTTAATAAATAGGTACTCAGGTATGTTGACAGATAATTTTTTTCTTGTTTATATCTTATTATTAGCCCTGTATAATATTTATAAATGGTTTAAAAAAAAAGGGTTACCGTAGGGCGACCCGCGGCTCTCCAAAGATACCTTCATATCTCAAAAACTATTTAAGATAAAATATTGAGACTTATTGCAACTGGTAGACTAGACCCTAGGCTTGTTCACAACAGCCCCCACATATGCCTAGTGTTGTAAATAACAGAGTTATTAAGAGTGTTCACATTAGCCCCATGGGCTGTTCACATTAGCCCCTTTTAGCGGGGCTAATGTGAACAGTGGTTTTTAATTTTTTTTTTTAATAATGGTTACATTTATGGTTTTTGTTAGTAAATAAATAGATTCAGCTAAAAGAGCTGTATACACTACTATTTTTTCTTTTCTTCTGTCATTTACCATTTTTGAGTTAACGTCAAAAGTTTACTTTTTTTGTTCATATTAGCCCCGGTTGACCCTATATTATCGACCAACACCTTCACGACGACATTCATCAAGACAGATCAAACGACCGACACGATACACGACTTGAACACTTCCTCAGTGCGGAAGAATCTGTTATATATTTTCTATTTGCATTCCTCAACAATCATATGTTAATTTAAATATTTATTATCTTACTAATATTATAAATGTGAAAGTTTGTGTGTTTGTTTGTTTGTTTGTTTGTTTGTTTGTTTGTTTGTTTGTTTGAAGTTCAATCACGCATAAACCACTGGACGGATTGGGCTGAAATTTTGCATGATGATAATTTACATTCCCGATTAACATATAGGCATATTCTTATCTCAAAAATCCTTTCGGGCTCCGCCCCAGTGGCTCTGTAATTCCCCATGTTAACCTTATGAGTATTCATATTTAAAGGGAGTTAAAGAATTTAGTCAGCTGTTTCAACTAAAAAAGTTGGTTCTATGATATAGAAAAGCATTAAAAAGTTATAAGATTTACCAACAGGGTGCAGCACTATATTTTTTTTGCATTTATGAAAACTGCTAATATGAACTAAGCAGCAACAAAAAACTGTGATTCGCAATGAGAACTGTAAAGTAGGATTGTTTACAGTTATGTTTATGTTTTTCATTTCATGAATATTTTGTGATATTTTGCAAATTGTTGATAATTTATTTTTCTCTATTGTTTAGATGAAGTGGTAGAACATTATGGCTATGGTAGATGTGTAATACTATAGAATACTGTAAATTTAAAAAAGCAAATTTTATCAAACTGTTTCCTCCCTTATTGCAAACGCAAAGCTTGAGTATAACTGCAATAGCATTTTATACTTATATTCCAACCCCGTACGAAGGACGGGTACTCTGCTAGTTCCTGATATTTTTACTATTGTAATTATCAAAACATTGTTCTCAATACAAGACTCTTTTACAACACCATCTTGAAATAATTTATTCAAATATTAATTATCTAATATTACTTCAAGTATTTTAAACCCTCCTACCTTTCCACCCATTCCACAATCCAAATCCAATCCACCATCCATCCATCATCTTCGTCTTCGTTCCTTCATTCTTCGTTGTCGTCGTCTCGTCCGTCAGTCCAGTCCAGTCTCCCACTCTCCAGTGCCAGTCAGTCCAGTCGTCGGCTTCCTGCTTCCTTTTTTTCTTTTTCGTTCGTCACCGGCACCATTAGCTAGCATTATTGTTATTATTAATTATTATTTATTAGCAATACTGTACTGAAAGAAAGTTAAGTTCCAACTCCAAGTTGAACTTGAAGCCGAAAATCGGAATTAGTGAAGAATTCTTGAAAGAATAACTTCCGTCAGTTTTCCTTGGATTGATTAGTGTTTGTGTCTATAATAGGTATAATAGGTACGTAAGCTTTTAATTCAGTATTCGTTAAAAGGCCTACGGTAACTTGGTTTAGCTAGGACCATAGACAAACCAACACAAACTAAGGGAGTATGTTTTATCTATGGTTAGGACCTTCAGCAATTTCAATTGTTGTCATTGTCAAACACAAGACCCTACGTATGTCTGAACATTACTCCTAAACTAAGGATTAAGTTTAACTTAGTGGAACAACTGTTACATTCAGATAGGCTAACTGGAATAGCATGAATAGCTTAAAAAGCCTATATTCCTAACCTTTCCACTAAGTTATTAAGGGCTTTGCCAAATCTACTATTAACTTGAGGCTAATCCCTTAGGAACATCGAACGTGGATAAAATATGAAGATTTTTTGGGCAATGAAAGCCTTCTATCAACCAAACTGCAATGACATAAGTTAGGCCTGAATTAGGTAGGTAGGCTAAGTTAATTTGTTGCTGGCAGTCTTAGCAGGTCTAGCCTCTAAGACCCTACTTAGGGCCTAGGCCTACTCAACCCTAGATCTGGCGCTGGTCGATTATCGACCAAGACAACATTGGTTGGGTTTTTCTATCATAAAATATTAAAACATTTTTGAGCGCAATGAATCTTAAACTTAGGCTAACTTAACCATTGACTTGGAGAGATTCCATTCTGGGGATTCATTTTCATATAGCCCAAAACATTATCGAGCGAGTAACTTATGTAGCGAGAAACATAGTTGGAAAAAATAAAGAGTTTAAAATATATTTTGGCAACAGAAAGTTTGATCATCACCTGACAGCTGTTTTTGGCAATTGACAATTGTAAGTTACCTATATAACTTACAATATTGTTAACCCTTATAATAATATAAGTAAGTTATGGGTGAAAAACAGATTTCGTACATTTAGCGGTAGCCTAGGTAAGAATGCATAGCCTAACCATAGCTACGAATCTGGCCGATAATTTACATCAATATCACTAGGGCTACCTACTTCTTCAGGATCATCAACCAGCCCTTAAAGATCACTTAAATCTTCTTATAATGCACCACGTAGCCTATATCACTACTTTTTACTTTTTATTTTTAACACTAAAACAATGATAAATGTAATAATACACATCAGTCATCGGTGCGAGGTTTTTTAACCAAGTTGTTTACAAATAGGCCTACACACGTCAGCTGTCTGCTACAATATTTTTGGAACAAAAATGAAAAGCGTCTAGAAACAGACATCAGGAGAAAGCTTAGAATCTGCCGAAAACAACGATACCGTACCAATCTCAATCCAGTTCAATCTGATTCAGTCAGTCCCAGAGCCTTCCCCATAAACAATGTTTGTGTGTCGCAAAAGTGATGCATAACACCACGGCGGGTGTGTTGTGCGTCGATTACGCGACGCGTAACACTCGGAGGGCTAAGTTACCGGTACATATTCTGATACTACAATAAATTCCCTACAATTCTCATTTATATCTCCAAATCCGAATTTGGCTGTAAAAATGTTAACTTAACACTAAACTTACGGTACGGTATGTGGTTTTTAAAATGTCATACAAATTAACTTAACTTTATGTTTTCATAAAAAAATTCAAACTTTTACATTTACACCTCAACTCCACAAAATTTTAGAAACAACAGCATCTTATTTCTAAGGTATCTCTATATATAAATGCGAAATTACGATCAACTCACAGGCCAAACCATATCCACCTACTGTAGAAGCATGTGTTTTTGCATACGTATTCCTCTTATAGTTTCTAAACAATAAGAAGCGATTTTATAAAATTCCCAATGGGCCCTGCCCCACAGAAGGTCAAAAGTTAGCATGGAGTTTGTATAGAATAATTTGCTTTGGTGTTTTGTTTGAATTCGTCTGCAATTTATTTAATCATCAGCGGTTAGAATAAAAATTAAGTTTACTGAGGTATAATCATTCATAAATGCCTCCAGGATTGATTATTGACAATATATTAGGTTAACATAACTTACGTCGTCAATCCTAAAAATACTCTTAAATGGCGACTAGTTTTGAAACATCAAGGTTTCATTGTCGAGCCTCTTGCCTCTTAAAAACATTGGGACATCTTGTCGTCGTCATTATACACATAGGCTAGTACATTTTACATATAAACACGAACGGACACAAACTATTTACAAATACCCCCGCCGCAGCAAACCTGCAGACTAAGCGAATTTCCATTTGCCTGATTTGATTACAATTAAATCCATTCAAATAACATTAGGTTTAACGAGCACCTAGGTTTGCTGCCTACAGGGCAATATAGTGTGTTTTTAGTAAAATATTAATAGCTTAGTATAAAATAAATAGATTAAGCGCATGTTTGATCCAAATATGCATAAACAAGCAAACTACAACAGGTACTTATTCTCCATAAGAATAACATGGGAATTTTTAATTTAGCCTACAATTTTCTCCGTAACCAATAACCATACAAAAACACTTCAATATACTGAATTATTTGTTTTTTAAGCTCTTGAAAATGGTTTAGAGGAAATTTGGGAAATTTTATGTTATTTCAGGGTCAAAAATGAGAAAAACCAATTTTTACGGATAAAACTCTTTTCCCATGGTCCGATCATGCTGGTTCGCGAACTCGTTCGAATAGACGTAGGTTTACACGTTTGTACCAAATTTCATCGAAATCGGATCATTTTGGCTCGAGTTATCGTGCTAACGGACGCATATATCTGAATTTGAACGGATGGTGTTTTTGGCCTCTAGGGACCTCAAAATGACCATGAGTACTACGGTAATAGCTTATTACCTATATGGGAAATTTGCTAAAACATGTGAAGAACGCAAGCAGAGGGGACGAACAAACTCATCCTGAAGTTACATTTGCCAAAGATTCAATGGATGGTGAAACATCTATCAACAATGACATATCATCCAAAAACAGTCTATGAAGGAGATAGTTTGGTGGCGATAGGTACCAGGTACCATGACGTTCAAAGTACTGCGAAGCAAAATGGAAAGAAGAAACACCGGGCATGTACTGCAATGGTGGTAAAGTGCAGCTACTACCTTTGCAGCACCTACCTAAACCTTTATGCAGTCTGGTCATGGGCAACCACCCTGAACATACGTACACTTTATTGACCGCGTGAGACATTAAAATAGCTGCTTTAATATGACATCGATTGGAGCAAAACAGGTTGTAGCTGAATTGTTGACTGAAGGCTGTTGGAAAGCACAAATTTATTAAAAATTTCAACCAATCTGAAAGTTTCCTTAGCGAAGCACGGGTATTCCGCTAGTTAGTTATATTTGGAAATTATTGCGATTAGGGTGACCAAGAGTACTATATACTAAATTTATCATTAGAAACTAGATTTTTACCTGAAAATAATGGTCCAAAATTTTTCTGTTGTCACAAAAACTGAATAATAAGATTTTTTGAATTTTATAATAATGTAATACCTCTCGTCCGCTGGTCTCTGTCGCCATTACTGTGAACTGACTGACTAACACAAATCAAATCAAATCAAAATGTCTTTATTTCGTAAAAATAATCATTTTTACAGTTTTTACAAAATACAGTATCATATTACCATAAGAATATAATATAACACGTTGTCTATAAGAACATGATTGTCTATAAGAATATACAAACATGAACAATTGAAATGATCGTCTAGGGGCACATGGGATTTTTAACCCTTTCAGTGCTATGAAACGATATATCGTTGTTTTAAAAAATCTCTAAGGGATATGGAGAGGAAGGTTATTTTAACAAAAAGTAGCAAAACGGCCATTGTTCATAGGATACACTAACAACCACTTAGCTAAAAGATTTGCCCAATCCGATGATTTCGGGGTATATGTCTAAACCAAGGATTATGAACACCTCACTATGCCCCAGTGGTAGTATATAAAACTACAAACACACAGGTCACCAATTATTTGCCACACAGGACGGGATTCGAACCCGAGCAGACGAATGCCACTGGCCAAGTGACACATACCCTAGCCTTCTCGGCTATCTGTGCTTGAAGACTGAGGAGTCAAAAACCGGTATTTAAGCTGACGCCACCGATTGCGAACAGATAGCGCTACAGATGGTTGTTCAATGCGTTACTAGGTAGCAGCACCAGTTAGTCACGGACTATTTAGATGATATTTTTTAGTTGAAAGACAACAGTGATCATAAATGTGTTCCTGAGACTTTGATGCAAAACATTAGTTTCCCTAAAATTGCTATATTACGATAACCTCGTCCAACTAAATCAAAGTTAAATTCAATATTACATTGTAAACTATAAGTTATGTCTTTTGATTTTATGAGATTTTGGTTTCAAACAATGCTATCAGAACATTAAAATGTATAGGAAAACCAGGAAAATTAAAACAAAAAATAATTTTTATTTAATGTTTACTACCAAATACCGGGATTTATCTTTGTTATATATTGCCTTATTATTCAAACTTAGCCTAATTAATAAAATAGTGACAACATTACAGTTAAAATTAAACAACAGGTATTGGAATTAAAAGGCAAACAAAAAAGTCTTACGAAATATGAATTATTGGCCTAGCACTGAAAGGGTTAATTAACTTTATATTAAATCACATACTTAAAATTACACCTAAAATGCACAACTTAAATAGGCCTAAGTTAGCTCACGTAAAATCAATCTGGGAGGTGAGGTCATTAGGTGGGGAATTAATAAAGTTAAAGAAAAAAAACTTTAAATGTGTGGTGTACTCACACTAAAAACTCACAAAAATCTGATCAAACCTAACCAAATATCAAACTGTTAAGTTAGCGAATTTATTTGATGCCAGAAAAGGTATTTAAAAGTTAAGGGTGTTAGGTCAGACCTAAATTAGGTAAAGTTTAGGGTTGTATGAACCTAGTTGTTAGTTAGTGATAAATAATTTAGCTGATTAGAATGAATAAGTTAGGCCTAATTGTTAGTGTTACTTATGTCTCAAAACTTGTTGTAACTAAAACACTGCAAAATAGGCTAGTCCTACTTTTAAGTTTCTTGTTTTTAAATGCAATAGTACAACAACAGTCTAGGCCTAGAGGCAACTTAGCAAAAGAACTCATCTTTAATACACGGCACTTTTAGGCCTTGGCTAACTTTATGTTAAGAAAACCAAGTTCAATAACTTAAATATATGTTAACGCCAACATTTGTGTTTTTCATAGGCCTAACTTACTTTGTTGTAAGTTTAATACCTAACAATAATAAACTAGCCTAGCGACTCGATCAAACAGCCTAACTAAAACAAAAAAACAAAAACATCTAAACTTATCAAGTTAAAAAAATAGTAAGTTAACTAGCCCATAGGCTGTAAGTTAGATAACTTTATCCTTATAGCCTAGTATTTATTGTATTTATTAGCCAGTAAAATGTCTCCAAAGCCACAGGGTCCGCTCCGTGGCTGGGACACCCGGAGATGGGGAGGGGGCCATTGCACAGCCGGGTTCCTGAGCCAATGTGGCCAGGCCTACTTTCTTGTATATTACCATCTAATGAAGTTTTCTTTCTTCAGGGTCAACAATCTTCCAACCTTGTCCGAAGGAGGTGTATATGGATTGGTCTACTAAATTTCTTTTACGGTTTAACTTAGATTTTGTTAGACTAAAACTATTTAAATTCTATGTGGCTTCCATAGTCACTAACACTAAAACTAAACTTATAAACTAGGTCTTCTGGGTACAACCCTGTCACAAACAGAATAGCTATTTGCAGTGGTCAATTTGTGGCGGAACGGCGTTCCAGTACTTCTCTTTTGTATGGATATAAAAATATTGGCATAAATCATAAATAGGTAGGCCCACATAAATAGGTACTAATCACATTAAATAGGTGACAGTGAACCGGCACCTTATTTTTACTAATCGATCGGCCATTTGTTTATTAAGTAGCCTAGCCTACGCCATTGCTGCTTGAGAACTGTAGATGGCTGTGTAACTTAAGCTAGTAAGAAGTTTTTTATTGTGGCACAGTCATATCCAGAAGACCTACAGTAGCCTAGATTGTAGTGTTTAGGTTCCTTCAAAATGCCTTTACAAATTAATAAAGCCATGTACATTTCTATGCCCTAGGCCTTTTTAAAACATTCTGACAGATCCTTTTAAACTAAAATAACTTATTGTATCCAAGTAATATATTTATTAATTGTAATTTACTTATTCATTTCTAATCAGCTAAATTATTTATCAATTAACATGAAGAAATTTGTGTTTTGCAGATTTGTATAGGGTATTTTTTACGATTTTTAGCATTCTTGTGAAAGGGCATACCCTAAGTTACTTGACATTATGTGTTACATTTCAAAATGTTACTTTGTCAAGACAAATACAGATTTAAAATCACATTGACGTTAATATTATACCAAATTTAATTCATAAATAGCCTATATGTGATTTCTCACAATGGAGATTAGTTTAATCGAGTGCATGGCAATTGGTAAAGTGAATTGAAGATAATATTATACTTAACATAATACTTAATTTTATAAAACTACACAGTATTTGTATAGCCTAAAAGTGTCATTGGATATTACTAAGCTTATTTAAATTACTAAATTATTAAGCTGTTCAAAACTTTTTACTTGGATTGGGCTTAGAATCATGCAGGTAATATATTAAGGTATTTCATAATGTTTAAGCATTCTTGATATTCGTAGATATTTAAGTGATGAATTTAGAGATTATTGAAATTTGGCTGATGATTTCCTTTCATTGTTCTAAATCAGCTTTTTCTTTAATCTATCGTAAATTGTGTACCGGTACATCTCATTTTCATAACTCAGTAGAAAAATAATCAGCCATACCAATTGAAGCAAAAATAATTTCTACCCTACAGGTTAAACAACACAAGACACACGCTAAGCCTTTCCTACATACCACTATTACTAACTAGGTCTCCGTTTTAACCATGTGTTTGGATATTTCTTTCAGATTGAATTAACAGCAGGTATCAATGATGGACATCAGACCAAATCACACGATATACATCAACAACCTGAACGAGAAAATAAAAAAAGAAGGTAAGACCAATTCGACACCTCACCTACGTAATATTTGGTTCCGCTTTTTGATTTCCATTCTTCCATACAACTTAATTGGCTCTACCTCTAAATTTTTACTCTCAGAAAATACACTATGAACGAAGAGTTATGTTTTCAGCATGATAATACAATAAGTATTCATTCTTTAGCCTATTTAAGTTAGGTGCTGTCTATGTGTCCTAATAAATAATAGTTTACTGTACATGCACAGTCTACAACAATTGGTCAAATGCCTGGCTGTTGTCAACAAATTGATGCTTAAGTTACTCTTCTAACCATTCAATGAAATTACTAAACCTTCATTTTATTCAAAAGTCTAAATTTTTAGTGATTTAACCACATAAATTTCTCCAATTTTTTTAAAATATTTGTTTCAGAGCTCAAGAAATCTCTCTACGCCATTTTCTCTCAGTTTGGACAGATAATGGATATAATAGCTTTGAAAACTTTGAAGATGCGTGGTCAAGCGTTTGTGATCTTCAAGGAAATTTCCAGCTCGACAAATGCCTTGAGATCCATGCAAGGGTTTCCATTTTATGACAAACCAATGGTAAGTAACATTGGTATTATGTTCTAAAACCATTTTTATAATTAACAAATATATTTTGAAATGCTATAAAACCAAAATAGAAATTGTAAGAATAGTTAGAAGTTATTGTAAGAAAAGGTTTTATAGGCTCAATATAAATGTGAAGCCGGGTTTTAACAACTAACTTACCAAAAATTAAACAGGATATTTTGCTTTTATTATTAAAACTTATGTAGTCTATATTTACTAATTTTGTAATGTTATTCCAAATTTCTACGGACCCAAGTGACATGATTCATAAATCTCAATCAAAATCCTACTTCTTTGTAGCTTTAATTACATCAAAAACTGCTGAAGATAAAACAAAAGTAGTTTTTAATTAAAATCCATGTTTTTAGCCCCGAGCTGTAATTAACTAAAGAGTAAGTTTTTCCTTCTTCAATCAGTTCAAAGGTAACAATGAACAGGCCTGTACACACATGGTAAGACTGGTTGACATTGCCACCAGTAATGTAAATATTCGTGTGTGTTATGTGTTCTAACTTCAACTAAGCTACTTCAGCCGAGATTAACGTGTATGATGATGGCATTGTGGTGCCGAAACGCCTGTAACAACTGTTTTAACTGTTGAACTGATTTTTGAAGGTAAAGCCTATTTTTTAGAAAGTCATTTTGCTTAAAAATGATAGTTTTCAATGTATTGATTTTGGAAACCAAGATATGGTAATTGGATTACAGAAAATGTTTTAACGAGGTATGATTGTGTAGAGGCTAGCATATTTTTGTTCATAAATAAATAGTCTTCCTGGTACTAAATTAGTATATTAAATTTATCTTGAGATTGGAGAAAAGTTATCGCTTAAAAATGAAGCAGAAGATAGAAATAGTTAGAGAAAATTACAGCAAGAGCAAAAACCTCACTTATTGATACCTCATGTAGATGGAGGACAGTACAAATATTACAATATCCTTCGGGGGCTACAGTGTATTTTGGTATTTACAGTTACTGGGTAAGTTACAGGGTATTTTTTTAGGTATTTCGGTACTTTTGTAGAAACTGGAAAATCCATACAGTTTTTATCCACAAGCCATGATCGGGTCAACTCTACTTCGCCGTAAAAAGGTGTTTCTAGCAGCCAGTGTATAAGTTAGTTCATATACAGGGTGATTGATATAAGTGTGAAAGCGCTGTTTTATTCTAAAGTTATAAGAGATATAAAAAAATGTTAAAATTGTAACTGCCTTCTCAAAGTTGGGGCCTTATTAGAAAAATGGCGACTAAAGTTATTACTTTCTCCCCCTATACCATAGTATATGGAGAAAGTATTGTTTTCGTCAAAATTTTCGAGTTTGAGTTTTGAGTGGATATATTCGTTTTGGGTCCCCCTGGACCCAAAAAAGTGGTTTTCGAAGTGATGTCTGTGTGTGTGTGTGTGTGTCTGTGTGTCTGTGTGTCTGGATGTGTACAGAGCTAGAGACTACACCTGTCGTCCGATTTCGATGAAATTTGGTATGTAGGTTCTAATCCATGGTATCTCCAGGCGTTTTTTTCATTTTTTTGAAATTTTGATTTTTAATGGGGATTTTCCCATAAAAACCCATAAAAAACCGGAAAAATCTGATATTCTCAAAAATAGCCCGAACGATTTTGATAAAAATTTAGTATGTTGTAGCCCTTTAAATTCTGAACAAAATGGTACAAATCCCATTTCTGTAAAAATTACGGATCAAAAGTTATGGTAAATTATGTTATTTTCCCATAAAAATCCCATAAAATAACGAAAAATAGGATTTTAGACAAAAAATCCGTTTTTATTTAACATAGTATGTTATGATCCTTACAATTTTGATAGTTTTTCTCATTTCTTAGAAATTTTTATTTTTAATGGGTATTTTCCCATAAAACCCCATAAAATGACGGAAAAAAAAGATTTTCCCAAAAATGACCTGAACGATTTCGATAAAAATTTAGTATGTTATATTCCTTTATATTCTGAACAAAATGGTACAAATCCCATCTCTGTAAAAATTACGGTTCAAAAGTTATTGTAAATTATGTTATTTCCCCATAAAAACCCCATAAAATAACGGAAAATTATATTTTACCAATATTGGCTCGAAAGATTTTGATAAAAATTTAGCATGTTATAGTCCTTTAAATTCTGAAGAAAATCTTACAAATCCCATTTCCGTATATTTACTCTCACCGCTTACACATGATAAAGGTTGTTGACAAACTTATGGGAGAAAGTATGTGTCAGAATGCTGATACCGTTTATTTTTTTAATTTGATCAAAATTTAAAAAAAAAAGATCCAAGGCAGTTAAAATTTTTTTATATCTCGAATAAAACAACTTAATAACTTTAAATATTATGGACTTTAACTTATGGACTTTTAATAACTTTCAAATAAAACAGCTGGCACACTTATATCTATCACCATGTATTGACTAGGTTTGTTTCTTGAATAAGTGTTCTTGGAGGAGGTTGAAATACTCAGCTGCATTTATGGACGGTTTCAATGGCTTAGTGAAACAGATTTTGAAACCACATACTGTTCGGTTTCAGAGGATACAGTACTCCAAGTCAGACTCTGACATGATAGCCAAGATGAAAGGCACGTTCTCAGAGAGGCCGAAGCGTCCCAAGAAGGTGGTGAGTCACGACGATGCTGCAGACAGCAAGAAGGTGAAGAGGAAGGCAGCTAAGGAGCAGGCTAGAGTATACCAGCAATCCTTGGCCCCTGCGCCTGCAGCTCCTGTGCAGCAGATGCCAGTGGTACAGCCTGGTAAGTGGTTATTAATACGCTGTTTGCAAGTTAAACACGTGTTGCATTGCAGGGGTATCTTTATGACATTATGTCAGCTTACAGTACACCTCAACCAGCTATATGTCAGCTTACCTACATAAGTGTTATGTCAGCTTACCTAACCGACTCTGACAGGACTATGACTAGGCTTAGGATGAACCCAAAAAATCCGGTTAACAGGCAACTAGGCTATGTATAGGCCTACCTGTTGAATACCTAAGAAATAAGAGTATTATTGATATTATTACAAAATACTGCTGCATATAATATACGTGTTCGAGTTTAAAATGTTTTATTTTAATGCATACTTTTTACTCAAGCAGTAATGCTGAAGATAACTGTAAAAATTCACTGCATAACTGATAGAAGAGAGATCTGTCTGTTCTATACTGCAGTACTGCAAATTTTACTTCAGATAATTGGTATACTTAGCCAGAAAAAAACACAACTGAATTTTAACCACACTGATTATAGTCTTAATGAAGACGTACATTATTATTTACAGATATTATTTATAACCCTAAAGTCTTTAAAAATTTCAGGATCAAAACTAAACGGGCATGATTTTGTATTGCTGTGTTGTCATTACTATGTTGATTATAACAGTAAGCTATCTTTTGACTAAAAATAAGGTTGATTGATCCAACCAGTTGAAATACCAGAGTAGAACCATAGACAAAAAGAATTAAATATAGACCGTCAGCTGTGCTGCGGTTACCATAGGTTCTGGCGCACACCGCTTGGAGCACCACGGTAGTTACGGCGTACACGCTACGTAAACTACAGCGGTGTGCGCCGGAACCTATGGTAACCATGGCAACCGCAGCACGGCTGACGGTCTATATTTCATTCTTTTTGTCTATGGTAGAACTCACCTCTATTTTTTAAATGTGCAGAATCGGTTAATTTGAGTGGTGGTGAATCTAGAGATCAGTTTTAAGAGAGCATCTATTGGACACAGAATCAAACAAAGAATTGCTGCATAACACTCTGATGTGATTGTTTGATAGGTGCAGCAACAGTGCCGGAACAACCTCCCAATCAGATCCTGTTCTTGACCAACCTTCCTGACGAGACCAGTGAAATGATGTTGTCTATGCTGTTCAACCAGTAAGCATTTTTAATTTTATTAATTCTATTCAGGTTTTAATCCTTGGTTCTTCTTCAAAACTAGTTGCTTTGCAACTGTGGTGAAGACAAGGAAATGTGATTATTTGATTGTACGGTCAATAATAGTTACACATCCATCCACAATGAATCGCACCAACCGACCAGAAAGAATTTGAGTTTTGTATGGGACCAGGAGGTGATCATGGTATCATCGAGATCACAATATATGGATAGGTATTACTGCAATCAAGGGTAGATGATCAGCAATGTTGTTCTGGTGTAAACTGTTTTAAATATCAAATATACATTTTAGAATCAAAACCCTGTTTTTTTTTATGCTAAGAAAGATTTGTTTGATTAGTAAATGGTTATACAATTGCTGAAGATAGTAAATCACTTTACCTATGTCATGATAACAGGTATACTTCTATAGAAAAGTGTTCACTTTAGCACAAGAAACACAAAAATCAAACTATTCCTTGTGCTTTAGTGGATTCTTTGTCTTTCAGGTAATCCTAACCTCAAGGAAACATTTTTTATGGAAAATCCTAGACCATTGTTTTCTATGTTTACATCCATGGAAATGTTTTTATAAAAACTTAAAGGAATAGGGTCATCCTCATATTTATACAAAATAAGTTACTGAAGGACTGATCTGATAATTTACCTTGATGTTTGTTTTCTAGGTTCCCTGGTTTCAAAGAAGTTCGATTGGTTCCGAATCGCCACGATATTGCGTTTGTTGAGTTTGAAAATGAATTGCAATCAGGAGCCGCCAAAGTTGCCCTGAATGGTTTCAAAATCACACCGACACACGCTATGAAAATATCATTTGCAAAGAAGTAAAAGTGTACATCCTCACATCCTTTTTAGGTTAAGTCAGATACTTTTTACCAAGTGTGTCCTGCTGGTATCTCATAATTTTTCAAATATAATGTAAATTGTAAAACCCTTGTAAGTGTTTGATTGTTGAAATAATTCCTTCTCTAATTCATGTATCACATAAAACATCAATTGGGAAGATAGGAGGTATTTAAGTAAATAAAGTATTAACGCAAACGTCAACCTAACTCAACTAAACCAAGTACAGGGTTTCTTGTACCTTTAAACAATCTGTCAGCCAGTCCAGGCCAGAAAGCCGAACTAGAAATTTCTTTTGGAAGGTTGAGGTTTCATTTGCATTATGATTGTCTAGATTGCGGGTTTAGAGCCCCCATCACTACCAAGACCCATTTTAGAAACATAGCCGATACAACTTTAGAGTAAATGCAAATCATTTTATTTAGTAGTACTGTACTAAAGTACATAGATACACTTAAGAGAAATGGATAGGTAAGATGAAAATTGGCAACTGTACGTTAACTATTATACAGGCTTTAAGAATAATTTTAACAAAAAATTCAAAAAAAAATGTTTGAAAAATGTTAGACAAATTATTACCTCAACCAAAATAGTGCCTGATAACAAGCTCCTAAAACCTTAGATCCAAGTAAAACTTTTGAGATAAAATTATGTACACTTTTTAAACTGATAGAGTGAAGGTTTTAAATACAACACACACAAAATTCATAAAAATATAACTTTGTATAATTTTTTTTTTTAACTATGTATATTACAATATTTACAGTGTTGAGCTTGTATATACATTCAATAAAAAATGTATCCACAGCTCTTAATACAAATATGTTTATTGATCGTAACATTTGTAAGAAGATAAAGTGAGCTAGTAAAAAAAATTATCAAGTAATTTTACTGCAGAAAATTTCATATGCACTTATATTGTATGAGGAAGTAAAATTTATTGCTTTTTTTGCTTTAATAACATCACAGAAAAAAATTGTCTACAAATCAACCTTATACTAAACTGTACCATAGATTATACACCTTTTTAGAAACCTTACTGAATACATTTTAAGGTTGGTTGATATCTGGTTATGCTTGAGTATGTTGATCTCTTTTCTTTAATTATTATTTAAAATAAATAACACAGAATAGAACAATGTATTAAATTAATACTGCTTATCCATAAGCTAGTATGACAGAACCATTGACTATTGGATAATGAGAACTAAACGCTACGTGTAAGTAGATTTACCAACAGGTAAAGTACACACTAAACTTTGTCCTAAAATAAAAGAGAATCTGTAAATAATATCAGCACATTTTAGTGTTACCAGAAATTAACACAAAAAAAAGCGCCGGATTGTTCAAAAGGCTGAGAAGTCTATCTTATTATTATGAGAATTTACAACAGCCCTCATTATCAACCAACCACTAGTAAGTGATCAGTGATTTGGTTTTCATAAGGTTACAAAATCTATTTTAGGCTGTAATATCCTCCTATTATCACATGAATCTCTCTACCATTTGCTTCTGATTCTCACTTAACATTTTCCTATACAGATTGACCGGCCTAATTGAGCAGTTAGGGCCTAATATCCATAATGAAGATGATTGCTAACAAATGTGCTTATTCCTAACTTTCTGCTAACCTGGTGGGACACTTCAATAATTTAAAAGTAAAATATACCTAAAAGAAAAATTTAAACACAATTTATTAAATTTTGTGTCTTACTTTTTTAAACAATTAGTTAAGTATTTTCAAGAAAATTAAAATATTTGCTGGAAAATCAAAGTAGTAGGCCAATGTACTGCATAATCAACTATCTCCTGTAAAAGGTTCATAGTTCATTAGGGCTTACATACAGAGTTTTTGTGTTTTCGTGAAATGTTCAAATAATATTTTAATACATTATGCCAGTGTACCAAGTAGTGTTTATACTAAAAAATTGAATCAAATAAAAATAAGTTATTCAATCCAATTAAAACTACCCAATTCACATACAAAACTGATTGCTTTGCAACCAAGTTAAAATTATATACAAAATAATATATTTCATTTCTTGAATTTTATCACAATTTCAGATAAATAATAAAAGAAACTCTAAGACAAATTTAAATAACCATAGCATATTTACAAGTCAAAGTAAGTAAAGCTTAATACTGGCCTACACAAAATGGACACTTTTCCCGTTGTTATTGAGGCTGTGAGAGTTATCTTGTAGTTTATACGAGTCGAAGGAGGGTACTGATGAGTAAGGAACACCGTTTGATTGCCAGTTGTTCTTCTGAGAAAATGGGAGGATTGTTTTCTGTTTTTCTTCATGCCTCGCATCAAATTTGGCCTGAAACAAGAGACATTACAGTGCATAAATGAGCATTTTCCAAGGAGTACTTTAAAGGTTGGGACACCAACTCTTTGAACATAATATTATTACAGAGAACAATAATAACTTGGAAAACTTACTAGTTACTTACTTACTCCCTTTTTGCAAAAACGTTTATTTTGGTCTTCTACATTAATAAATCCAAAGGTTGGATAAAAAAAGACAAACATTTTAAGAGCCAACACAACAAGCTTAAGAGGACCACACTGCGATTCGATTTAATATAATCCCGAGTTTGGGATGGCAAGAAAATCCTTATACAGTAGGTAATATACACCTTCCTCGGTTGGCAATGCTGTAAATCAAAGCATAAAAGTTTATGAGTTGGGTTTGTTTGGCTCTTCCATTCAGGTGAGCTTGCTATCAAAACTAAAATCCTATAATTTGCACTAAAAATAAATCATTACGCTCTAGATCCTTAACCTCAAAGAAAATTGAAAGCAAACCAAACCTCTTATAATCTTACATGAATACTTATTTCACTCTTAGATCACTACGTCCCAACAACAAACACCCACCTTATTATAGCACAAGACACCCAGTATCGCGAGGCCCATTCCAAACACGTTGGTGCCAGTCACAGGGTTGCCCAGGACTAGCAATGATGCGCCGATGACAAAGATGCGTTTGCTGGCGCTTGCGACTGCATATGTAAGCGATGTCACCAGCGACATGACACTGAACGCCAGAATGTTCTGTAGCCACGATAGCACTCCATCGGTGAGCAACAGTGCAATGATGCGATAGCTGTCTTTGGATACCTGCAAACAGTATGTGGTTAATCATTAATACTATAGTGTTATTGTTACTTTGAGGCAGCAATGCTACCTAGGTGTGTTTTAAAAGTTGGATATGAAGACAGGATTAGTGTAGAATGGATTGAGACGAGTCATTCATTTATTAATCCAATGATCAATGACAGTTGGGTCCAGTTTTGACCCATCATCCAACTATAGACCTGATTATACTGTACTCTGTTCACATAATTTATTCGGTTTTAGGAGAAGAAATCTATCCCCTCCACTTGATCACTCTTTAAAATAATATAGCTCAACAGCTGTTGAGTTCAAAGTCAATCAGCTGCAACATAAAAAAGTAGTGGGGGAACTTTCCCTCAAACCGCCTAATTTTGTGAACCGACTATAGGCAAGCAAAAAATAAAAGCTTACCATCGATTTTTACATACATTAAGACAGGAATACAATCGATTTTTATGGGGTAACTGTTTCAGTCGAAGTTTGGTTATGAATCTAGCTTATGAAACAGCTGATCTTAGTAACAAAGCTACACAAATCATGTCACAACATTCTACACTCATCGGTAAAATACTCCCCATCTATTGGGACGCGTTGCAGAAAGTCAACAGTCCCGGAAGGTCAAATAATTTATACCTGTGCCGCTAGGTCAAAAACTACAATGTTTGCAGTGTCTGTAGAACAAAAATCCCAGTAAGTCAAATAGTACAGTCCGAGCTAAAAACGTGGTCCATGTTAAAGCAATTGACTTAATGGGAATTTGACCCATTAAAATGCAACAGCAGTTTTAATATAACGAAATAAGATAAAATATAAGTTCAGTTTCTCTGAGTCAACAGTGCCGGAAGGTCAAAAGTATAATCTGTTAAAAACAACGATAGTCCTCTCGACGCATGACTTCAATAATTTCGTGTTTTGGTGTACTTAAAGTTGTGCTAAAATTTTGAAAATTGGCACAGAGCTTCTTGGTTAGTCCTACTCGATGACTATATTGTTGGAACTTTAAACTATTTACCGATCTAATTAATAAAAATTAAAATGTATGGTGAAATAGTTTTAAATCGTGATTTCTAACATGAAAAAGTTAGCATGCGAGATTTTTGTTTGTTTTCGGGTTAGAGAGGTTTTGTCTGTGGCAAAGTTGTAGCCAAAAGTGTGATGCGTAAAATATATTTTTTTGAATTTTTACAATCAGTGGTTCAATAGATAACTTGGGTTGAAGAGGACGGCAAATTTAACATTTCGCAACGCATGGAAAGAACTACATCGTACGATGCGACTGCTGAGTGGGCTTTTAATTTACAGTTCTAAGAACAAGAAAAAGATGAATATACAGATCACCAGTACATTCATATTATTTATAAAACATCTTTCTGTATTACCAGCTTACATTTTTCACTTATAAGAATACATCATAAACAGGGTGTTAAAAATAAGCGGGGAGATACTTTACCTAATTCCTTGGGTCAAAATAAACAGAAAATTAAGGATAACATTTTTTCCAAAATCGTTTCGTTAACCAGATATCCGCCATTTTGTATTTTTTACATACAAATATTTATCTTTACACTTTTCCAACCGATGTTTATGAAACTTGGTATGTATCCAACTTGGTATGTAGGTAGGAGAGACCCATGTTATAAAAAAAGATTCATCTCGATTTACCCTAAAATTTCAAAATTTAACACTTAACTACAATATAATATACTTTACTACACCACAATATTTACGTATCACCATAAATCTTTAATAAAATAAAACGTTCACATTTTTAAAATCCAAAGTAAATCAATATAATCAATATAAAAAAGTGCACTAGTACTTACTAGTGTCCAATAACAATTTGATGGATTTAACCAAAACCTTTTCTATTTAACTTATTTTCAGCTGTTAAATTTCAAACGATACGTTTTAGCTACATCATTAACATTATTATCATCATCATCGTTTGAGTTTGGGTTTGCGGCAATGTATTTATATAATAAAAACCTTTAATTTGATACCTACCAAACTTGACCTCTGCTGCTATTAATTGACTGTATGGACTATTAATTAACAGCTGTGTCTAAGGATTACGTCGGCCTTAGTCACTAACAGGACAACAAGATCGCTCCACTCATCACACACTCAACTCCATTCATACTTGGCTTAAAATGCATACATTTCACATTTGTATGGTCGCCATTTCAAAAACAGGTAAAATAGTATTAAAATTATATAAGAATTTTGTCTTAGCCTTTGTGGTCCATCCCCCTTAAGGGATTAAACAGTGATAATAGCTTAAGACAGTAGATATTTATGTCTATATATTATTGATATACTAAGTCTCACTACTTAATCTATATTGTTAAAAAAAATATAGCCAATCCAGGACTTTTCAACCATACTGCATGTATAACGCCAACACGAAATTTTTCCGTTGAACTCCGAATTTCTTAGGTGATTTTGACCATTCATGTCTCATTAGAAAGAGCGTGTCACGTACATTTGCAAACCAACCTTACATTTTTAAATCCCTTGGGCTCAGCCCCAGCGGCTCATGCTATGAACCCATGTTATGCCTATGAAGAACATATTGATTTTTTTATATTAGGATCAGCCCAGTTAATTGCTGTTATGTAATTCAAGGAAATAATGTAGGTTACACATGTTACTGATTTGTTTCAAATACTATATTTACTATTTCTATTTGGGTTTGCATTTAATCCATTTTACCAAACAATAAAATTAATGGACAAAGTACTATATTTCATGAGCTATCATTGAAAGGACCGATTGAAGTCCTCATCAACCAAAATAATGCCTACTAAAGCAATTAAAATTGAGACGAACATGTAATGCACGAAATCAGGTGGTTCTTAAGTATGTGAAAAAATGTATCGCTATTCAAAAACAGACGGAAAACTTGTAACCATATTCTTGACAACGGGTGTAACCATGTAACATGGCTACATTATCAATGACAAACGTGGACAACCTTATACGAGTGTGAGTACGTCCGAAAACAGAGTAAGTCCGAAAACAACTCTAAAAAACAATAAGCAATAAATTGCAAGAACCGTTGCTTATGTCATTGGGTACGGTATACACGTATGTCTTAGCCTTTGTGGTCCTTTGTGGTACACTGACGTGTATACTCAATGCTTATATCGAACTGTTATATGTACATCGTGAGTTGTTCCATTAGTTTCATTTAGTTGTGTGTCCATTAGTATAGTAGTTTAGTTGACTCTTTTAAAGTCGGCGGAAATTGTGACTGTTATTACCCTTGAAATAATGTTTGTGAAGTACTTTGCAATCCTATCAATGCTTATAGAACCATACGATTACAATTTTCTGGTTAGAATATGTCGCATAGAGTGGTGACTAATGTATCTTTTTGGTTTGCTTGTAAAACAGGATCAACAGAGATTTTCCATCGACTTAAACAATACGATACTCCCAAATTGTTCATTGCAATAACAAAATATCACACAGTTTGATGAATATTTGTGTGTAAACCACATACAGTACACCTTTATTCTATCTATTTTACCTTTTATTTTTCCAAGACTTTATAGAAAATCACACATTACGTGATCAGTGAAGAAAAGGCTGTATCCCATGTGTTTTATAGGTAAAGAAGACAAGGGCGCTCCTAGACATATATTTTTTGGGGGGGGGGGGTCCCCGGGGGCCTGGGGGGTATGGAATACCCTCCAAAAAGGAGGGGGTCTTGGGGTTCCCCCCAGGAAAAATATATAAATAAATAAATATAGGCTATACAGGGTGATCAACTCAAGGAGGCCACCATTGTGATATCGGAAACGGTAAAAATTAGAGAAAACTTAAAATGGAAGATATTCCTTTATTTTTTGTGGCAGTTTAAAATATGATTTTAGTCTTTTGAAATTCAGCCGCCATTTTCCAAAATGGCGGCCAAATTTGAAATTTCTTATCGAACACCCTATATTTTATCATGTTTTCGGACATAATAGGCAATTTTAAAACTTTTTTATCCGTGACATTTTTTCGATAAACCCACTCGTTTAGGAGTTACAGCCTATGGAAAAATGACTTCCGTTGTACCGTACATATTAAATCATGTAGCTCCTAAACAAGTAAGTTTAAAGCAAAAAAACGAGGAGTAAAAAAGTCTTACAATTGCATCCACATTCCAAAAAGACCATAAAGTTAATTAAAAATATAAATTATATTATTTAAAAAAATGGCGGCAAACTTGAAAAGTGGAAAACTTTTTATTTTATAGTCTTTAAGGAATGAAGATGCAATTCTAAGACTAATTTACTTTTTGCAATTTTGCTCTAAACTTACTCGTTTAGGAGCTACATGATGTAAAATGTACACCGGAAGTCATTTTTCCATAGGCTGTACTCCTAAACGAGTGGGTTTATCGAAAAAGTGTCAAGGTTAAAAAAGTTTTTAAATTGCATATTCTATCCGAAAACATGATAAAAAAACTAAAATCATATTTTTAACTGCCACAAAAAATAAAGGAATGTCCCCCATTTAATGTTTTCTCTAATTCTTACCGTTTCCGACTTCCCAATGGTGGCCTCCTTGAGTTGATCACCCTGTATACATGAATTTGAATGGATGGTGTTTTTGGCCTCTAGGGACCTCAAAACGAAAAATTAAATCGGTCCCGGGTCCAGGTGTTACCATAAGTACTACGGTAATAGCTTATTCCCTATATAGGAAATTCGCCAAAAACCTAATAGTTATATAGAACAATATTACATTCAACCAGCTGTTAGTTAAAACAAATTATATGGGACTAAAACAAATCGATGATTACAAAGATTCCTTTAAAAAATAATTTGAACATCCTACTATTTTTCTATGCAAATTTAAATAATCTGCCATCCTCATACCTAGGAATTGAATGTATCAATGGTCAGCATTACACATAGTATAAATAAGTCAACTCTAAATATGTCTTTAAGTTTAAATTTGTTTCCAAATGCTGAATTTGTGTCACAAATGCTGAATGTTTACAGCTGTTATGCTAAGCAAATTATATTGTACTAAAAGCTGGCTTAGAAGGTTAGCGTCGGCTGCTAGACTTTAAAAAAATTAAAACTTAATTTCTAAAAAACTGGGACCCTTAATTATAATTATGGCTTTGACTTTCCCAAGTTCTCAAAATTATCTTTCTTTCAACACAAAAATAATGAAAATCCGTCGACTGGTTGATTCAGAATGTGAAAAAACCATATTTACGTTTTAATAATATATATGATAGTTTGGACAGGTTTCAACCCTTCCGAGGCGTAATACATTTACACATTTTATGTGTAGACTACATTATAACTTATAAAATAGTTCTAAAATTAAATAGATCTCCTTTTACAAACGTATATAATAACCAGAAATTTTCAGATCGTCCTTGCGTGTATTTTATGCCACAAATTTTGACGAAAGGCTTTTCATTACATAAACTATACCTATTTACAGTGTTGACCAAACAGTTGGCAAGAAGCATTAATAGATAAGCTATGTACCAAATATGATAATTTTAGCTCTATTCTAATTATGACAAAACACGAAGTAACTAAAAGCGAGTTATGTTGGTGTAGTAAGCGTTGCAGGAGGTCTACTTTACACTGAATCGACGTTCACTTTTATTGCTTTTGATCTTCCGGCACTGTTGACTCAGCGAAACTGAACTTGTATTTTACCGTATTACGTTATATTAAAACTGCTGTTCCATTAGGTCAAATTCCCAATAAGTCAATTGCTTTAACATAGACCACGTTTTTAGCTCGGACTGTATTATTTGACTTACTGGGACTTTTGATCTACAGACACTGCAAACATTGTAGTTTTTGACCTAGCGGCACAGGTATAAATTATTTGATCTTCCGGTACTGTTGACTTCCAGCAACATTCCCTTTAAAACAGTGTGTAAGTGTAAATAAATGTTTCAAGTGTTATTCAACGTATTTTTATTTACTCTCTGTAAAATTATTAACACGTACTATGCTGGTTAAGTGGTTAATTAATATTGGTTGACCAATTAATATTGAATCATTTATATTCTATAAATTAATCATAAACATGTAAAACAACGGCATAAAAGTTAATAGAACACAATACACTTGTTAGTTATCTTCTTCCTTTGACTGAGTACAAAAAGTCCACTCTGACTAGACATGGTTTAAATTAGGTAATTTCATTCATATTTTAGAATTGCCTATTTTTGTGAATGCTATTTTCCCAAGATAAGAGAACACTTCAAATGACCGAGTTAAACTTGAGTAATCTCAAGTACGTAACATAAGCTTTGTTTAGTGCCTTGGGAGTAGTAATTTTAAGTTTTAACAGTACCTACATCTACATTATAGTAAAGTGAGTGAGATTACATTGTTTTTATTACGGTACTGGAAAAAGTGGCAATGTCAGAGAGATTAACAATTAAGAAAATATTATGAGTGACGAGCGACAAACCTTTGTATGGAAACTTTTTGATCTTTTCATAGAGTGAAATACAAAGTGTTCAAGTTATACCCAAACACAATGTACGCTACCACAAATTGTATTTGAAAAAAATATACTTACAAATATTTTTTCATTCATGACATTTCGAAAGTCAAAGAACAGCCAGACTGGGAAGAACAAAAACAAAGCAAGACGACCAAGAATATGCAGCAAACGAAGATGATGAATCCCAGTGTCATGTAAAACCTGGAATTAAAACCGAATGAATTAGCCCTGATGTTTTGTTTCAAATAGACACCCGTATAAACTTAAATTTAAGTTTTTTTAAAATTTAAGAGCGCAGCAAACGAGCCCCCACCGAACTTCAACCAGGACGTGATTTAGCGATGCGAACAAGCTCATCTTGTAAATGAACGAGCATTTGACATAAAACCACATTAGGACAGGACAACGTCTGTCGGGCCAGCTATACTCCGCGCCAAAGCTGGTGGCGGCTGAGGGATTAGGACCGCCAGGTAGGACTACATAGGCCGGACCTGCTCACCGACCTGGCCGTCCTAATCCCTCAGTCCGCCACCAGCTTTGGCGCGGAGTATAGTTTAATATAAATCAGGAAGTACAATAATATTTGGCCAGTTTGACTGTTTCTTATCATAACGATCAACAAATAACAGTTTATTTAATGTTCAACTCTTTAAACTGTTCATGGTTGAATACATAGTAATTACAAGTGTATTGTACCGGTATTATCTGGTTCTTTAAATTAAACGACAGAATCAAATCAAATAGGCCTCAAATTATCAAATCAAATCAAATTGGAATGTACATGTAATTGACTTTAAAAAGTGTTACTTTGGTAGTTAATAATTAGTTTGAACAATGATTACTAAAACTTAATGATGTAGAAAAATAAATTAATCACAACTAGATAAAAAGTACTTATGAAAAAAATGTCCATTATTAAATTTTTTCATTTATTTATTCATTTGATATCATTTAGGCTAATATTGTTTATGTGGCTGAAAAATGTTTAAAGAAACTGAATATAACTGATACAACAATTTATGCATTGGGGATTAGGAGAAAATGTCTAAAATATAAAATGACATTTGTTGGACTTTCTGCCATGTAGATAAAAAAGTCTATAGGTACATTGCATTGGAGCAACAATTGACATATTACACAAAAATCTGTCAATTTGAAAGTAAAACCTTTGGCTATCAATATTCCAATAGTCAATGTTAAAACAGTAAATGTTAAATGTAACAATCTATCCACAAGAGAAAAATAGTACATTTCATCACTAGGGCGTAAAGTGACTCTTTTCAACTCAAACTTAAGTTTAAAGAAACCCAAGCTAGAATTGGGAAGATACCTTTTGCTTGTGTGATAAAGTATATTTTTTGTCATATTGCACCATTATGCAAACTAAGTTACAAACGAAATTACTTTTCATGTATTTGGCATTATCAACATGTTTTAATGATAACCTATCAAAACAACTCCAACTTGTTTTCAATTTTGCTAAAATGCAAACAAGCAGCTAAGTGATTCAATCATATCGTCTATTACGATTGTATTGACACATAATTTCAATAGATGCAAGCAATTGCAATCGAAGTTTCAACAGCTGATTTTTACTTAGGGAGAAAAGGAGCTATTTTAGACCCACAACGCATGAAGTAAGAACAACTTTTACTACAGTATGACAAAAACATTAAACATGTCAATAACAAGAGTTTTTCAACACCATAGCTTAAATTTACATTGTAAATATTTTTGCTCATCACAAAATTGTTTACTAAGTATATAACATGGGGTGCCAAAAGTTTTCAGTCGAGTTTCAAATGAGCTGATTAGTGATTATTCCATTATACTTCATATCATGCATGACAACTAAAAACAATACTCATCAGCTAGGTATACATGCTGGAAATTGTCCAAGTGTAATGTCAACTTACCTTTTTGGAGAATATGTTTTGCAGGGAATGTTGAAGGGTAGCGGCCAAAGCACTGAGTAGACCAGTCAAATCAAACGAAAGCTCAGTCATTGTAGCAATTGCTACACCTGTGATGATCGGAACTAGTGATAAGTATACCTGGAATTGAATTAGGGAATATTAAAATCTTTAGTTTAACCTTTGACTATTAGTACAACTTTGACAATTCAGTATCCAGTCAATGGTTTAACTTTAACATAACCTTACTGTTTGGAAATATTATCAAATTAAGTAAGCGAGTTTCAATGTTTCCATGTTAAATCCTAAAGATCAAATAAACCTTGTAGGTATCAATTAACAGACAGCATTAGTGAGGATTTCTAATGTGATGAAAGTTGCTGGGTATCAATAATTGATAAAGTTATAGCAAAAAAATTGTTCAGTACATAACAAAGAATTGATTCGACACTTAATAATATAAATTGAAATACCCCCATTGCAGCAAAACTTTATACAAGGTGTAGGCCCTAATTGTAGCTTTAATCTGACGAATATAGCTGTAAAATATCCACAATCGGCACATGCTGTTGCCACAAAGTATATACCTACAAGTTTTGTTTCTAAGGGTTGTTGAAAGTGAAGACTTTAATTTCTATCCGATAAAAAAACAATAGAACAAAACCTATTTCCTGCTTTATTTGGCTCTCATCTAAACCAAGATGAACATATAATACTATACTACATCTGCAAGTAAAAAAAATATGGAATTGGTTTAGTTGATATGACCTCTCAGGGAAATGCATTGTTTCAAGCTTCAAAGAAATGTTGTAAGTTCATTATAGACTCCCTAAAACATAAGTAGATATTCCAGTACATGAAGAACACTTACTATTAATAAAAAGAACTGGAAAGAGGAGAGAATATTAGAAGAAAACATTTTGAAATCAACTATTCAAAATCTTCCTTTAAAACAAAAAATTATCTTAAGAGGTGCAAATACTATAGCGAAGCACAGTGGATGGTTGACATGTGATGTTCCATTAAAAAAACTAATTATTTTCCACTGGAATTCAGAAATGCTCTTGCCGTAAGATATGGAAAAACTCTTGTACACCTCCCCTCGATGGCTGTGGCAAAAACTTCAGTATGGAACTTGTCATTAACTGTCGCACAGGTGGGTTGATCATAAGAAGCCATAACAAAGTAAGGGACACTTTGGAAGTTGGTTTGATGGCATGGGGAAACTGTGTAAAAGAACCACTGATCTCAGATCAAGGGTCATGTGATGCTGCAGCACTGAAAGCAGGGGTGTATGGGAGGTTCAGATAGCGGCATTATTTGATGTACATGTCGTTGACACTGATACTCCATCGTACTCGAACCTCCCATGCGGAAAGTTGGAGAATGCTGAATGAGAGAAGAAAAGAAAGTACTTGACATTAACAGAATCAAGAAACACTTCTTTCACTTTTGCCTCACTAGTCACTTCTGTAGACAAAATGTTAGGCAAGGAGTTCCAAACCTTGCTCAGAGCAATGGCAGAACTACTGACAGAAAAATGTAAGAAACCTTACAGTGTGGTGATGAACTGGATAAGGGTGAAAACCATCTGTGCGACATTAAGGGCCAGCAGAATGTCTCTGAGGAGAACAAGAAAGAAGTGGAGGACCCTTCGAGAATTTGAAGATGGGGCTGGAGTGCCAGAATTTTATTTATTCAAATAGCATTGTTTATTTGAAGCTTTATAAAGGGGTATTTATACTTAAACCCTTGCTCACAAATCTACATGACATTGGTTTTAATTCACTACAACATCTGCTAATATCTGCAATATCAGCTGATATGATACAAACATGCTAATGAGTTGAGACCAAGCAGTCTTAAAGGTTTCCTATGATTATAAAAAAACTATATGGTCTTAGCGACTGAATATGAAACTAGTTAGATTTCACTCACCTTCGTTGTCTGTTTTTCTCCGATGATTAAACGGGATAGAACAACAGTAAAGAGAGGCATTGTAGCTTTCACTGAAAGGAAATAAATTTGGAAATAATTTAATATTCTCTACAAGGTGAATTAAAAATCCATGCTTTTAAACACCTAGATTCAATTTATTAATGTATACACAATGACTTATTTTCACTTGGTTCACTTATATTATCATTTAGATAACTTGTAAACAAAGAAGGAATGTTGGATTTGATTCGACACAATTAATTTTTCCTACAGTTACCAGACAAAGTGGGCTTCCTTGCACTGATTATAGCACACCAAGTAGCTAGGCCTAATAGCTGCATTTAGGCCTACTTACTTTTGCAGCACTCATTTTTTTTGCCGCACTCCAGTATTCCAACCAAACAACATAAAACATTGTGCTTTTATTAGGCACGTAATACGTGGTACACTTGAAAATAAGGTAGCAAAGTCTCAAAAGTAGGCTTGTAAAGCCTACTACAACTATGATCAGCTGGTGCGGGGTTTCCCATTTTGTTCAGTGCTTGGATTTAACCCAACCTAAAAACGTGTTGTATAGTGTTTGAAAGACTAATTATTTAAGTGTGTAACGCAAGTGCAAAGTGCCTTATGCTGCACCCAAGAAATTTTTCTCACATGTTGGTGTGTAAACATTTCTCTCATGTGCAGCAAAGTGCCAGTTCACACAATAGCTACACAAATAACAAAAATGCAGTTTTATAACTCCAAGAGATAACTGCCATATCAGGAATAGGTAGACTTCCGTATCTGTTGGCACAAACAACCGAATGAAAATATCGAATGAAACAATTGAATGATCGATATTTTCATTCGGTTGTTTGTGCCAACAGATACGGAAGTCTACCCTTAGGAATGGTTGTGTGTAAAATTGAATTTTGAGGATTAACCAATGTCTAGATTAGGCCTACTGTAGGCCTAAGTATAGCCTAACAAGCTTAAAGGGAAAACTAAATATGCCTAAATATAGAAATCTGAAAACACTTTCAAAGCATTACTTGCTGGTATTTTTTTCATTCATCAAGCGAATTTGTGAGTACTCCTGAATAAACCAGGTTGACTTAAAAAAGAAATGTGTAGGCTAACTTGCCCTGACAGATGTTAAGATAATTGAAAAGTTGAATTTCTGTATTAAACACTTACCAGTATGTGCATATGAAACTGGAACCTTCCAGATGCTGACATGAGTGAATATTGATGCCATAAATTTTCCTAAAGCGAGAGGAACTATAAATTTGAAGTAGTAGGACCAACTAATATCAACAAACCTCCTCACACCCCACATATTGAAAAATGGCCCTGAATACAAAGTTATGGAGAGTAACTGTACCATTGTTACAGTCATTGGATAAGGAAAGTCATTGAGAACCATTTTACCAACAACATTGTTACTAGAACTAACTATGTACCATAATATACACAAAACTAACACAGTCAATATCTCTCTTGTATGCATTTTGTCAGCCATGCTGGCAGACAAATGTGACATTTGAGTAGTGAGTGGTTAGAAAGCAGACTACATCGTCGACGTAGAACATCTGTTAGAAGCAGGTTGGTCACCGATAGATATTTCATGCACCTAAATATGTAAACCGAAGAGTTTGATATTAAGTTATATATATGTTGACTGATTGTTGTTTAGGATTATTAGCCCATGGTTCCAAAAGTTATTTTAGTCCCATCAGGTGACACAACTTAATAAAGAAATAAATATAATTTAAAGCTATGAGGACTGCTATTTATAAGTTATGAAAAGAAATGTTTAGAAACCAAATTTACATGGTTTATTCAACTTAAAATCCGCTACATTTTAGATGAGAGAAATAACACAAAACTGTAAACATTACATACATAAACAAAAACAATCTTAAATAAAACAGCTGGTGAAATATTTAACAAAGTACAATTGAAACATAATCATAACATTCACCCCATTTTTTTATGTAATATGTAATATCTAGATAGGTGGGAGACCTTCGGACTCTAGTGGAACGGCGCATGTTTGTTTCTTCGTCATTCCTTACGGATGTACTGTAGGGGTCACAGTCTCATGCAGAGGGGATGTTTCGATTTCAGGTTGATTAAAGTTCAATAATAAGAGTATGTTTAATCTATGATAATAAGTTGAAAAAATTTTTACGAAAACAATACTTTCTCCATATACTATGGTATAGGGGGAGAAAGTAAAAATTAGACAAAAAGTTATTTCTACCAGAGGGATTCGAACCCGGCACTTTCAGATTATCAGCTCGGCACGCTATCGAATAGAATAGACCACCGAGGCCGATATCGTCCCATCTTATCGTTATTGGTGTTCCCTCAGCCAATCACAAGCCTCCAAATGACACTGTTGGCAAAACTAATCCTGAAATAAAAATACAGCCAAATAGACCATCGATCTCTATGAGTAGACCAGCTCAGAGGAGGAGACTGGAGTGAGACCTCTCTCAGTCCAGTCCTCCCGTCTCCTCGTCTGCGTCGCGTCTCCTGTCCTGTCGTCCTGCTCCTGTCACCTGTAGCAAAAGCAAAAGCAATGTGTGAGCTGAGCGTGATGGATGGATGGAAGAAGCGTCTGCAGAGTTTGTTGTAGTTGCATTCGTTTACTTATCGAATAACCACTAAATTGTACTAGTTTTGACAAACATCGTAAATATGCGCTAAATTAATTTAATATTTATAATAGAGTCCAAGCTTACTTGGATTTAAATAATATGTAAAGCTAAAATCAAACAACAAATTTTTTTAACCTCAATCTAGAAAGAATAATATTCTAACATTATTTTATTAGTTAAAAACCATTAACTTTTACAATGGATTTTACTTTAGAAAACTTGGAACAAGCCGTCCTTAGATTTTACCATACTGATGCATCCACTCAAGCTCAAGCCCACCAATGGCTAACAGCAGCCCAAACATCACCAAATGCTTGGTGTTTTGTTTGGGAATTGCTTCAGCCAACTAAGGTAAGATTTAAATTACATTCTCTATTGCTATTATAAGTAAAACCATTGGCTATTGGATACTGAAGTTGTATCAATAGTCAAAGGTAAAACACAACTTGAAATTATACAAAATTATTTTGGATTAGGCCTACAGTACTAAAGTACCTAACTTAAGAGGAGCCAGGCCGAAATTTGTTTTTCTTTACACAAATTTAGTTTTTTTGCTGATTGTTATATTCTCCATTTAGTACCAATCCAAACTGCTGCTTGTTGCAACTATACCTAACTTTGCGTCGGTTCAGCTAGGAACCATCTTCAGGCCGTACAAGGTGTTGTTATTTACCTAATTTTATGAATGTTACACTTTTGTGGTGTATATCACTAGTCGCTGAGTGTCTACAGTAAATTCTCTTTGTCGTCCCCTTCCGCTCTCCCCCCTGACCCTGTACACTACAGCTGCTGTAGAACAACGCTATGTGGTCATCGCCGTTTGGGCTCTTCCTGGCTCAAGTACATTTCCGCCCCACCAAACTAGAGCTAAAAGCGCACAGTAGTGTCAGTAGTCCCATAAGCATATATTCTCTGTATCTTACTTTTCTGTGGCTTAACTAAATATTCCCTATTTAAGTTGTGTTTGCTGATTTATTGATCACTAAGTCTCTACCTTATTTCGGTTTTGCAGTGATTCTTTACTTTTGGCTCTATTAAATTAAAGTAGGGCCTATTAAAATAGTGTTTCTAGGTACTGTAAAGAAAATATTAAGAAAAAGAGAATTGTTGTATTTACTATCTAACATCGACCTCTTTTTAGATAGCATCATAGGCTGATTAATTTAGCCTAATTACAAATAAATGGCATGGGTCCAGAAATTATCCCGCTTGGAATCGAATAGCAACCATCAGATTTAAAGACAAGCTCTATAACACTCAGCTATCCAGGCAGATGATTTGTTATAAGGCCTATACTATTTTAACATTTTTCTCTTATTTTAACACAATCTAATATTAAAGAGCTTAAGCCTCTATATTTTTATTTTTCTTTCAGCAAAATATTCAAATTGTTTGTATCTGAAACTTACCTCTCTAACCGTATTATTGTTTCCAGACTCCAGAAGTCCAGTTTTTTGCTGCAACTACACTACATATGAAAGTTATGAAAAATTGGTCAGAAGTTCCTGTTGAACAGTATGAGGATTTGAAAAAGAGGCTTTTGCAGGCAATCATCAACTATGCCACTGGACCTAAGATTGTACTCAACAGGCTTTGTATTGCAGTAAGTACAGGTCATGTAACAGCCTAGCCTACATTATTTGTTTGTTGAGGGTATACTACTTGCTAGGATCAAACAATTTTTGAATTTAAACACATCTGAAAAAGAGAGTCTTATAAAGAGAACTTTCTTTATTAAAATAATCTGTACCTATTTGTTTGGTATACACTTTTTTCTCATTATTGGGTTTATTTTAAGCACTTTATTCTATGGCACTTTTGAGGGAAATGCACATTTCACCCTGAAAATCAAAGCTAACGGTTTTACATGTCAATCATTTAAGTTAACTTATGTAAAATAATTGACTCTAGAATAAGCTTACCAGGTACTCGAATACCTAGCCTTGTGTCCAGTTTAACCCTTTTGCTCCAAATCCAGGTTCACAAAATCTGGTTAGGTACATCTAGTTTATAAGTAAAAAAAGTTAAAATTATTTTAGAGATTACAGTAGGTCTCACCATGAGACCTAATGTAATATTTTACTCCCTATATGGGGAATTGGCTAAAAGAAACTAAAAACATGTAATATTTTGAAACCCTTGTAATCAATGATAATACCAGTGCAAAACATTTTTGATGAAACAATTACCTTTGTCTTTGAATATAACACTATGTTACAATTTTTTTATAATTTTCAGTTGTCTGCGTTTATCCTTCACACAACTCCAAAGTACTGGCCTGGAGCTATCCCTGAACTTCTTGGGACTTTACAGCCGACCAACCTCCCCTCCGTACCTCCGGACAAGGCCCTATGGATCCTACTGGAAGTCCTCACTGTAATCCCGGAAGAGGTAAGGACTCATTTTCTGGGTACAATCACCAGTAGCTTAACTTATCCATCAATGAGTGAAACCTTTGACTATTGTTGTTACTAGTGACATCCTTGTTGAAGCTGTAACTGTAGTCAGAACAAAATTAACATGGTTGAGCCACGACAGAGTAGGTGTTAATGTATATTACTGATTACTGCCAAATACACAAACTTTTCAACTAAACTAAACTGATAGGACAACTTTTCGTAAGCTTTAGCATTTTTTATGTCAGACTCACTTACCCATCATGCGTTACTGTGATTTCAAGAAATTTAACCATTCCATATATGTAAACAATATATTCTTTTACAGTTTCCACAAAATCCTATTGGTAAGATAATTCTTTAATTTAAAAAATCTGTGGTCAACCATAGGTTGATACATCTACGGTTACAGAATATATATAAAAAGTATTGGTTTTACTTTTCCAAGTCCGTTTGGCTGTTCAACCAAACAGATCTGCATCGTTTTGGTCTAAAATTAAAGGCTTGCATGCACAGATTTGCCACCAAGCATCATAATTGTCTTACTTATTTCTCAAATCAATGACACAATCTTAAAACAAACTAACCTACTATATAGGTATTACTATATATTAGGCCTACTGTATAGTTTAATTAACCAGCTGGCTGCCTTATGATAGTGTAAATTAAAAGTATTCATCTGTTCAAATGTAAACAAATATTTTCTCAATAAGGATAACATGGGAACTTTAAAGACCACTAGGGCCTGAGGACTTTTCCAAAATTTTATTTTCATCTGTATTCATCTGTTCAAATGTAAACAAATATTTTCTCAATAAGGATAACATGGGAACTTTAAAGACCACTAGGGCCTGAGGACTTTTCCAAAATTTTATTTTACACAAATCTTCTTGGAGGTGTCACATTGAACAATTAATTCCCCCAAGTTTCATCACAATCGGATGGCTGGATTGGTAACGCATAAAGGACAACCAAACAACAAACATAGCCTACATTGGATTTTATATGTATAGAAGATAAACTATCATAGTAACAAAGGAGGAAGAAGTGTAGTATTCGACGTTATTTTGGATTTAACCTTGGATTACAGAGGCAAAAATACTCTGGAAAAACATTGTATTTCGATTGCTCAATATAACACTGTCATAAACTATTTTGTATTCATTTTGCAAACTTAACCGTCAGTTAGATGATGATAAATGCAGTGTGAACAAACAAAACTGAAATATCAGTGGCTAACACACTTCCAGGACTTGAGGGGATAATGGCTCAATTTTTTCGCATCCATAAAGGCATTGCAGGAAAAAATTGTCTGACATTTCTACAGTCATTATACACAGGCACTGTCTTTACGTCAGCTCATCCCTTTTACTTATGCTCGCTTGTGCTATGACTTTAACAATTATATGGTAATTTTGCCAAATATTAGCATAGTAGTTGAAGATTCCATTAATTGATGTTGTACTGCTTAACACTAAGCGTGGATAGATGAAAACAGTTAAACCTAAAACTTTTTACTAGTCTACAAATGAATTATCTTCAGTTTCAGAGTATGCAGATGACACAAAATCAGAAGGTGAATGCAAGACTGGAGCTCGAAAGAAGCATTCCTCAAGGTAATTTTAATTTACTCTAATAAAATGTTTGTTGAGTTTTCATCAATTAAGCATTCGTTTTAGTTTTAAACTTGTGTACATTTACTTAGTCAAAAATTTGTTTTAGTTTAAACATGAAAATTACAACTAAAATGAGTTCAATTCTGTATGAAGATCATGCCAAAATGTTACCTAGTTCCTGTGTTTTTGTTGTAGTGGTAGGCCTGATAGACTCTGTGCTGTCAGAGTCCAAGGACAGTCAGCTGGTCAGTCAGGCAGTACGTTGTGTGTCAGCCTGGCTACAGCTGGGTATTCCAATCATTGAGTGTGACAACCTTATCTCCAGACTCGTCCAGACAGTCACTACTTCACATTCAAACACACAGTAAGTTGTGTTTGTGTTTTTATCCACATTTAAGTATCCTTTGACCAATTAAAATCTCCTTGGAGTAAGTCTTGGTGGTTCAAAGGCCACCAACCTTTTTCAAAAATAAATTCAAAATCAATACAATTGGTTCCTGGGGAAAACCAATACGGAGAACTGAAAAAAGTCTTCGGTACTTTGCTATTAATTTTACAATTGTTTACCAATCTCTTATTACCACAAAAATATAGGATAAAATATGTCATGCGTTTTATGAGACTACTTAGCAATTAGTTCTGATGATATTGACAGACTGGTAGAATGGGTGTTGGAAGCTCTGAGTCATATGGTGAACCATCCAACATCACACAAGTATCCGGCGGCTGTGCTCAACTTTATATCTCGTGTGTTGCCCATTTACGACCTGGTAGTTCATCATGCTGACAAACCGGTGAGTGCATTGATTTGATCCCAAATAATCTTTTGAGGTAAGTATTAATGGTTTTGTTTTACCTAGGGGTATAGGGGTAGGCTTTTTTACTTCAGACCAAGTTGGGATAGGCCAAAATTGGTTTGGTTTGATTATTGTTGATTATTAAAAAAATATTAATTGGTCTATAAAAACACAATATAAACATTAGGCCTATCTCTTGCAATAATGGTGAATTAGTGAACGTCTCCAATGGTCGCAGCAAAACCACAAATGTCTTCTGCAGGCGAAAGTGTGAGATTCTCTGCAGTAGCAGGGAAATTGTGAAGACCTGCGGTCACTGTGACATCATTATCTTCTCCCCTCATTGCATAAAATATTAAATGATTATAAAATGACACAAAACAAAAAAGTATAACTGATATTTCATATTTTAGCTTAAGGACTTCTCCATTAAAGCTTCTAAGTCCAAAGCTTTGTCTTCTGGAATTCCGGGTTCAAATCCCACCAGTCACCTAGGCCTACTTCATAAGCTATTTTATAATGTTGTGACCCTCGAAGCTAACCTAATGAGTAACAGCTTATGGCTAGGGCCTAGCGTTAAACAACACATGTCATTTCATTGATGATTTTCATTAGACCCACAATGTAATCCTGATTGTAGGACCTGATATCGTCAGTGTACGGGTTGTTTGTCAGCATGGGAGAGTCTCACCCCCGTCTTATTCTCCACTCTCTGTTGACCGAGGCTAGAGACAGCTGTCTTCAACTCATCAACATCATCCTGTCCTGCAGTAATGCTGCGGGCCACTACCCCACGCACGAGTCCTACAGCTACCTGGGGTTCGGCTTCTGGTATATTCTCCAGGTAATTTAACATCTTATACCTCTGGACCACTCTTATGTCTGTAAATAGGTGCTACTCTTACATAGAATAATAATTAAATGTAATCTATTAATAATCTGATAATTGGTAAATGGTAAATTTAATATAATCAGTAATTGTTTAAATCTTAAATTTTTAATCTGTAAAATATGTTTATTTTCTTATGTTATATGGGATAAATTAAAAAAAATCATTCTACTTTGGACAGTTTTTTTTTCATAAAATTAATAGGTACCTGTAAGGCTCAATAACCCTATGTTTTCCGCTAAGGTTGTAGAAGTCGCTTATTGTAATGGACTTTTCACATAAATCTGGTGTTTTAGCAATTGATATAACTTCATCAATTATAGTGACCATAGCGTACAATGTTCTTTAGCTGAATCATCCCACTTTAGTTCTAGCATCATCTTGATAGCTTTTGTTATCATGAACCGCTATGCGAAATAGGATGTGGGAATGTGCATAGTCAAAATAAATAATATTACGGTATTTGAATCACAGTAAAAGACATTTTTACCGATATCTAATTCATTGACTTTGCATAGCTCAACTAAATATTTAAACTAGTTTTCCAGTGTCTATTAATTTATTGAATGTCAGTGAATGATATTTTTTAGATAACATAACTTTGGCAATTGATTCGAGGGTTGTTCTTGATGAGGGCCCGTAACAAGCTTCGGTTGTAAATAGAGAGAGCTCTAGGTAAAAATCTATCACCTACACTGAGTTATTTAATTCACCCTCCTTTATTCTAGCCAGTCCCAACCCAGTGTAATGTACAGTCTTGTATTGGCTGCTAAGAACCAATGGGATACTCAATACCCCCACCATGTGAAAATTGAGTTCTATGATCGTAACTATGTGATAAGACAGTCACACTGTATAAATGTGTACAGATTTGTAAAAATGTGTTAAAGTTTATTTGGATGTTTTTCAATAATCTTACACATTGCCATAACAAGGGAAACCATAATTTCCTATCCAGACAGTGACAAAAAATGTGGAAACTTTGGTTGCAGATACGTTAGGAGGCTCAATATAAATTTAATTTTGGTTCCAGGATGAACTGATTGCCTGTGACATGGACAAGCACCAGGAGTTGATGCCTCTGATTGTACCAGTGTACACCAACCTGGCCGCAGTGCTGGTACATAAGGCGGAGTTTCCTCCTGACAACATGTCAATCAGTACTGAGGACAAGGAGGCTTTCCGCTGCTATCGACAGGACATCGCTGATACTATGGTATGATTATATTACGGCCATTGTTCTTTTTCCCATTATAAGGCCAACACCTCATCATAGTTAGGATTATTATCATAGTGTAGTTTTCTTGTTTCCTGGTGGTTCTCACTTGTGCATTAAGTTAACATGGGGTGAGAATTGTGGGACAGAATATCTTGAACTCTTTACTACAACAAAAGGCTTGTAAAAGTTAACTGTGAAGTATAGTGTTGTATAAATCTAGAGTGTACATTAGGGATGGGTGTTACCTAACGTATTAGTCAAAATGACAGGGTTATCAAAAAATAAATAATCGTTATCGTGGTATTAGGTTACTGCTAGAAACCTGTTATTTGAATAACTCTTTCAGTAGGTTTGCCAACGCCAGCTGCTAGGTTGCCGATGTAACCCTGTTATCCTGGGCCTTCCTGGATAACATAATTTGTCAAATAAAAACTATAACTGTATTAATAAGTAGGCCTATTAGGGTGAAATTGAAAATCCAAAAAAAGGAAATCATTAGAATAAGACTGTACATGATGATATGCGGATAAATAACTGTCTGATCTAATTCTAAGAAAATAACAGTCAGTTCAGTAACAGCGAAGGAATAACATTTTAGCTCGGCAACATTAAGTCGTCATTTCATTCCGGACTGACTGATATTGGCCTGGAGTTCTCGTATTAGGTTATTGAAATAACTGGTTACGATAACCTGTTCCTCTTATTGCTCAGTAACGTGTTAGTGATAACCTTTACCGCAATATAACGATAATTTTCATCTCTAATGTAGTTGTGTTGTTATGAGGCTGGAAGTCTGTGAACCTTGGCAGCCTTTACTCAGCAATTTACCCAACAAACCAGCCTTGCTTGGAAATATTCCAGAATTCGATTAAAACTCACTAAGTCTATGCTCTATCATAGACAAAAAGATTTAAATATAGACCATCAGCCGTGCTACGGTTACCATAAGTTCTGGCACACACCGCTAGGAGCGCCAGAAGCTCCCAACAGTGTGCACCAGAACATATGGTATCCATGGTAACCGCAGCACGGCTGACAGTCTATAGGTATTTAATGCTTTTTGTCTATGGCTCTATGCTTCTATTACTGACTGAAATGTCAGACAATGGTGAAAAGTAGCCATATGATTTCACCTAATTGCTGAGCTATAATCCAAAAGAGTACGCTTTATCATTTTACCTCTCTACTTACTGCAGTTAGGGCTTAGAGGTTGAAAGCTGATAGAGGCTTTGATTTTGTACTGGTAATCTTTTCATATTTCGCCCATGGGGGATTAAATGTAAGGCCTATTGTGTTGTAAACTTGTGTGTGCTATCTTTCTGTAACATATTCATTAAGAAATTTTGTTTAAATTTCGTTTCTTCTTCCCTAATGTATTCCTACGTCAAGTGCTCTATTGAACCAACTGATTGAAATATTTCTATTTTGGTGTAATACATCATAATCAAGTTGTGTTGTATAGATGTACTGTTACAATGTGCTGAGGGAGCCGCTGCTAGTGTTGCTGCTAGACAGACTGCAGACATGCCTGGTGTCAGAGGCAGGCTGGCAGCCACTGGAGGCTACACTTCACGGAGTGCTGTCTGTGGCTGAGTCAGTTAGTGTAGCCGAGGACCGACATCTGCCGCAGTTCTTCGCCGCCTTGCCGTCCATTCCTTTCAACAAACTAAACATCAGAGTGGCCATTACTACACTGGATGTAATAGGTGTGTGATTGGATTAGGAAATGTTTGAATGTTGCTAGTTTAGTTGTGAGACTACAATTAAGTTAATTTACAGGGGTACAATGGATGATAAGAAATTAATATTCTTTGGTATGATAGGGAAATTTTATTCTCAAACGGTTGATATCAAATTGCACATATGAATAAATACTAACAAGCATAATCTATTTGCTCAAAATACGTTGTCTTAATAATTAACTACTAACTAGTACAATGTTTTAACGCTAATTTAAATCATATTTTTTTATTGCCTGTTTAAACTTCAGGAGCATATGCAGAATGGATGAACTGCCACCCTACTACACTCCAACAAGTGATACCACTGTTGATGTTTGGACTGGAGAGTAGTGATACTGCTCCCTCAGCCACCATGAGTCTGAAGGATATCACACGAGATTGTCAGTTACTGCTGGAGCCTCACTCTCATCTCATATTGACAAGGGCAATGGTAGGTCAGACAGTTGTGTCGTGTACAAGGGTTGTCCGTAAATTATGGCCAAGTAAGCTATGTGAGCTAACTCAAATCTGAGCCCAACCTCATGTTCCTTACTATGCTATTGGTTCCTATCTTTATGGAACAAATTGACTTAAATAGTAGAGGTGTGCGGATATCCGAAAAATCGGGTCGGATTCGGTTCGGTTCGGATATCCGTATCCGAACCGGGCCCAAATTCGATATCCGACGCTATCCGTTATATATCCGACTTTTTCGGATAGACAATATATTTTGACGTTTTGGACAGAAAACTAAATCTCCATAGCCACCATTAGTTTCCCAGGACAAAATTACAGCAATACGTTTCCAACGACCTAACATCAAACTGCAAAGAAGCCGTATGATGCAATACTGATAACTAGTTTAGTCGTTATCGGCTGTTTTGCTTTACGATTAGATTCGTCTGGAACGAACAGACTTAAAGCAGAAAAGAACTACCATGGTCAAATGAAAGTCAACTCGTGCTTGTCTCGCTCCTGATACTAGGGGAGCTGCGTAATAGTTTTTTTTACAGTACTGTTTCAAAGTAGAAAAATCTAGCCTACTACTGTGATGTTACGTAAACAATAGATTTAATGTTTCCCAAAAAAAAGTCAGAATAGAAACAATAGAAAGGCAACACAATAGAAGGGTGGGAGGGGTTGGGCAATGACCTCGAAAGGAGCGCGGGTAGTGAGTCAAGTAGGGGGAAGGGGTGGGTAAGACCTTGAAGCTATATATAGACTTGCACTACTTCCCTAAACCTAAAGGACTGGCCGGCGAGTGGTATTCCAATCACAGGACAAGATACGTTTTTTTTTGGGTATTCATTGCCCGGTTTGACTTTGGATTGTCTTACTGTGTAGAAACTTTGAATAATAAAAAATAAAGGTAGAACTAACCACGATTATTTAGCATTGATTGTGTACATATTAAATGATTAAACTATAGGGACCATGGATATATACAAACTTTTGTCGTGATTTTAATTTCAACATCAAAATACAATATTGCACAATCGTGATATTTTAGGTCATTGACCTTTATTATGCATCCGGTATTGCTGTTTCAGAAGAGAAGCACGTTGATAAATTATAAATTGATATTCCCGTAGTTAAAAAGAATTATTTTATAAACCTATGAAACAAAATCATAAAATCTTACATAAAGATAACAATAACGGAAATTGTAAAAAAGGTATAAAGATAACAACGTTGTTATTCTTTCTCTTTGTTCTTCTATTTCTTGGGTTTCCCTTCATCACGCTTTCAACAAGTTGCCATGGTTACTAATCACCCATGTCGTTATCAGCTTTTGTGACATAGCGCACAGCAGGGGGGTAAAACTTGACAAAAATCGGTTAATTTTTACCTATTATTTAATTACCAGTGAATGTACTACTTTATTGGTATTTGGTACTGTATTAATAATCGGTCAAAATGGCCGATTTTTGTCAAATTTTACACCAAATTTATTGAAATTTCAAGGTGAATATTAATAAAACAATTATTACCAAATATTTGTATTCATTTAAAAGATTGATTTGTGGTATTGGGTTCCCCACTGAGTGCAGCCGAGCGGCACTAATGAGGGTCGGACCTTCTTGGGGGTGAACAATAGACGGCTTATCAGACCCTCCCCTCCCCCGGTCTGGAGAAAGCTTGTAAACAAACTATTGCACAAGCGTGACTTGACATTGGGCTGCTTCAACTATAATTTTGTCAAATGAACTGTGGTGTTTGAAAATCAAAAACAATAATTTGGGACCATACTGCTTAACAATAATGGACTGCAATTATTGTTGAACATACAATCCATTTTTAACAAACTAAGATTATACGATTCAAATACAATTATAAAAATTATCTTGGTATTTTACTTGGGGGGTAATGAAGTTATGTAGGCTAGTGTAATTCTCGGTTCATCAAGGTTCTACTGAATTATGTTTGGCAGTGAATAAGTGTAGAATGCAATTTATAAATTCAGGGATACACACCTTTTACACAGTTATAAAGTCTAATTTAATTGCCCAACATCAAATTGTGAGTTAGAGCCCATCTTAGTGCATTAGTGATGTTTTCGAAACTTGGCAAACCCGCAAAATGCCACTTAAGGCCAATAATCCGTTCCAAAAACGTAAGGATTTACAATGTGAAAATAAACTTGAGATCGAACTCCTTAGCTTGTGAGAACCAGGAAACAAGATAAAACATAACCTCAAGTAAACAAGCCCAAACGTTTTACATCAGTCCTGCTGAGCTAAGGTGTTGTGTGAAGATTTCGGCTGTTAGTGTACTAATTCAAGCAACCAACTTTTGAAAATAAATGTTGTGAATTGTGATTTTCAAGAGAGAGAAAACTGTGGACTTGGCTAATTTGAAATTCTATCATTCAAAATCGTCATTTAAGTTTATTTACACAGCTTTACATTGTTTTATAGGTTAAAAATACATATGCAGCTTATTTTTAACCGCGCCGAACTATCCGAATCCGAAAATATCCAAATCCGAACCTCCCAATATCCGATCCGATCCGAACCGAGCCTCAACTATCCGATCCGAATCCGATCCGAAATGAAATTTCACTATCCGCACACCTCTAGCTCACTCACTCACTCCCATGGCCATTTTTTGCCCAAGGCGAGATTTTGCCGCACCAAAAAATGCTCTCCATCTCTCTATCTTCTGCCTCTTCAGCTGCTGTCCCCAACAAATAGTCTAGTCCCAGTATTAAAATATGGTGTGAAAGAAAATTTCTCCTGCCAAGTATAAATGGAGTTCTGTAATTGTATGTCTGTGGTCCTGGTCGGAAACCATCATTTAAGTCCTTTGCCAGTTGACGGACGTGAATGGAGTAAGGTTTTTGAAAGAAAAAATGTACGCGAGGAGTAGCAAGGGAGTTTGGAGGTGGTTTTAACCATTTGCACAATGTGTTTCATGGTGTAAGCTGACTGCTGTTATTGTTATTCGTTAGTCTCAATTGAAGTAGGGACCAAATTTAGTGTAATTTTGAATACAGATAGCAGTGTCACTGAACAAGAGGAATTATCAAATTAATATCGGACAACTCTATAAGACTGTAAGAAGTATTATTTGACTCTAGAAGTCTGAAACATGCCAATAAGCGAGCTGAGTTTCTTTGAATTCAATCACTGTCTCCATAGAAACTGATGAACACCAGCTGCGGACCCAGTTATGCAAATACAAATTCTACAAACTCCCCACTAATGGACATTTTATATGTTGAGACACTTTTCTCATATACTCATGACAATTTTGAAACATTAATCAACAGGGGTTGATCCCCTTCCTCCAGAAACTGAATTACAGAAGGGGATTCATTCTTGGCTATGTAGCTCAATTTCCATTATTTTTTTTAATATAATAATGATGATACTAATTATCTCATAGGAATGAGAACCAACTAGATAGTAGTGGATGAAGTGAGGAACATGACAGTGGTCTCAAATTTAAACTAGCGTGTTTGGCTATGGCGGGAGTTTCATGGAGACCTTAATTTATAGACAGACCTCGTAGTAAAGAAAATTCATAGATGTTGTGAGACAGATTAATTATTTTGTTAGAATTCTGTTGGATATTGGATCGTGTCAGATGTAAAACGTTGACCTTTTGGTCTTTAGCTAAAATCGGGTTGTTTTAAGAATTTTTCAAAGAAGTAGATAAAAGTAAAGTATTAATTATTTTATTTTTACCCTAATATCAGTTGATTAAACTATTGTACATAAATTTCTCCCTCAATTGCAGTAAAATCTTTAAAATTTGTACGTATTTTAAAATCCTTACTGTGATCACAGCAAAATCATGAACATCTTTCTTGTTCACATAAATATCATCATTATTGTCTCTCGTAATCACAAAAAAATCTTGAATTTTTGATTGAGCAATCTTTGTAGATACATTCTGCAGTTGTAAGGATAAAAGGTTGCATACGACGGTACCTCTAATACAAATAACAAATAACCCAACCCAAGCTTGTCCCAAAAATCTTTTCTGGCTTAAACCAATATCTCAGGCCAACTGTTGGCTTGGACAGACCTGGGGAATTATAATTTTAACTCTTATTACTGTGCAAGACAATCTTTCTTATGTAAACATTGTCTCAAGCTATGTTTGTTGACAGGAGGTGTTGCGAGCTGGAACTCTGAAGCAGAATGAGAGTGTGCGTCTGATGTACTCTGTGGGAAGGGTGTTGTCAATACTACCATTGCAGACTATCATACAGTACCTGGATAACGTCATGCTTCCCTGTGTGGACGAGTTGCAACTGCTGTTAAACCAACCGGTGAGTAACAATTATTACTAACCGATTTTAAAATGTTAGCTGGTTTACTAGTATAAATTTTAAATGCAATAATTTGCTACCCACAGAGAAAAAATAGCTGGTTTAATACTGAGAAATATCAGTTGTTTGTAGACAGTTTTGAAACTCGATCCAGATGGCCTTTGATCAATTAAAAATTTTTTTAAACAACCCTGTCTAAAGGAAACAGCTGACTGATCCAGTCAACCCTTTTACACTCATCTGAGCCTTGAAACATTCACCCTGGTGTTTAAGCGTTTTATAACCTAATATAACCTAGTACAAACAACCATTCAAGTCAACAGATCGAAATTCACAACTTGGTCTGCAGGTTGGCTGTGATGGGGATATTTGAGAATTACTATCAGCACGTTTTTATTTCCAATTAAATATTTGAACTGTTCAAACGGAAATAAACATTAATATTCCATTCACAGGATAGTGCAGAAGTTAAAGCAGCACTCTTGCTCAGGCTGAAGATGCTGAGTATGATTTGCAACTCATTAGACACGCAAGCTGTGGCTGGCCACACTGCCAGTGGAGGTAGTGGCGACACTGCAATCGTACCCATGGAACAGCCTGTATACCTGGTATTGGAGAAGGTACTACCTACCTTGACAGCTATAGTGAACAAGTGGCAGCAGGACCCTTGTATCATACAGGTCAGTAGCCTTTTAACATATTTGGTAACAACGCTAATAGAGTGGTTGGTAGCATTGGTTCTATATATATAGATTAGTCAAGAACATTTTCAGGCAGTTTCTCCCAACCCTTTCCAATAAACCATGTCTATAATAAATGACTGGGAATCCGATAAGTAGATCACAATGTCATAAAATATTGTAGAATTAGTTTACAATATCACCGAATATTGTGATAGTAGGTCACCAATTTGTCATAATTGCAATGGTAAATCAAAGTACCTACTAAAGAGGATAAAAGAACTATTGTGAGAGTATCTGAGGATTGAGTTGAATGCGTCGCTACCGCTAGCTGCCACGTCTTACCAACATATTTATGATAACCCAACCTAACATAACCGCCACAGCGCGTTGTATGAGGGTGGCCTCCGGATAATACCAAAGTACCCAATAAATATCTATTCATTGATTTCATCCCAAGCCAAATAAATTCAAATTCAAATGTTTCTGTACACTATTATCATAATGTATAGTTATAATATTTAATTGACACTTATCTTAAGTGCTTTTTGCTACAGATAAAAAAACAGTATTATGTCATTATTTTTGTTGACCTATAGGCTAACTGTTCGGTACTTATTAAAAGTCCCTAGATTGGTGCTACCCTAACCTTGCCCAACGTTATCTACGGCGAATCGTCCCCACTCCGACTACTGGAAACGCTACTCACAAGCATTGCCGACGGCGTCATGGGCAGACGTCCGTACCTACCTACATCATTTTAAATAGACTCGACTCTTTCATTTACTCATTAATTCAATTAACTTCATTTCTGTCAGTTTTAAGTTTTTTTCAATATACCAGTCATTTTTAACTTCACCAGTGCTAGTCATTTCCCTTGTTGTTGCCCCCGCACCCTTGGTCTACACCGCTGCTGTCTACACCGCTTCCATCCCCTGGACTACCCACTACCTTGGACGAGACGGACATCATCCACCTTCAAGACATCCGACAAGGTAACGGTAGCACCAGAATTAATTTTGTTGTTCAAACCGCCGTACGGCTTTCCGTTAAAGACCGTACACAATTTGGCCCTTCTACCCGCGGATATGATTTCGTACTATGCACCTTAATTTAATAACCGCAAATACAGTCCACGTAAACATCTCAACTTATTCTCAGATAATTTCTCTCCTCATGAAACAAACCTTGCAATAATTTTATATGTAGTTATAAATTGTTGTTTAGTTTGAGTTCAATAACCTTGTACAGTGAACAGACAGACAGGAATAGTTTTGTAAAGTTTTGGCTTGTAGCTATGCGCTGATAAATTGACCGTTATCCTAGTTTCTATGTCTCAAGGTCAACTAACGCACCACAATATTCTGCATTGTATTGTATCCATTCCAAAAATAGCTCTGACGTAACCGCACCGAATATTCGCTTTATCAGTCAGCTGATCTAACTGGAAATATTCTACCTCTATATTTTATTTTACTGAATTTATTTCCTTGTACTCACTTTCACAATGATATGATTGATATGTCCACTTAATACTTGTCTATTAATACTGCATTTATAATAGTTGTAATTTGTATTTTATTTTATTTTTGTTAAAGAGATATTAATAGTATACATTTCACAATGGCTGCTAAGAGTCTTGAAAAGTGTGTTAAGAAAAGAGAAAGGTATTTTTATAAGTTACAATTATGTTACGATCTTGTAAAAGAATTGCCACAACAGAAAGATAGTTTTATTGCTAGGTATTCTAATTTGTCTAATGTGTACTCATCATTTGAATCTCTTTCCGAAGAAATGGATAACCTCAATCTTGAAATAAGTGATGTTAGCGTTAGGGTAGATACTAGCGCGCCTTTTAAACAGTTTGATGACATGTACTATAAATGTATGGCTGCCTACAACAAGATTGTTGCCTCTGATCCACCTTCAAATGTCAATGTTGAACCATCACCCGCAGTTCAGCCTAAACCTAAACTACCCCAGATAGATATCAGTAAGTTTGGTGGACAGTTGGAACAATTTAACTCGTTTAAAGCTTTGTATGATAACTTGATTCACAATACTTCTTTGGCCCCAATGGAGAAGTTTAGTTATTTAAAGAGCTTACTGGAAGGCCCCGCTTTGTCTATTGTTGAAGGCATACCATTCGATCCAGACAACTATAAGTTAGCTTATGACTCTTTGGTTGAACGCTACACCAATCCCCGTATCTTGGCTTGTTTTTATCTCAATAAAATACTAGATCAGCAACCTGTAAAGACCCCTAGTCTAAGTAGTTTAAGACAAGTTCTTGATGTGTTTCATATTAATGTCCAAGCGTTGAAAAGCCTAAAAGTAGGTGATTTGTCAGATTTCATGTTGCTACAGTTAGCGCTACGTAATTTAGACAATAGTACAAGGAAAGCATTTGAGTTAGAGTTTAAATCTAAGCAATTTCCCACCTTAGAAGACCTTATGGAATTTCTTCGTGCTCAGTGCTGTGTCTATGAACTCACTAAAGAATCTCACAAATCTACTTTAGTTTTGCCCAAGTCACAAATCCCTCATACTCGCAAAACATTGTTCTCATCTCACTCAACTCAACGCAGTACAACTCAGCCTGACCGCACAGCAACCCAGTCATCTTATCGCCTCGCTATCAGTTGTCCTATGTGTAAAGGTGAACACCAACTGTACCGATGTGATCAATTCCTCGCTTTGGCCCCGCACAAACGTTATTCTACAGTACGTTCATTCAATCGTTGTTTCGCATGTCTCGGTTCCCACCTAATTTCCATGTGCACTTCTAAGTCGAGCTGTCGGGTTTGCAGAAGTAACAGACATCACTCTCTACTCCATGAACCAAGCCGAGTCACCGCACCGCTGCCTAAACCAAATGTGAATCCTGACCTACCTCAAACCTCCGCTGCGCATTCACCGCCCTCAACCACCGTCAACCCCGTGCCTACTACTTCTGTTAACACTACACCTGCTCAAACTTTATCCTGTCAGTTTCAGCATAATTCAATGAGTAATTCTACCCTGCTAGGTACCGCTCAAGTGTTGGTTCAAGATGATCTAGGCCACTGGCAAGTTTGCCGGGCTGTTATTGATGGAGGTAGTCAGATTAATTTTGTTACTCAATCTCTAGCCCAGACATTACGTTTACCAATCAGAAAATGTAATGTTAACATTTCTGGAATTGGCCAACAATCTGATTTAACCGCAAAAGGACTTGTCACTTGTAACGTTGCTTCCCGCTATAACAGAGACGATAACATTCAGATGGACGCAGTAATAATTCCTCAAATCTCTTCTGTACTTCCGGCTGCACCTATTCCCGAATCATTGATAAATCGTTTCAATTCTATACAACTGGCTGACCCTGATTTTCACCGCCCTGCCAAGGTTGATATTTTGTTCGGAGCACAGGCTTTCACAGACATTCTTTCGGATGGTTTCGCGCTTATTAAAGGCAAACCAAGCGCCCTCAGCACAATCTTTGGATGGATCCTTATGGGTGATGTTCCCACACAGCCCATGCAACAACACGAACTAAATTCTTTGTTTGTTTCATCTCAAAGCACTGATAGGCTCTTAGAAAAGTTCTGGGAAATGGAAGAAATAAATTTACCAAAACCCTTAAGTCCCTCTGATCAGGCATGTGAAGACCACTATCAGTCCACCATCCAGAGAGATAATACCGGACGTTACGTAGCCTCCTTACCCTTTAAAGACGTTAAACCTGACTTAGGCTCCACTAGAAAAATAGCTCTCCGCAAGTATCTCCAACAAGAGACAAGATTTCACAAGAAACCAGATATTCGTGTTCAATATATGACTCACATGCAGAACTATGTTGACCTAGGTCATATGTGTTTGGCCCCTGCGCCCTCTCCATACATTCTTACTCATCACGGTGTCGTTAAAGAATCTTCTACATCCTCCCCGCTTCGTGTTGTGTTCAACGCTTCTGAATTAAGTGACACAAATCAGTCTCTTAATAAATCACTGTTAACTGGACCTAAGCTTCAAGCTGATATTGGAACTATTATCACAAACTTCAGATTGCACCAGATTGCTATGACTTGTGACTTCAAACAAATGTATCGAGCTATTCGTATAACACCGGCTGATTGTAAATATCATCATTTGTTTTGGCGCTCTGACCTCACAGGCCCTGTACAGGAATGGGAATTACAAAGACTAACCTTTGGTCTCTCGCGCAGTCCTTATATTGCACAACGAACTTTAAAGCAACTAGTGCTTGATGAAGGCGCTAAGTACCCAAATGCGGCTGATATTCTAAGCTCCTCTTGTTATATTGACGATCTTGTTTTTGGCGCTCCAACCGAGACTTTGGCTCTTAAGCTTTACGATGAAATCACCCAACTTTGCTCATCAGGTGGTTTCGAACTTCATAAGTGGTCAAGTTCAAGTAGCTCCGTCCTCGCCACAATCCCCGCTGATCGTCGAGAAACACCCCATCCGTTAGGATCTACACACTCGATTAAAGTACTAGGACTTGAATGGGACCCGACTACTGACTGTTTCCGCTACTCTATTTCACCTGTCAACAGTACACCAACCAAACGCAATGTATTGTCTCAAGTTGCTCGAGTTTACGATGTAAACGGCTTTATTAGTCCAATTATTTTCACCTTAAAACATCTACTTCAACAGATTTGGATTGAAAAGCTCAACTGGGACGACCCTCTCCCTCAATCTCTCCAAAATGTTTGGGATAAATTCATCAAAGAACTACCCCTTATGACACAGTTCAAAATACCTCGCTACATTCTCAGTAACTACTTAACCGCTCAGCTGATTGGTTTCTCTGATGCTTCCAAAATAGGAATGTGCGCCTCCTTGTATCTACGTATTGAATGTGAAGATAATAGTGTAGAGTGCAATCTCCTGCAATCCAAAACTAAAGTCGCTCCTCTGAAAACACTTACGATCCCTCGTTTAGAATAATGTGCCGCTCTTCTCCTCTCTCAGTTAGTAAAAGCGAACCAACCGCTTATTAACAAACTGCAAATATCAGACATCTTTCTATTCACAGACTCCATGAATGTCCTTGGTTGGTTAAATACACCACCACACCTACTAGAAACCTTTGTCTCAAACCGTGTCTGTAAAATCACAGAAATCACCCCTGTTGATGTTTGGCGTCATATATCAGGAGATGAAAACCCTTCTGACTGTGGCACTAGAGGTTTAATGCCGAATAGTCTGTTGAGTCACCCTCTTTGGTGGCATGGACCCTCTTTTATCCACAATGATATCTCATCTTGGACTCAACCGCCTTCAAACTTTCCTTCGGATGTTATTGAGCTTCAAAAAACTCCCACGAAGAACACCTTAACAACTAACACTGTTCCGCAAAATGATCTTTATCAATGGATGAATAGGTTTTCATCACTTATTAAACTTCAAAACATCATGGGCTATGTACTGAGATTTATCCATAACTCACGATCTGATCAATGTGATAAACGCTATGGCTCGTTATCAGTTTCTGAACGAGATGCCGCTCTGGAATGTTGTATAAAATTAGTTCAAACAAGGCACTATTCTGAAGAAATAAAAGCTCTAAAACTATCCAAGCCTTGTTCTTCATCACTAAGAAAACTCTCTCCATTTCTATCCTCGGACACCCTCATGGTGGGGGGTAGATTGAAATTAGCTCCTTTGCCGGAATCATCAAAACACCCTGTATTGATACCCTCTCAGTGTCATTTGGCAAACCTTTTATGTGATTACTATCACTTGTATTCTCTACATGGTGGTCCAAAACTAGTACAAGCATTAATTCAAAGACGCTTCTGGATTATTGGTGCAAGAAATCTTATAAGAAAACGATTATTTCGATGTATCACTTGCTACAAAATGAAAGCTAAACCCACGCAACCTCTTATGGCAGATCTTCCACCCTCACGATTTCAACAGACCCGATGCTTTATTAATGTCGGATTAGATTTTGCTGGCCCTTTTCTCGTTAAAGAAAGCACGAGACGAAATGCAAAACTATCAAAGTGCTATATTGCCGTATTTGTGTGTATGGCAGTTAAAGCCGTCCATCTAGAGTTAGTGCATTCACTCTCTACTGAATCTTGTTTAGCCGCTATAGACAGATTTATCGCTCGGAGAGGAATCTGCCGAAACATTTACTCTGATCAAGGTCGCAACTTCGTCGGTGCTGCACGCCAACTACAAGAAATCTACTCTCTCCTGAAGAACTCCACCTCACAGATCTCAGAACATTTGGCTCAACGAGAAATAATTTGGAACTTTATTCCGCCATATGCCCCAAACTTCGGAGGCCTCTGGGAGGCTGCAGTGAAGTCGACCAAACACCATCTTAAAAGGATACTGCAAAACCATAATTTCACGGCTGAAGAATTCACCACATTCCTGTGCCGTGTTGAAGCTGTACTGAACTCCAGACCGCTTTGCGCACTCTCATCGTCACCTGATGACGACTTTAACTACTTGTCTCCTGGCCACTTCCTCACAGGAGACCTCCTGCTATCACGACCGGAAGAAGACATCTCGGAAGAACCCTTAAACTTACTCTCACGCTGGCAGCTAGTTTCTCGTGCCTCTCAACACTTCTGGAAAAGCTGGAGAAGAGATTATCTCCATACTCTTATCCAACGCCCCAAATGGACTGAGAAAACCAAGGAAGGAGACTTAGTTTTAATGTACTCTAATAATACTGATCCTTTGACTTGGCCCCTAGGTAGGATAATTCAGGTTATGCCAGGATCCGACCAAGTTGTAAGAGTTGTTAAAGTCAAAACCCCTGTAGGTATTGTAACACGCCCTGTAAATAAGTTAGTTCATCTCCCTATGGTTTAGATTGTGTTACCTTTGTCTTTTTGTACATATTATCAACATTTTGTATTATCTTTATAGTTAGGTAACAGGTTTGTTTCATGATGACGGTTATTATCCAAGGTTTTGATTTTAAAGATTTACCGTTTCTTTAATGTTCTTTAATATTTTCTAAAAAAATGCTTTTTTGGGTGGGGGGAATGTTCGGTACTTATTAAAAGTCCCTAGATTGGTGCTACCCTAACCTCGCCCAACGTTATCTACGGCGAATCGTCCCCACTCCGACTACTGGAAACGCTACTCACTAGCATTGCCGACGGCGTCATGGGCAGACGTCCGTACCTACCTACATCATTTTAAATAGACTCTTTCATTTACTCATTAATTCAATTAACTTCATTTCTGTCAGTTTTAAGTTTTTTTCAATATACCAGTCATTTTTAACTTCACCAGTGCTAGTCATTTCCCTTGTTGTTGCCCCCGCACCCTTGGTCTACACCGCTGCTGTCTACACCGCTTCCATCCCCTGGACTACCCACTACCTTGGACGAGACGGACATCATCCACCTTCAAGACATCCGACAAGGTAACGGTAGCACCAGAATTAATTTTGTTGTTCAAACCGCCGTACGGCTTTCCGTTAAAGACCGTACACTAACCATAACCTCGTGGACTCAAAACTTTCCTTAGGGAAGCTTAACTTGTCTCCATCCCCTAAATCAACCACAAGGGTTTCTCCCAGTTTAGTTGAAAGTTATCGTGTATGTTGTTACCCTAGGCTGTCTGCTGTGTGCTGAAGCACGCTATCAGCACACTATTGGAGTGCTGCACACCCCTAGTACCTGCAGTGACTGAACTGTTAGCAGCCAGCTACAGACTCCACCCTCACTCCTCCCCTCTGGAGGTCATTAGGCAGGTCAGTGCATGGTCGAGTATTAGTGTTGAATCTCTTTGAAATATACATCTGTTTTTATCTCTGGGTGAATGCATGCACTGATACATCAACTTGGTTGAAATTTGCACCAAAGTAGATCATGAACTCTGTTCGTGTTCTTAAACATCCTCAGGCTACACTCTGGGGACAAAATTTTCAGGTGATTGGTCTCTATGTTAACTTGTAGAAAATCATAATGTCGTACTTTAGCTGCACTTACATTACAAATTTTACTTTACAATAATTTTTATTCTGACATCCAGCTATACCTTAATCACAAAATTTAGGCAGTTCGAGGGGAAGCAATTTCATCCCCCCCATTTCACCCTAACTAAGAAAAAACAGCCACCAGGGACAGCTGGTCAGCTGATGTATGCATTAAGATAAATAAGTGGTGAGTCAACCCAGGAAACCTTCCCCTTAACCCGCCAAGTCTGTAAAAGTTAGTAGCTTTTCGATGGTTTTAAACTAGGCCAGCTGACGTTGATTATTTTGCTTTTAAATGGTTCTTGCTTAGTCAATAACAAAGCCACATAGTTAAAAACTCACACCATTCTAAACTGACCCTTTATTAGTTTATTAATATGCCTTAAAATAAGCACTAGTTGTGAGTTGCTATGTTAAAACTAACAAATGGCAATGAATGATCACCTCTCATTTACTGTCCCACAGCTGTGTCTGTTGTTTGGTCGAGAGGGTAGTCCGCACCAGCCCCTGGTACAGTCCCTGCTGACCGTCACTGTACGCAACACACTCGAGCTACCTATCACGGAACACACAGACGTAGCAGAGGCGTTCATGCAGCTTTGCGCCAACCTGATAAAGAAAAATCCTTCCTTGCTCATCTGTCCTCAAGACATTGACATGACGGAGCTGCTCACATTTGGTAAGTGATTGGGACTGATGTTAGTTTGTAATTTTGTAGTCTTAAAATACTGGAATCGATAAAAGGAGTTTGTTAAAATACTGAAAAGTAAAAACCTCTTTAAAACATATACACTTATACCAAAATTTCAGATTAATAAACATCGATAAATAGAGAACGCTGTGAGAAATAGCAACGCTGTCCATTGACTCTAAAAAGTGGTGCAGTGTAATATTTAAAAATATAAACCTACTTTAAGAAACTCATTTTAATGGTATAAAAGCACCATAGAAAAAGACTAATAGACTAATAACTTCTTAAACTAAAAACTAGGTGAATAAATTCTATCCTTAACCATAAAAAAATGGCAGCCATTTCGTATTTTCCCACAGTCATGACCAATTGTGTCGGCAAATTGTAGATATGCTCATTGAACTTTTCATTGGATATTTTAATAAACTCAAACCTAAGTGCACCGAATATCCAATTCCATTTTGTTATCAGTAGCTACAAAAAATGTTCTCACTGTCTCAAAAGGGAGTATTTTGGGAAGATTTCCAATTTAAAAAAATAAAAACCCACTTAGATTGAAATATTTAAATTCTTTATGGGTATATTTCAATGCAATCTCATATTTTAAGTAATTTTTTGTAAACGGGAGAATGACCCATGAATATAAAATACGTTAACGATAATCCATGAGGTTAAACTGTGGAATTTTGATCTTTAGAAGATGACTGTGTCATTGAATTGGCAAAAACACTGACCAACCAGTATTTTATGAATTGATAAAGTGCTTATAAATTTTCAGCTAGTATTTTCTTTTGACTAGTTCAATGACCAACTCATGGGAGCTTAAGACCAAGATTTAACAACTGAATACATACATGAGTATTCACATTTAAGTATGATGAATCCACAAGAAATGTAAGAGTAATTTAAATCGTAGTTTGCTGTGCAATAGTCCTAGATTACTGTAAATTTAAATACATTGCTTTAGAAATTAAGCTAATTAAGAATGGTTCCCACAGCCATCGCTGTGCTGGGTCAGCCAGAGTTGCCAACTGTCAAAGCTGCGTCGGTGTTCCTCACAAACCTGATTGGTCTCAGTAGAGAGCAGCCTAAGCTGTTGACAGCAGTGCAGTCTACTGGGGAACAGCTGGTCCACAGGATACTAAGGAATATTGGTTAGTAGTTAGTACCTATGTAATGCTATTTTTGTACGTTGTAGTTAAGAGTATTTTACCAGATGTTTCTTAAATATTATGGGATAAAAAATTAACGAGAGTTTGTTGTTTCTTACCCATTTATGCACTGAAAAATGTAATGTCCTTGTTGATTTCAGGTGGAGAGTCACCCCGTGGGTGTATAGACCCTTTGGCAGACCTGCTGTTGATCCTCAACAAGAAGTACTGTGATAACCTGAGTCGTTGGCTCTATCAGACAATATCCATCAACGGATTCCCGTCGCCCAAGGCTTCCGTAGACAACAAGCAACACTTTGTCAAAAGTGTTCTCAAGTGAGTAAAATTTGACTACTAGGGTTTACAAATATAAAATTAATGAGAAAACTTGGATGATTATCAGGAGAAATTGTCGTAAGTGTTTTTAATGAAGACCACAAAGCTTTATGAAAAATGGTGTCATTTCTGTCATGTCGCATCCAAACCTGGTGCAAGTGCTGGAATACAAATGGACACTTGTATAATTTTAAAAAAACTGCATTGTATTTCAAGATGCAAGCTGATACAGAGGTAGGACGATGACTGACTTTGTACGGATTTTGTTATGTGGTTGTTGGGAAGGGTGCTGCGATGGAACAACCAATGGGTTTAGATGAATTAATCAGATTATAATTGGTCACATCGCACAGTGATGTACGGTCATTGATCGAGCTGGCAGATTAAATCAAAACTCATCCAAACCTAGAAACAAATATAAGAGAGGTACTTTGTAAAATTTGAAGGAAAATTCATACAAATCATTTTAGGTTTGTAAATTGATTAGTAACTGGAAATAGATAATTAGTCTAACATGTATCTTAAAAAGCTGTTAAAGTTGTAAAGAATTTAAAATTAATTCATATTGGGATAACGTTTATCACAGTTAAATTGTCTAGCACTTAAAAATCTGCTAGAAGCGCCGAGGAAAAGAAAAGCTGGTATAAACTACCATCTTTAGCCTTGAACTGCCAACAAAAAATATACTTTACCCCAAAACCTCTCTGACTTAATTTTATAACTGTTACTTGATTGTTGTTAATTTATTCTTGCAGAGAGAGAGCCAACAAACGGAAGGTGCAGGAAATCATTCAAGAGTTCTCACTTATCTGCCGAGGTCTGGTCGGGACAGAATATGCAGCTCAGTTGAAGGCTCAACACCTGTAGTTGGATTGTCAACCAGGCCTAATAGGTAACCTTTGAACAGTTAGTGTTAAGGTGTTGTATTTAGACTGTATACTGTACAGTCATTTAACACAGTAAAAACGTGTGATTTAAGGAGCTTTATCATACAAAGAGAGAGCCAGTTAGAGTTAATCAAGACTACTTTTTATAGTTATCTTATCTTTTAACATTCTCTTTGACTTATTTGTGTACAAGTCAGGGTGTCCACATTCTGGAAAGTCAGGGATAGTCATAAAAAGTCATGGAAAAAAATTTTGGTCATTGAAAGTCAGGGAAATAGGCAAGAAGTCATGGAAAGTCATGGAAATTTCCAATTATGGATGGATTTGAGGGGACCATTCAATGCTCTAGTCAGCCGTAACCCGGACTGTTGTAGCATTTTTCAGGATTTTTCACAAATGTTCGACAGTTCAATTTATTACAGTTGTATTATTTTATGAGTTTTCGGTTTGTTTTAGTTCATTGTTGTACCTATTGTACTCCATTGTTATCTGTTATTATATATTTCAGTATTTTCTGCAAAATAACATGTCCAGGCAGTATTATTTGTGTGTGTATGTTATATTATAATTTGCGTGTAAAGTTCGTGAGTCATGGAAATCAATGGTAAATGGTCATGGATAGTCATGGAAAGTCATGGAAATTAATGACAAATCTTTTGTGGACACCCTGCAAGTTATCAAATATTTTTAAAATTAAGTTATCCAAAATCGTCAGATCCAATAAGTTTGAATCTCAAAATTGTTCTCGAATCTTAGATTAATGTATTATTTTCAATAAAGAAAATCCTGGAAAATTATATTATTACCGGTATTGGGTACCTATTCACTTATTTTTTATCAATCCTAAAATTCTAACTACCTATATATTTTAAACATCATAGTAGGGTAAATTGTATTACTACCAGGCCAACATAAGTAAGGATGGGTAAATGAATGAAATGATCAAATGTTTTTGCTGTTATGATCAGACTATTAACAGAAAATAAGGTTACTAACCTGTCGTCATTTAATACTATAATTGTCGTAGATGACTATAGTTTGTAGATGACTATTTTCAAATCTTTCTCTTCAGTGGTCAATGTCAAACATATCTTCTTGCGTTTACCGTTGTCAAAAATAAGTTACTTGATACTTACTTGGTGATCTCCCACTGGTAGCGCAGCTGCGCCGTGGTCGTCAGTTTTTTTTTTTTTTGGCCTATTTTTCTTTTAGATATTCTTCAACAGAATAATATGGCCTCTTCAATAGATATTCTTTAAATTTCCTCTTGAATTCATCTTGATCTTCAATGCTTTTTATATTTAGAGGGATCAAGTTGTAGATTAAGCTTGATAAAAACTTTGGTCCGTCCTTTACTAAACTTGAGTTGACTTGATTTAGATGAATGTTGTTTTTTTGCCTTGTTGAGTAGTTGTGAATTGAGTAGTTAGGTTACTGGTTACGCACCGTTTACTTCACACATGAACACATACAGAACTTTCTTTATGTGTTCATGTGTGAAGTAAAACGACTGAATAGAAAGATTTAAAAATGGGGTTTTAACCCCGAAACTATAGTCATCTACGACATTTATAAGATTAATTGACAACAGGTTAGTAACATTATTTTATGTAAATAAGTCAATCATGGAGGCAAATTAAATGTATTAAAAAAACAGATTAATAACTTCTAAATTAGCTCTTCAGTAGTCTTTCCATATGATCTAACTAGCCTATATAAAACAATGAGTGCATAGTTACCTTGTGACTTATTAAAATGAACGACTATAACTTCATGAAATTTCACATGCCTGTTTTAATAATGGGCTAATTGTAAATTTTTTCTAAATCTAACAAATTGTAATTTTCAGGGTTGTGCTTTTGAAGAGTTCCTCAAGTCTTCTTATGTGAGCTTCCAAAATTCATTCTTCAATTAAAAGATAGTTTAAGAATTGCAATTTGTATACATTTAAGAATGATACAACGACTTTACCTTTAAGTTTTTTCTCTACTGTAAAGTGTGTCTGACTTCATATTTCTGTTTTGATGGTGCTCGCTTAACAGTAAATAATTACTGTAAACTATTACTTGTTAAATTCATCTTCAATCTTTGTCTGTCAACATATTTATTTCAGTCTTCGAAATATATTAGAGGTATTTCAGCTCATGAGATATTTTAATGAAATATTATGATTTATGGTTGTAAAAAGAAGCAAAATAAGGTGCAACCTGGCTGACTTACAATCCTCCTATCTCATTTTACAACTAAATACCCCTGCCGCAGCAAACCTTCTGACTAAGCGAATTTCCATTTTTCTAAATTTATTTTCAATTAAATCTATTTAAATAACAATGGAACATTGCTTTACTTTAGGTTTAATGAGTAGTCTACCTAGGTTTGCTGTTACATGAAAACTATGAATGAACTCATTCAAGTTTATCCCGCCTTACACCTTTGAACCAAATTTAATCAAAATCAGACAAAAATTACTCAAGTTATTGCGTTCTCGGACATATATATATATCCATATATATATAAAATTAAAATTAAACATTACTTTAACATACATACCAAGTTTCATAAAGATTGGTTTGAACTAGGCCTATATAAAAATACAATTGTTTATATAAAAATGCTAAACGGAGGATATCTAGTTAACAAAGCAATTATTCTTGATTTTCTCTTTATTTTGATTCGGCCATAGAACCATTTCCCCCGAGTTTGGCTGTTTACTTACAGGACACCCTGTATAATATATATTTTAATGAATAGTGTTTTTGACCTCTCTATGGACATCAGAACAAAAAAGTAAATTGGTCCTGGGTCCAGGTATACCAATTACCATGCTACCTACATAGCTAAATTTCACTAAAAGCATTAATAGGTGAGGTGCAGTTATCACTTGAGCACTCATATCTCAAGTAATTCAACTTTTTTATGTGTATCAGAACCATAATTTTAACGAATAGCTAGTTACAGTATTAACCTTTTACTATTAGGATTAGGGTAAAAAATAAACATATGATTGATGCAAACCATTGTTAAATTTAGAGTAATGTCTTTAGATTAAAAATTAAGAAAAAAATTAATTTTAATTTTTCAAAACATGTGTTGTAGGTACATTAGTACATTATTGACTTGCGATGCCATAAGTGGGCTTCTCAGCCTAAAAAAAAACTCTCTGAAGCATGCTTTGAAATGGATTTTATGCCCACTACACTGTTTTAACAAACTTCCCACACAGGGATTTAGTCCAGAAAACAACTGTTCAACTCCAGCTTAATCAAATGGGGTTTCATTACGCACTACAGTGTAGTCCCGATAACCCAAACTTCGGTAATCCAAAAGTCCGCTTAATAAAAAAAAAGTTTTTAATTAATATTTTTAACCAGTACGTGCTGTCACTTATCGTGGAAGGTCGAAACTACTAGCACCGTAGCGTGACGATGTTAATGCAGTTTATTGTAGACACAAAAAGCTATGACCCAATACTTGCTGTCACCCATTGGGAAAAGCCGAAACTGTGTGTAACGACAGTTAGCTATACCTCGTCGAAGTATTCTGTAGCGTATATAGTATTTCGGCTTGTGCAGGCACTTGTACTGTCTGTGTTTGATTACTGTCTTCCGGTGTATGGTAATGTTATATCACTGGGAGACATGAGTCGGATGCAGAGGGTGCAAAACATGTGCGTCAGGTACGTCTGCGATCTGCGAAAATTTGATCGAATTTCATCAGACCTCACATCTCTTGGCTTATTGCCTATGGCTGACCTGTGCCTTTTACGCACTTCCTGCATCATCCGGAGGGTACTGTCAGAGGAGAGACCTCAGTACCTGAAGGTAAGACTGAGAGCTCGCTCTGAGATGCGATCCCGATGCACACGGCAGGATGACATGCTGGAGATGCCCCGTGTGCGCTGTGAGTCCGACCGTTGTGGGTTTTCTTATTTTGCCCCTAAAATCTGGAATAAATTGTCATCCAGGACTGAGCCAAGGGTGTTGGACAGTGAAAAGTCATTTAAAAAATATATAACAAATGGTTTGAAGAATGGTAAAATAATTAGGAATAGAGAACATATTTTAATTTTTAATTAGCCTAACTTAACATTTGAGAGTTGCTTTTGTTTTATATTATTTATTTATGTTGACGTGAGTTGTTTTGAAAAACATATGTTGTAATATGAAAAACGCTCAAGAATAAAGACGATTTTCATTTCATTTCATTTCATTTCATTTTAGTAAATATTTTACATTTTTTTAGTAAACATTTTTCATTTTCGTCCCGGATTACGATCCCGCCAAATCACCAATGGATTTTATCTAAGTGATAATGTTGCAACCCCTAGGTCTAGCCTAAAGTAATGTGAAAAACAATCCCGGCTCGTGCCTAGCGTCTTAGATAAACAAAATTTGAAAAATTTGAAAAAAAATTTAAAAAAAACAAAAAAAGTTAGTATTTGGTAATCCAAAATGGGTCCGGTCCCAACCATTTCGGACTATCGGGACTCTACTGTACTGTATTGTAATGAGCTTTTACCGGACACCAGCTGATTATATTTTGACAATGAGTGGCTATTAACAAAAAAAAAAACATAACCTCTCTCAGAGGTTTAGAGTAGTGATTTTTAGTCCTTTAGTTGGTGGGAATATAGAAGCATTTGTACAGGTTTTTTTATTGTTAAGTTAGCTTAGAGTAGTACGGCGTAAAATATCGTACACCACTCGTCCAAAATGTGTTTACCGGATGGTTATCCCACACTCGACTTCGCCTCGCACAGGAACGACCACAATCGTGAGGTAAACACCTATTTTCAGGTATATTCAGTAATATTTATGACCAATAATGCCTGTGGTGTTTTTTTTTTGTTTTTCTTTTTTGTAATGGAATGGGCCAAACCTTGGTCTTGTTACTACCTAACGTTGACCTTTGTTTTGTTAGTATCATTAATTGATAGTCCACAAACTAATGGCATCGGGATTTAGTTACAATCTCGCTTGTAATTGAACCAGTGACTTTCAGATCTGAAAGACACTATAATCACTCAGCTACCCTGAAAATTGTGTTGATGTAGACACAATATGTTTGTCAAATAGTTCTAAATAAATATTACACATCAACACTCTCTAGCTAAAAAAAAATATGTCATATTATTGCTGTTGATAAAACAGAGTTTAATCGTACAACTTAATTATTGTGCTACCTATTAAAGTTATTGAGCTTGAATAATGTGATATTTGTAGTTTAAGCAATCAGTAGAAACTTTCTAATTGAGAATAGTATAATTTTTTTAAAGAGAGGGAGGTGAAATTCTGGTCTTGTATAACTTTGCTTAGGTGACTTTAGGTGCCCAGTTCTAACCAAGAGAGTCAGTCATTTTAGAAAGTACATTTTTTTTTCAAAATGTACAAAGCTTATGTCTTGGTTTTCAAATTTTTAATTTTGAAATTATTGAAATCTTCAAGATAAAACGACTTTTGCATAAGGCCAAAAGTCCAATACTATTGATGCAAAATAGTCAAATATTTAATTCTTGACCTATAAAATATTTTAAAGCTTGACTTAAGGCACTGGCCTTATTACCTTGAATTTTGTAAAACTTGGAATTCAAACGATCCCTTCTTGAGCCTTTTCAAGGTAGAGAAATGGATAAATATGGTAAAAAGCCATGTTACGTAATTATATAGACATTATTGTCGAGCAATTCTTGATGTTTGTCATGTTCCTAATATCTTTCTTATGCATGGCTCTCTAAAATTGTCAATATATCTATTATAGGTGGATATTGAAATAATGTGCTTTGTCTTGCTATCATTGTTGAAAAGCATGAAATACGAGATTTGTCTTTCAAAGCTTAACCCCAAATTTCTACTGTGTGTCTTAATATTGACTTGAATTAAGTAGTGATAGTAGAAATGATTTTCGATATTTAATAAATATTATATTTTTCCTTTCTTGCCAAAATTATACTAGTGGCTACCATATCATCAGGTAATGGAGAAAATCAACATTAATATTTAAAAAAGAAAACAGTATTGAACTTTCAAGGTATCAGCTATTAAATTTTACACAAAAAACTAACGACACCTGCCTATTTTGGTTTCCGCTAGTATAGTTTAATTGTCAATCCCTGCCACCAATGTGATATTCAAGTTTTACTCTCTGTACTGATTCATTTACCTAGACGTTTAAATCGTACAAGTTCAATTGTGTTAACCATAGGGTATCCTTAGAGACATTAGGTTACTTTAAGGTTAGTTTATCTAATGTATATATAGGCTTGTATTATACGTATATTTTTAAAACTTGAGTTGTAAATATAGGTTGAAAACTAAACTTCTGCCTTTTACTACACCTAAAATTACTACACTAAGCAATCAGCCGTTTTGCTAGCATTCACTTAATTAAAACCAAGGAAGTTTCCCTACAATTGATTGCAGTTGAAATGTTTTTTGCATATTCACACATGCAAATTCCGCTATTGTTGCTGTGCGTTTACATGTTGCAATTATATAACGCAACTAAGTGATATCTGGGACACGTATTTGTTTTACTGGACTGGCTAGACAATATATTTGGGGGTCAAAGTTGACAATTAGCATTCCAAATGGCTTCCTGTTGAGGTCTTGATTCTAAGCGAGAGAGTCAGTTAGTGCAATAGGTCTGTCTCCTTAACTCCCCCGTAGTGATTGGTCACCGTCGTCCCATGTAGTTAACGTCAGTGTATCTCCGACTGTGTTGAGTGTAAGTCAACTTTCAATTTTAGTTTTTGTAAGTTCAAGTTTACTGATTTATTTAACACTGGGTAGGAATGTTTGCTAGATTTTACATTAACTTTTAAGTTCTTTAAATTGGCTTTGTTGTTAAAATGTTTTAATAAGTTTTAGTTTTAGTTCAAATTTTACTGATAGTTTTATTACCAGTGTGGCTGCCTTTTAAAGACTGTCTGTTAGAGATGTAATATTAGACGGTTTTAGTTACCAACAACAACATACAAATGAAATTCAAACTCATACATTTTGGTAAATTGCATTGGTTCTCACTGTTTTATTTAAATTTCAAAACTTTAAATTAATGGACTACCAGAGTGGTCCCTCAATTGTTATTGTTTTGTGTTTTGATTGTATGTAAAGTTACATAAAAATATTTGTTTATGGGGACCCACCAAAAAATAATATTATTTTTATTTAGTAGTGGTAGTAACATTTTAAGCACACTTACATGACATTAGATATTTAAGTCAGTTTAGGTTAACAGATTTTCAAGTCTGTTTTAAGAAATAATATTATGTGACTGACACTTCCCATGAAATTTAAATGAATTATACCAAACAAATTTTTACTATATCCATCCTACGTTAACATTTTTTAAACACTTAATGGTCACAAAAATCTTCAAATTCAAAGATTTATTTATTTTGAAACACACAAAGTACAGTAATAATATGTCAAAAGTAGCAGAATGCCTGACAGAGATGTAATCCAACCATTATGTCAAACTTCAACAAAGCTGACTACCATTTATTTTAGAAGGGGCTCTACCACTAAGCTCTGGCCTATTGTACGTCCAGAATGCACGCCGATTCAGATTTTCGGCGGCAGGAATGGCCCTTGCTTTCAAATGGAAGTGGCCGTAGTGGCTGCCGGTTTCCGAGCCCACGCGCAGGCACCTGCTTACCGAAATGAATACTTCATTCTGGTTTCAGATTCTGATTCAGATTTTGCTCGTACGCATACTATTTAATTAGATACATTTTGTTTTAATAGTAAAATATTTAATTTTTTCATTCTTAATTTAGCGTTTCCACTAAACGCTCTTCAGGAAAATTGTTTTGATTGTATGGGTTCACCTTTAATTATTGTTATTGCAGTAGATCATTAACTCTGGTCAATAGCCGAGTGGTCAGAGAGGTAGTCTCCCAAGGAGACAGCACCATGAATCGAGGGATCACCTTGAACTTTGGTCAAGAACAGTGTGAAACTCATAAGGAGTTAACCTGTATTTGGCAGAGTTTTTGGAAGGGAGGGGGCAGCTAAAATGCCAATCAAAGATTCAGTGATTCAGTTCTGGGCACAGAAGGATGCTGTGACATTCATTCTCTGATCCCTCAGTTGCTAAGAAGGGAGGTTTTGGACATGCCCTCAGACCACATGCGGGTCAGATCCCCCTTTGCCAAGCCTTTTACCATCCTTCTTCCATTTAGGAAGAAGTGGGTGTCCAAAGGGAATCCCCTTTTACATGATGAACTGGAATGGTAAACCAATAGTTCCGATGTAAAATATTTGTTAGGGGTTAGAGTTGGTGAGCAGAGGTGGATTTTTGTCTCCCTATGGGGGTACCTTCAAAATTGTTCCAGTATGAGATCACTGTGATCATGCGTTTGCTAGAGAGAATCTGAGGCAGGGCTTCAGGGACTTTCCATATCCATTTTCATAAACAGTATTTATGGCACTTAACTCCTGCAAGTTAAACTCCAAGGTGGTCTGGGACTTCCTCGCAACATCTCTGGGTAGGAGCAACAAGGTGACACACTTATGGATCCCTGGACACAGGAGTAGGATATAGGACGCGGAAAATCTGGTTAATGCCTCCGACCTTCTAGTACCACAGCCAATCTGTAGATTTTCTTGTTGGTACGCATGTCAGTCAGTATGTCTGGGTTCAAGTGAAGATGGGTTAGGCTTCAGCATCACAGGGTAAGCAAGCTCACTCCTCCCTTCCCTACAGTTGCCTCCAACGCTGTACAACTCAACATGAGGCAACTCATACAGATCACAAGTTGTGGCTTCCTGAATTTATATGGGCTTAGAATCCACGATGAGTCCACCGCAAGCTGTTCTTCCCAACTGCTCATGTATGAATGAGGTAAGAGAAAGCAAGCACTCTTTGGAACTATGGGAAGTGGCAGAGACTTGCTTCAAAAAGAACTAACTCGTAGACAGGATGCTGCAGTTCACCACTTACTTCCAGACAAGCTCAGTGGTACCAAATAAGGTTCCACATGTGGCCAACATGACTAGAGACAAGGGCTGTCTCAACTCAATCAATCAATGCCAAACCTAAAATAAACGGGTAGTGTTGAAAGTTGACTTTCATCAAGACTCAGTTATGTCAAAATACATGAAGTACTCAACAAGTTTAAACAGCTTTTAAAATAAGTTGTATTAACTTTTTCCCTAAAACTCGTCTGAAAGTTATAACTTTTTGTATGGGTATATATTAGTTTGTAGTTTAAAATTTTTTTCCAAGTACCCAATAACATACTTTGAGTTAAAAAAGATAGTAATTACCTTTACCTTTGACTATTTATAAAAGTATTTACAGTCAGTGGCTGATCACCCTGAAGCATGAAAACTAAAATTGTGTTTGTTTACACAGGTAAAGGAACATGGCATTATTATTGAGAAAGTTGTATGAAACCTACCGCTATGTAAATGAAGATCTGGGAGGTAAGTGAGATTTGAAATAAATGTTAATTTTTAACTCATTATAAAACTGTCATGTCTTGTTATGAATTGTCGCAATTGTGTATTTACTGCACATAGAACATGACATTGAACTTGAATTTCGGATTGTCACCTTGTTATCCAACATAATTGTTTTATTTCTAGATTAAATCAATTTTAAATAGGAAATATAACAGTTTTAATTTTACTGAGGTCTGTCATTCCATATGTGAGAATTTTTGCGTCGTGATGAAAAGCATCATTCATAGCTTGTACCGAAAGTGATTTTCTGAGACTTGCTCCTGTTATTCCCATCGTCGGGAACTTCTGGACTGTAAATAACTGTTAGCAATACCATAACAGAACTAAAGACATAGATTGTACCATTGACTATTGGATTGTCTACTGGGCCCTGTTTCATAAAACTACTAGTCTAGTATTTACTAGTCCATGGACTAGTAATACTAGTGTATTTTACAAGTCTACGTTTCAAAAACCTACTAGTGTAAAATACTAGTTACTAGTGTAGGGACTAGTATTACTAGTGGTTTTTACTAATGTAGACAGCAATGGGTTTCATAAAGTTTTACTCTTGTAAATTACACTGGTAAATACTTGCCATTTTCTACCAACCTCTCTACACCCGTATTATTTGAAGTAGACTAGTATTTTTGGAAAGAGAGTTATTTCATTACTCACATCATAAAAAAAAATAATCATTAAGTTCTTTTTGCAAGTACGAATTGGCTCACGTTTGCAATTTAAGATAAAAATAGATCTGTGAGTGCTAAAATGATAATTATTAGATATAAATTACAATCAATAAATGTGGCGTAGTACACAATGAGAGAAATAGAATTTTATAATGTATGTACAATCGCCCTATTAGAATTAATTATAAGTTATCAATTTCTGTGAAATTTTAGTCTAATTTTACTTGAGTTAAATAGAAAAATTGTATAAGCTTTGAGAGAAACCAAATTAAAACCGCATAACGTATTGCATGCAAATATGTAACAAATGTATCCAACATTGCAACATTAATCAGATTATTTTACACCCAAAGGCTCTCGGTTTTATTTAAAGACATTTTAATAGGTACTGTTAATATAGGTATTTTAATAGGCTCTACATTTTAATAATAGTAAGACAATTTTAAAGAGGAGTTGCATTGTATTTTTTGAGGTGCTTATTATTTGCTTCCTTAAATAGCTAAAACCCTGTGATGTACTAACAATTTTGTAGGCCTATATTTGATTTTTGGGCGTTGAACTGAACTGCTCATCATAAAAACATTACTTTTAATCCATTTTGGTATTCTGAATTTGTTATTCAAAGTAAAAAAAAAATTATATGTTGTTTAGAGCTCTTATTTTAATGTAAAAAAATGTAAAAGTTTAATTTATGGAATAAAAAGTATAGTGAGTGGCGTGGATTTGAGCCAGGGACCCGCTATATGACTAGCGAGAACTCTACCTCTGAGCTACGCCCTAGCCTTAACAAGCCTTAACATGCCTTAACAGCTATGTCATGTTTTACTATACTTGAAAACCTACTTCTCCATTGCTTGTAACGGCGTTGCAATTATTTGTTACATCAATAAACGTTTAGGCTTATTATTCGTGGTTTGTAGACTCAAAATTAGAATATCACCAAATGGTTTTCAACCCAAATATCCTTATGCATTCGAATATTTGAAAACATAGGTAAGGGTACTTGAAACCGTTCAAATAAACAAAATGTCCTTAGACGATTTAATTACATTCAAAATTTGAGCCTTCTTTTCTTTACTCATAGCAAGCTTAATTTTATATGTTGGAATAAAACAAAAACTATACAAATCACAGCGAATGCGGCAGCAACAGATCAACTTCCACCCAACTGTTGAGCGCCGCAACTAGGCCTACAACCGGCTACTGCAATCACCGTGTTGATTGCAGCGCGCGGCGCCGTCGGCGGGCTCATTGATGAACATAAAATAATAGCGGTTTGATAAATAATGTGTGATTGTTTTACTTATGTGTCTATATAGTTATTATTAAAAGAAAACACTGCGTTTCTACAACTATTTACTTTTTGTATCAAATGAAAACAAAATTAAAATCCTTTATAAAGGGTTTGAAAACCCGTGATTGAGGTTAGAAATTTGTTTACAAAGTTTACCTTGTAAAGTTGGTCATGTGACTAGTAGTTTTGGTCACGTGACTAGTAAAATACACTAGTATTTACTAGCGGTATAAAAACGTTTATGAAACACAAATTAGTAGGACAGGTAAATACGGGACTGGTATTTACTAGACTAGTAATTACTAGACTAGTATTTTTATGAAACAGGGCCCTGGAAGATGACATACCATCCATATGGATCGGCTGTTGCCAATTTTTTTAAATTAACTTAATTGTGTGAGCCAGTCACAGAGAATGCGCTTGTGTCTACAATTCTATTTTCTACCTTACTTTTTGTTGCTGATATAGTTAATGGTCATAACAGTTGCTATTGCTCACAATAAGTCGTTACATCAGTTTTATTTGGTGCAAAAATTTATATAGACAGAAATAAGTAATTTAGATCAGCACAATCTGTCGGTGGCTCACATCAACCAAGACAATTTTGATGAACTGACGACAACTTTAACATATCGATAGAATTTCTAGTTGTTTCAATAGTCAAAGATCATACTTAAAAGTTAAAGTTAAAAATTAGGAAACTGCCAAGCATCAAGTTGTGTGATTTGTTTTGGTTTACATTATAATAATAAACTGTTTAATTCTAATGTTGTAGTCCATGGTCATCCTGGCAGGAGAACCTGTGGTTACAAACTAGTTTTACAATATTGTTACAAATTTATATGAAGGTTTTGACCTAACCAACAACCTCAGAAATTGTTCGTTCTAGTTACTGTTCTGTAAATTAATTGTTATAAATAAATCACAGTGGCTGCATTATCTCTGGGAATGGTAGGCAACTATCCCTTAGTTTTAGTATGGGTTTTAATAATATGGTTTAGTTTAAACATGTCATGAGTAAATTATACATTCAAAAAGAGCAAAAAAATCTACTCTGACATTAAGTTCTTGATACATATTTTAACCTACAATTTTACTTGCAATGTTTCATTTACAAACAATTCTTTAATGATTATTGTTTTTTTCAACTGTAAATAGAATGTAATTTTTAATTTTTAGAACATTTGGATGCTTAAGAAGTGAGCTCGTTGCAAATCAAGAGATATTTATTATTAATCTAGAGGGTACCCGTCCTTCGTATGGGATTGGTTCATAAATATAAAATGCTCATTGCGGTTATACTCGTGCTTTGCGTTTGCAATGGGAGAGGACACATTTTAAGAAAATTTGGTTTATTATAATTTACGGTATACTATAGTAGCACATCTGCCATGGCCATAATGTTCTACCACTGCACTTAAACAATAGAAAAAAGTAAAGGTCTCACAGCTTTTTGTTGCTGCTTGGTTCAAATTAGCTGTTATCATAAATGCAAAAAGAATTAATAGTGCTGCACACTGTTGGTAAACCTTATACCCTTTAAATACTATTGAATATCATAGAACCAAATTGAAATAGCTGGCAAAATTCTTTAATTCCTTTTAAATATGAATACCGGTACTCCATAAGGTTAACATGGGAAACTCTAAAGCAACTGGGGGGGAGCCCGAAAGGATTTTTGAGATAAGAATATGTCTATATGCTAATCGGGAATGTAAGCTATCATCTTACCAAATTTTAACCCAATCCGATTGAACTTCAAACAAACAAACATACAAACAAACAAACAAACACACAAATTTTCACATTTATAATATTAGTATGATGAGATTTTACACAAAGTAAAATTGTCACCATGCCCTATGATATATAAAATATGTTATAAAAGAAATTCAAAATAGAACACCTTTAAAGACAACTACTTTCGTTTTCCACAAATTTTCTCAAATGAAGTAACATTCTCCTTTCAACCTGTTCCATAAAATTGTGGAACCATTAAAATAATTTTATTGTTTAAAATATCAACAACTTATTTTGAAAATCTCATTTTTAACTAAGTAATATTGGTGAACCAAAAACGCTATGGTAAATCTTGCTCCGATTAAAATATCAAAACCAGTCACTTATCAGTATCAGTAAGTTTCAAATTGTAATTCTGATGTAAAGATCAGATTTGTGGCATTGGTCACACACAATGACACTGGCCATTCAATGTCAGTCAAAGTGTAAGGTAACTTTGAGAGGTCATTGACCCTAGGGAGAATAGCCGGACATTTTTGAATAATCAAGCCTTACACTGTTTTAATTTTTGGGGTCAATGCACTCAACAATAACAACACCACGTTGCTTTTGAAATGTCAATTAGTCATTTTCTCCCAACTAGAAGAATAAAAATACAAGATTGTGTTCAAATCTTTGTTATAAATGTAAATGTTGTATGTTATTATGTTAACTAGCATCACTAATATAAATACTGCTTTTGGTTAAAAGAATCTGTAAAAGTTATTGTAAATTGGAATATTGTTTAACATTCAAAATACAATTTGTTGGACAGTTAAGTGTACTATTACAGAACTAGCAATTGCAATCTAATTCAAATAAAATAACAAATTAGTTTAGTTAGTTTTCTCAAAAATACTTGTTGTATGTTAATTTATTGTAATTTTAGACACATTTAGACAGTAATCTATGTAAAATTTTGATTATTTTGTCCAACAACCCAACATTTTTGATTAATCTTTGTTCCATTGAAGGTCCAGATAATGAATTGTTTAACTACCCACAGTATTTTTATTTACTTTGTTTTAGAGATGGATGATTCAAGTTTTTGATTGTTGTCTGTGTCTAGCTTTTCTACTATATTATCGTTTCCCATAGAAAAATACTGGACCACTGTACTTAAATTGGATGAGTAAAGAGATATGTGGAACAGGATTAATTAGTGCTACACATTACTTAAAAGACAACATTTCAGATACAAAAAAATATTTTTGGTTTATTGAAGTTAAAATATATATTAGTGTTGATAGTTTTGTTAATAAGTCTTTTGGGCACATTTGCTTTTTATAGCAAAATATATATTATATCACCGGCCACCAGTTTCAAGAGTATCTGTACCTCACCTTGAGGAACCAATTTAACATTATTTTGCACTCACCCCTCCTCCACACTAACCCTATTAATCAGCTGAAGCCTGAAGAGTTGAGTAGCACGGAGCCAGCTTCCATGTGTCACCAATCGCACGGAGGGTTCCCAAAGTGTAGTTCTGTGTGTCACCTATGTTGTTAGATGTTTAAATATCTCAAGTAAAAGTTTTTATTGATTGGGCGGACAATTTTATTAATAAAACATGGTATTTATACCTTTTATATTAAGATATGTGTAAATAGCATTGTTTGTCTAATGTTTCAATACACGGAAAAACTCCTTAGTGACAATCGTGCTTGTAAATCAAAGACACCCATGAAGGGTTAATCAATAATAGCTACACATGGCAACTCTCTCCATTTTATACCCATTAATGTTAACTTATGTTCAGGTAAAATAGTTAATTGTGCAACTAGTGAGCAAAGTGAGCAATTGACCCACTTGAGAGAAATACTTACTCACGAGCCGTAGGCGAGTGAGGAATGGTTTCTCGAGTGAGGCAATTGCACTTTGCACTTGAGTTGCACATTATATTTTTCCTACAGTTACCATAAAACAAATAAATTGGTAAAGAAACGTAACATATTTTTACACAGAAGTGAAATTTTAATATGACATTTAATGATACAACAGTACAACAGCTGACCAGCTGATTTACAGCCAGTGCTGCCAACTTATTTCGCGCGCATAAGACCTTGTCTGCATGTTACGCGCTCACTATTTCGTGCCTTCGCGTTGAAAATCTGGAGTGAGACAATGTTGTCTCACAGATGAGCGAATTGGCCACTTTGCTTTCTCAAATCAGTGAGAGAACATGTACATTATTAGGTAACTGTAGGAAAAGTAACTTGTGTCCCTGTCTGTATGTAAAGAATGAATATAATGTATTTATACATTGGTGCTATAGTACACCTTTGTGAGTTGATGGCTCAGTTGATAGTATGAGATACTACGGCTCCATTTGCAGTAATATTGTAGGTTAGTGCCAGAACAGTTCACTCAAGTACTGGCTCACCGCTTGGTTTACTGGATAAGTATACACAGACTCAAGGCCTATGTGGACACACATGCAAGGTTACAAATAGGCCAACAACTTGTTACAAAAATCATCACTCACTGTTTTTACATTTTGTCGTTGTTTCCAGATAGCCGCACGGCGGACCTGCCCATGATGGGCAGTCCGTTCCCCACCCTGGCCCTCCTAGTGGCGTACAACATGTTCGTACAGTGTTGGGGCCCGAGACTGATGGCGAACCGCAAACCTTTCAACCTGGACAAGATACTCTTAGTCTATAATGTATTTCAAGTTGTTGCCAGCACCTACATGTTTATAGGGGTAAAGTTTTGCCTATTCTATGTTGTAGCGTTGTAGCTAATTGAGCTTCCTATGGTTTAGGAAGCTATTTTAGTTTGTGATTCGTTTTTCAATAAGTAATTTTCCCCTCATGTTTTACTTCATCTATCAAATACCAATTAGCAGTTTAAAGACTATTCTGTGTTCAAACTGTCTCTTAAAGTTGGTGTTTAAGTTTTTTATTATCATATTAAATTTCAGGTTTTTCTTCAATGGCCAAGCGTGGGTGAAGATCTAAATTTGAAAAAAAAGTTATAGGTTATAGTAATTTTAATTTTGCACAAAGTATAAAGGAAACTGATGAGAGACATTTTGACAATATTTTCTATGTATTTTCTTACAGAAAATTATGATTTAGCAGGATTTTATGTCATTTAACTTTCATTTTGTAAGCTTAAAGTATCTGTATATTTATGTTTGTTTCAGGGTTTTATACTAGGTTGGGGGCGAGATTACAACTACTTTTGTGAACCTGTGGACAAAGAAATCACTCCACACACAAGGAGTGTGAGTACCTTTTTAGTTGAAAAGAGATAACATTTTTTATTAAGTATATCCAATCAGGTTTTCTAAATTCCCTAAAACATGACTAATTCAATGATTTATTTTAGTCTTTCTGAAATCTTGCTACAGTAGGCACTTTAATGCCTCACCTTACTTATTTTCTAGTTGTTGTTATCAATTTAGTATCTCTGTTGGCAATATAACTGCAACATTTCTTTCAGTTACTGTACTTATGGTGAAACGTAGGTTCTTTCACTATGACATTTAAAAATAAAGGTTTACGCTCTTGTGTTGCTGTCAGAATGATTTATTGTGTACCAGGGTTGTCTGTAGATTTAGGTGTCCTTAAGCAAGCTGCTTCAAATCTGAGACCACTACTGTATTCTTTACTTCATTCCTTCTATTCTAGTCGGTTTCCACCCCTAGGGGACTATTAGTTTTGTCATAGTGCATGAAACATTGTGAATAGTTGACTCTTCTACCAAGTATGAACCACTTTTTGCCATTAAGTTTCTGTAGGAGTTCAACCTTTGTTTGAATTTGTATAAAATGAATTACTTTCAACGTATAAAATGTGCATAAGTGGCTTACAGAGTTTACATAAGACCGCCCATTTTTGTACAAAGAGGCGAGCAGTGGGTAATCGTCAGTTTCCACTGAGAAAGTAATAAAATTCAAATAATCTCTGGCGGATTTAAGACTATTAAGGGTTTACCATAACTCTTGACAGCCTTATAGAGATGTCCCCTATCAGTTCAGCAATCGCTCAGTCATTTGTTCGCAATTCGCTGTGTCATTTTGAGACAAAATCTCCCTAAGTTTAGTCAGTGCCTCAAACAAGACTGATCAATGACTGCAGCCAGCCTACATTTTACAAGACATCGTGCACATGTTTACGACCACCTCCACACTGCATCTACTTTTTACAAACATTTTTACATCCAAACTCTCGACTTCTTTCACGTCAACAGCCAATGGCGACTGAGACCAAAGAAATCTAATCACGAAATTCAATTCATTCTTGGCGGGAGTGTACATTTTTTTCACAACGTTTTTGTGTACGGTGTCAAGACTAATAGTCCCATATAAAGGGTTTAGAACAGAAATTAGAGCACATTTTCTGATCAGTTCAGAATGATAGCTATTAAAAAATCCCTTATGGTTGTATCAGTAACACTTATCTTGTCTATTCTGATGATCCAGGGGCAAATATAAAACTATCATGAAATTTACAACATTTAGGCTACCATTTCTATTTCATTATTTTACCAAATGTAAAAAAATATTTTTGGTTTTATCAATGGTAGCCTAAATAAGCAACTTACAACTGAACAACTGTTCTTATAGTTGAATTCAAACTGAGGTTTCAGTAGACCAGGAAACTGGTGATAGCTAGCATGGGACTTTTTAGGAGCCCATGTTCAAATCCTGCAAATCGCCAAATGTTTCAGAGTGCATTTTCATGTGTAATTCCAGTTCTCAATTTTTAAAACTCAACATCTTTCGCTACTACTGTATCTTTGTATCAGACTCTTCTCTACACAAAAAGCCAAATAACGATTTTACAATGATTTTATTTAAGTTTTTACTGCTATAGAGACTATTGACAACTATTGAAGAGACAGTTACAATGATTTCTGAAGTACTAGACATGAAAATTTATGAGGTAAAAGTGAGTTTGTTTCATGTTAATATCGGTTAACAACGTTTGTCCAGGCAATATGTGTTACTTATAGTGGAAATTCACAGATTTCCTAGGTTTATTGCAGGAGTAGGGGGAATTTTCTTCCGTGAAATTAATGTTGATTCATATAAAAATAGACTTGTATATTTAATCCATTGATGTTGATTTTTTCAGATTGCATTTATAGTTTACTTATACTACCTGCTGAAGGTGACTGATTTACTAGACACAGTGAGTAACATTTTAGCAATTAATTATTAAACTTAATGTAAACCATTCTTGTTGCGATTCACAACTAAATTAATTCCAAGCTAACCTTTTTGGGTTGGTAGAAGTAGATACAGTAACAAATCTTGTAAAAGCAAGACAGACAGTTTAGAAGGTTTGAAAGGAAAGAGCAATACAGCTGTAAGTCTTTTTTGGTTGTCAAAAAAGGATGACAACTTGTTGTCCCTCTTTGTTAACTTGTTGTCCCTAGCTGGTGTGACTAGCTGGTATGCTTGTTTAAAAAATTCTTGTTAAATTAAAAACCGTAAAAATTCAGAGAAATGTACAAATTTTAGAAGTAGGACGATTTTTTAAGGCGAAGGAGTGCGATTTTCAGAAAACGCTTAAGATTTGTAGTAAATTTAATTCCCTATTTCCTAACCATGAAAATTCTTTCTAATTTTTGCTAGCTCTTAGCGTTTTCGAGCTACAGCAGTTTTAAAAAACTAGTTTTTCTTAATAAAGGGGGCAAAGAATTCAAATTTTGAACTGCCACAACTTTTGATAGGATTGACGTAGAGATCTCTAGTTTGCGCCAATCTTTTTTTTTCAAAAGGGGTACCTTGTAATTTAAAAATTTTAAGTAAAGGGTAGGGGGAGAAAGGGAGTGAATGAGAACTTCACATTAAATTCACAATAAGTGTTGCCCCTACGTCAATAGACGATTCCCGCAAACTGCATATTTCTATCTATTGCAGTTTTTACATAAATAAAGAAGCAAGTTAAAAAAAAAACACCCTGTATACGTGAATACAGTATAACTTAATAAAAACAGCTGTAAATTATCTGACATGTGCTGCAACCTATGAGTAACGTTTATAACAACAACATTGACCAGCTTGGGCTTTGGGTTGACTGGTGTTGCTAATGCAGACCTTTGATCTGATAAATAGCTGAGCTGGCTACGGTGTCGCCTCTCCGGCCACAAGTTGTATGGTTCGAATCCCGTCCCAGTCACAACTGGTGTGGTGCAACTCATGAGGAGTTCGCTTTGCATATCTGTGTTAGAGCTTGTGGGAGAGGTTCAGCTGAATACACACTCAACGGTACAGGTGGAAGTTTAAAAGGATGGATACATTTTTTGTGAGTTGCATTTCAAAACAAGCTTTGCATAGTCATGCACCATACCTAACCGTGACAAAATTCAACCCTCCTTCTAAAGGGATTTGATGGCCATTGATTGAACCTAACACTCAAACTATTCTATTGTTTTGCTAATTAATTTACTAATTATACTGTGTGTTGTTTTGCAGGTATTTTTTGTTCTAAGAAAGAAGTATAGCCAGGTGACATTCCTGCACATATACCACCACACTGGGATGGTGGCTTTGTCCTGGAGTGGAGCTAAATGGTTGCCAGGTATGTCTACTTTTATCAAATTTCTTTTTTTTGTTTATAATATACCTTTGAATTACTCTCCATGGTAATCAAAGTCCTTACCCTTAACAATGATCTACGAAGGTAATATTACTACTATTCCCACATCCCAGTATTTTATGTAGCATCCTTAACCCTTTAAGGCCGGTGACACACTATCCGGTTTAGCAGGATGCGGTTTAGCGGGATGCGTTTTTACCGCATTGACATTGCCCTGTCACACTTTTCCCGTTCTACCGCAACGCAACAAATTTTGAGTGAAGAGCGCTAGCATCACATGCAGTGCACTTTTGATAGCGACAACATTACGATGTTGTCTAAAGTGAAATTTGTCTGTGCTCTTGAAGCAAGTTGTTTGTTGCCTAAACCTTACGTAGGCGTACACCATTTTCATTGCGAAAATGATAGAGATGAACAGTTTAAGAGTTTATCAAAGTATAAGGCAATATCCTCGCAAGTTTTTGTAATTATTGCAGAATGTCCATAAAATCTTTTGATGAGCTGCTGCGCGTTTTGAGGCCACATTTAACGAAGATCAGTACACAATTCAGGAATTCAATCAGTGCTGAAGAAAGATTAACGATAACAATAAGGTTAGGACAATTAATAGTTTTATTCTTTTAAGATTTTGTTAAATTTGTATTTATTTGAGACTACCCATTTATTATTTTTTTTCTGTTTGAAGAAGTGCGTTCAAGTCAAACGAACAGTAAATAAAAAAGCTTGTATAACAATTGGTAAATTAATTTTAATTGCATAAAACGTGTCCATGTTGAACATGCTAAACGTGCGCGGCAAAACAGCACAGTGTGACAGCTCTCATTTAACTGCATGTATTTATCTTTTCATCCCGTCGTCCGGTCGTCCTGTTCTACTGCAGCACCTTGCAGTGCATCCCGTCGACGCGCCGCAACCGCATCAATGTGACAGCTCCCATTAAAACCCATGAGTTTGAATCATCCCGCCAAACGGGTCCCGTTTAACCGGACCAGCAAAACGGGATAGTGTGTCACTGGCCTAACGAGTGTAGCTTGTCATGGCATTTTGCAGCGCGTTATTATGTCAAATCTTACATGTGAGCACTATTGCACTACAGCCTAACGGGCTAAGGGTGTCACAGTGCCATAGTGGCAGAGTAGACTTACAAGCTGCTTTGACAAGTGTAGCTCTTATGTGTGGGTTCAATACCCGTACATGTGCAATTCCATAACAAGGTTATACTAACAGGTGGCTAACCCTGGGAGGACCTACCACAAATAAACAATGAACCCAGTATGGCTTGGGTGAAAGTTACTGGCATTAATGAGTTTAATAGGGGTCAGACCAATTCAAGTTTTTGTTCATCATGACAACAAAATTTTTTACCTTGTCACTGTAGGTTAGATATTTTCTGTTAAATGTAAGTCGTGGTGTAGTGAGTGTTCAAGGACATGCTGGTGTTCTCTAGAGTGTCCAGTACCTGGGGGGATTTTGGAATTAAGTGTGTTTCGAACATTGAGTGTCACAGTAGTGGTTGAAATCCTTCTCATCGCTGCTTCCTTCACCTCTTCAATAATGTCAACTGTTGACTGCCCCTCGGTGAAGCCATACTGACAAGGGCTTATTGCATACTGAGTATTCCTATTGAGATTGAATTCCTTCTGTTTTTTTTTCTTTTCACACGTTAATTACAATTATCAATTATCAATTATTTAAAATGAGGACGCCACTATGTGCGTATTTTAACCCAAATATGAGTGAAGGATGAGTGTAGGATGAGTGGCGCGACCCCAGGGACGTCCCTAGGGTTAGCGGCAGCTTGCCCCGGTTGCCCCCCCCCCCCCTTCGGACGGTCCTGCGCGATCTTGTAGTCTTGTTAGTGACTAAGGCCGACATGTTCCTTAGACACAGCTGTGAAAAAAGCTTTTCTTTTTCTTTAAATGCCTCACGCACCCTTTTTCTCCCTTTTTTCAAAATGGCGATATATCGGACACAAGAGTAACATAATCTAAACCCACATATTTTTCCTTAAAGCTCTGTTACAAAAGTATGCTAAAATAATATTGTATTTCCACATTTACATAAGCGACAAACTGTTTCACTTTTACAATGTAGGCCTATCATAACAACCTGATTCTTCATCATGTTATATAAGAAATTGTTGTTAACAACACATGGCCTAGTACAAAAATATTTTGCAATTTAGATTGGACTTTTATCCTGTTTTTAAATGGGATCTGCCCTAGAAATGGTTTTGTAAAACAACCCGGGTCTAGTTTGACTATTTAAATTCTAAAACTCAATTTTTTGCTTTGTTCAACTTATTTGTAAACTGTTTAACTATTATTCTGTGAATGTTCCTTGATTGAATTTGTTGTTTACAGGTGGCCATGACACATTTGTGGGTTGGGTGAATTCTGTGGTACATATAGTGATGTATAGTTACTACCTCATCACCAACGTATGGCCAGAGTACAAGAAAGATATTTGGTGGAAGAAACATATCACCCAACTGCAGATGGTGAGTGGAATTTAGTTTTAGTAGACTTTGTAGGGAAAACAGTGTTGGAGTTGATTCTTCAGTTTTTCAGTCAAGAAAATTTTAAGATTGGTTTTTACCCATAGGTTTGCCTGTTTAATGCATGACGTAACAACACTCCATGTACAATGGGGAGCGAGCTGGCGTAGTGGTTAGAGCGCGGGACTTCAGTCCCTGAGGTCCCCTTTTGATTTCATTTATAAATCAATAAATGAAAATCGTCTTTCAGAGGTTTTCAGAAACAATTGCTAACAATTGAATTAATTCTGCTTTAGGCTTGATTCACCAGACTGTATTTCTTTCTTTGGTCCACAGATCTTTTTGAATACTTTCTTTTCAAATCTCACTGCCTTTTTTCAGCACCTTTGTCTACAGTCCATGATCTATAAATAGTTAATTAGTAATAAACAAACATAAAATGAAAAATTAAATTTATTTACAACTGCTACTTTTTCTTATACCAATAGAGGTTTGTCTAGTTTATTCTACTATTCTACTAATATTATAAATGAGAAAGTTTGGATGTATGGATGTATGTTTGTGACAAGTAAACACGAAAAATACTGTCCGGATTGGGAAGAAATTTGGCATGATGATAGCTCACATTCCCGATTAACATATAGGCATATTCCTATTTCAAAAATCCTTTCGGGCTCCGCCCCAGTGGCTCTGCAGTTCCCCATGTTAACCTTATGAGTATTCATATTTAAAGGGAAATAAAGAATTTAGCCAGCTGTTTCAACTAAAAGAGTTGGTTCTATGATATGCAAAAGCATTAAAAATTTATACGATTTACCAACAGGGTACAGCACTATTATTTTTTTTCATTATATGAAAACAGCTAATTTGAATTAAGCGGCAACAAAAAACTGTAATACGCAATGAGAACTGTCTAAGTAGGATTGTTTACAGTTATGTTAATGTTTTTAATTTCATGAATAATTTGTGATATTTTGTGAATTTTTAATAATCAATCTTTCTTTATTGTGTTGGTGAAGTGGTAAAACATTATGGCTATGGTAGATGTTACTGTAGTATACCGTAAATTATAGTAAACCATATTTTCTTAAAACATGTCCTCTTCCATTGCAAATGCAAAGCAGGAGTATGACTGCGATAAGCAATAAATTTATTACTCATACGCCAGCCCCGTACGAAGGACAGGTACTCGGCTAGTAGCTCATAAAAAACTGTGTGCATTTTGAATAATGATAATATCCAAGTTTGATGCATACTAAAATAGTGTTTTATTATAATTTCAGTTGCAGTTCTTCATCCTCATCCTCCACTCAGTAGCATTGTTGGCAAGTCCTGACTGTGGATATCCCAAGTTTACTGCTGCTGTCTTCATCCCACAAAATACTTTTATGCTTATCCTTTTTTACGATTTTTATAGAAAAGCTTATCTCAATAAAAAAACTATAACATAGTTGATTTCAATTCATAGTTGATCCTTGAACTAATTTTGCAAACGGTTTTGAATCTATGAACTTAATGGAACATAAAAATCATCGTAAACATGGTAAATATTAAACTGTTTAAGATTCTCTCATGTCAGTCCTTTTTATCTAAGGCAAATTTGTTTTTCAGTAAAACGAGACTATCTTTGTGGTTTTTAAGCAATCAAAAATTACAATAACCAACATAGTAAAAAAATCTTTACTATTAAGTGCTACAGTAAAAAATATGGTAGAGAAATAATCATTCACTCAACCACAGATATCCGTTTGAATGTGACTAAGACAGGTTGCAGAGATGTATCATCAATCAATTAATTTTTAAGTCACCACTTTTGTGCGTATTTTAACCCAAATATAAGCGAAGGATGTGTGTAGAATCAAAATGGTGTGAAATGATCTATGTAGCTTTGTTTCTGACTAAGATCAGCTGTTTCATCAGTAGATAAATTGTCTGGTATGATGCTTGCTGGTGGATAAAGCCTGTAGCCAAGAGCACTAAAGATTCATTGAGTACAGACATGGACTTGGTTATTGACATAGACTAACCAACACAAGTAGCCTCCTCATCCCCATTGTAAATGTTGAAGCTTGTTTTTGTCATGATTTGTGCTTTACTATTTGGTTATATAACTAACTTAGGAGACTAGTTATTGTTTATGATTATATCGTTTTATTTGGTTAAATGAGGTTTTAAATGACTGAAATAACAAGAAACAAATTGTAAACAAAACACAACCTCTACAGTTGGACGTACAGAACTAACAATAAAATTGGCTTCAGCTGTTCCATAAGGATGACAAATCTACTAAGGGAGTATGTTTTATCTATGTTATAGATCATGTCAATCATGATGGCAAGCATGTATAGAGCTACCAACACTAAAAAATACCAACAACACTAAGTGTTACACCCCTAGGTGGTATTAAACTAATCCAACAGCAAATAAACTATTCAGATGGCAGTACAAGTAACAAAAACTACTTTTGTGGGGGAAAGGGTTCTCGTGCGCACCCATATCCCGCTAGTCACTCTAATTAACACAATCTTTTTTTTAAAGAGGTTGGAGGCCTTTTTTAACCTTGCATTTGCCCATCCACATAGACTACAGATGGGTCCGCGGAATTGGCTAACTCTGGAACTCGCTAACCCCATGTTAAATGCCCTATCTTCAAATTTGGTCGATGAGAGGAACTCGCTAACTTGTTCGGTTTCGGAATTGGCTAACTCCGGAACCCGCTAACCCGCTCTAGAGCCGGGTTAGCGAATTCCGTCCTCGCACGGAAGTCGCTAACTCGGTCCCTCGGCGGAACTCGCTAACTCCCAATCAGAAGCCTCGCGAGCCGTCCAATGGGAGCCAAGCACGAATATTTTTGGCCAGTGTTGCCGAAAGTGTAGTACCTATATCGTATCGGTACCATAATGTCGTATCCTACGATTAATTAGGAGTAAGAGCAACGTAGTCGATAAAATAAATATATTTAGAAGTATTTTTAACATTATTCCTATGATTATTATTGTGGAAAATGCATTATAGTCTTACCATAGACTAACCAACACAAGTAAACTTGACATCCCATTGTAAACTTTGAAGCTCGTTTTTCGTGTCTAGTTCATGTCCGGTGACACTGATCGCTAGTGTCGACAAAATTGTGTTTCTATTATTTTATGGTTAACTTCATGATTTGTTCATTACTGTTTGGTTATATAACTAGGGGACGTGTTATTGGTTGTGATTAGAACGTTTTATTTGGTTAAACGAGGTTTTAAATTACTGAAAACAAGAAACAATTGTAAACAAAACACGACCTCTAAAGACAGTGCACCGGACAGAACTAACAATAAAAGTGTCCTCAGCTGATCCATAAGGATGAGAAATGTACTAATATAAGGGAGTATGTTTTATATGTGGGTTTCTTACTTAAATAGTAGCTTATTGGTATGCAAAAAGATAAAAATGCACATTTAATTTGGATCTATTACATGTTATGAAATATCTATTTTCGTAGTCCACCATTTGTTTCTTTTATTCGAATAAATACCATTTTGTAAATTTCTGCAAATAAAATTATTGAGTTCGTATTTTATATACTAGGCTTGTAACCTTGAATCATAAATCATAATAAAATTTACACGTTAAACGTCACTAAAGAATTACATTGTAGTGATAATGTATTTTTAAATAGAGCTATTGAATTTAAATAAATATTTATCAATACATTATAAAGTGGTAGGCCTAATGTATTCATGGATTGCATTAAAAGTTAGTCTATGCATAAATACAACTTGTAAATTTTTTTTTATCGTAGGCTATTAGTGTAGACCCGGGGTCATCCTCTTAATTTTGTTGAATTACGTCTTTCAGTAGGCCTACTTTTTAAAAGTCTGGAGTTTGTCTCTAGGCTGATTCTAAATGGACGCAGGCGTTCTTGTTTGTTACAATTCTATTCTATGAATTGGTGGTCATAGCTAAAATTACTTAATGTTATCCAAAAACAAAGCTATTGTCTATTGTGAAGCTCAGTACTGGGGAATGGTGAACCAAGCAATGGCTTGGTATAGTTTATATCGATTGTGAAAGCAATATAAAGGAAACCCAACACTCAAATCAGGAAAATCCGTCAATTTGTTTATTAAGAATCGTGAATTAAAATTACCGTGTAACGTTTTATTATATGAATATTATATCTTCTACTATTTTTTACTAGTGGTGCTTAGGTGTACAATCTAAAAACGGTTTTATAACATGTAACATACATCTGTTTCCGTGTTTAAGAACTTGCGTGTATTTTAGCTTAGTTTCGTAGAGGATTATTTAGTACCAATTAAACTGAAATTTCAATATTTTTCATATCCTATTATTTTCTTTTATACTGATGGCATTTATATTTAAGATCGAAATCATAAACATTTAACTGGCCATTGTACAGTTTAATAAAAAAAAAAAAATTGTCATGATTTTTTAATTGTCTTTTGAATTACTTTGGGCTAGTTATCTGTTAAAAGTGGAATTGATAACAAAAAAAAATAACATTTACTGTATCTTTATTGACACTGACATTTTGAAAATACGGCAGTGTACGATTATTTTGTCGTACAAGGTTGGCAACGCTCCGTGCAGTGGGCGCGGCCGGGTTAGCGACTTCCAGAGTTAGCGAATTCCGCCGCGAGACAAAATCGAGTTAGCGGGTTCCGGAGTTAGCCAATTCCTGACTGAGACGGTTAGCCAGTTCCGGAGTTAGCCAGTTCCGACACACGACCGAGTTAGCGAGTTCCTGAGTTAGCCAATTCCTACGTCTCCTACAGATCTGTGCGTGGAACCTGTGGAACGTATCCAGCAAGGTAAGGGGTGAGCCGGTAAAGTACAAAAGTACTAATAAAATGTTTGCAGCAGCTACCAGGTTCTGAACCCACAATCAGCCTTGGGCTCGAAGTCCGTGACGCTACCAACTGAGCCACGGACTCACCAAGCAATTAACTTTCGTGGATGATCTAAACCACAAAAATAAAAAAAATAAATCCCCAATTTATTGCTGGAAATAATTCCACTTAATGATCGAACTATTGTCCCAATAGTTTGTCTAAAGCCGGGTTTACTTGATGCCAGTTGGTGAGACGGTTGTCTTTGCCAGTTGTCATTTATTACGTGAATGCGGGATTGTCGGAGGCCAGTTGTCCTCACTCTCCTCAGTCTACTCCTGGAGAACTGGATTTTAGGCCGATTGCTTTGACAACTGCCCTTAAAATTGCCCTGAAATTTAGTTGTCTCCAGGAGTAGACTAAGAACAACTGGCCTCCAAGAATCCTGCAGTGACGACATGAATGACAACTGGCAAAGACAACCTGTCTCACCAACTGGCATCGTGTAAACCTGGCTTTAAGGTAACAATAACAAGTACAAAGGTAATTTAAGGAAACAGGTAAAGCAAAAATCTAGAAATTAACCCTAAAATAATGGAATCAAAATTTTGTCGACACTAGCTTTCAGTTTCACCAACATGAACTAGACACGATAAACAAGCCTCAACATTTTCAATGGAATGAGAAGTCTACTTGTGTTGGTTAGTCTATTATAATAATAAATACTAACAATACTTCTTTGCCTGAAATTTTCCTTTAAAATGCGCACAGACATATTTTCCTGTTTGGAAATGACATGCCATTGAAATTTGTAACCTTCAATACAGATCTATTGTCAAATTCTCTGTCAATGCCACTAGTTCACTACTTTTACCCAAACGTGTGTTAGTCCTAATTATTTCACATGTTGGTACAAACCTATAAAATGATTATTAAAAAATTATTATATCCTCAATTTTCTTACCTAAACTATGAAAATGGCCTGAATATGTTAGTTTATTTAATTAAATAATAAAATTAAAGTATACTAAATGTAATAGTTATTTGTGTAACTAGTGTGCGAAGTGGCACTTTGCTGCACATGAGAGAAATGTACGAACTGCAGGCAAGTGTGGAAAGTTTCTTGAGTGCAGCAAAGACACTTGGCACTCGCTTTACACATTATATTTCCCTAGAGTTACTACCTATAAAGCATATAAATAATTAGTCTTTCAAACACTATTCAAGAATTCTTTAGGATCCAAGCCTTGAACGAAATGGGAAACACTGCACCAGCTGACCGTAGTTGTAGTATCTTTAAGTGTTGCCAACTTATTCTCAAACAGGCATACTGTTTTGTGTTGTTTGGTTAGAATACTGGAATGCAGTCAAAACTCAAAAGTAAGTAAATGCAGCAATTAGCTATCCTACTTTGCATGCTATAATCAGTGCAAGAAAAACCACTTTGTCAGGTAACTGTTGGAAAAATTTAATACACAAGTTGTATCCATATGCATTGTAATAGATTTGTTTGATTGTCACCACTGCTTAGAAACTATTTATTATTATTTTTACTGATTCCTCTAAATATTTCTTCACATAACCTCAAAGTTGAACTCCTGTTTATAACATACATACAAATTTGAACAAGTAGAGTTTTTGGCCTCTGGTTAAATTGAAAAAGTAAATAGGTCCCAGGTCTAGATCTTTGCATGCCTCCTATGATAATAGCTTCTTCCCTCTAGGGAAATTTGTCCCTTGTGGAAGGATTATTACTTAGTTAAAGAATACCCTAATACCAAGCCAGTATATAAAAAACCCAAACTAGGATGGTTTTCATGATATCAGAATCAGAATCAGAATCAGAAAAGCTTTATTCAAGATTTATACATTATATACCTACATGAAATATATGCATAAATACAGAATGGCGTCAAAACAGCTTATTACTAATTAAAAATACTTGGTTAAACTAAATAAAACAGGAAAATTTAATTAATGTAATTACATGTTGTAAAACTCTTCAAATGAGTAAAATGCTCTATCAATTAGTAACAGTTTAAGTTTTTTTTTAAAAGACCTAATGTTTTTTATATCAAATATTTCTTTTGGTAGATGGTACAAAAACTTAATACCTGCAGCTGTTGGTTTCTTGTTATAAAACTCCAGTTTTATGTTATCTATTTTTATTGCTCAATGAAAGTGATTTTATACACTTTTTGTTATGTGTTATTAATTTATACCAGTTTTAGTGCCAGATTATAGACCATTCTCAGCCCACTTACCATTACAGATAAAAAATAAATTATGATTTTGTACTGTACAAATTAAGTTATCTTTACATATTCACCATAACACTTTATATTCATCAGAGTGCATGGTCTCTGTCCTGGAGGCTGAGATTTGAATCTTGTCAAACATCAATGATTTTTTTTGCTATGTGCTCATATATGACTAGGTTATTTTAAAGTCTGACTCAAACTGTTAAATACATCAATATAGAAATAAAATAAAGGATTTGTTTCTATCCTTCAAATCATGGAGAACTGTTTCTATATTAAAGAGCTTGCTCCACCAAAAGCAATACAATAATTTGCTTTATTGTTACTGTAGTATAAGGTAATTTAAAGCAATTTGCTACATGGGTTAAAACCTCCCCATGGGACCCTGAAAAAATAATTTCACATTTCATCTTTCATCATAAAACTTAATGGGGATTTTCGGACACAGTTCTAGACATCGGAGAGATAGTTTACAATAATGAAAATACATACAAAAAATGTTAATTTGCCAATAATGAAAATACATACCGGTACTAAAAATGTTAATTTGCCAATAATGAAAATACATACTAAAAATGTTAATTTACCATGAAATCATGCTAGTACACGTTTAAAAAAACCATTTAATGTATAATACACTTAATATATGGTTAACCAGTTTTATAATTTAAGTTATAAGCAGTCAGTAGACTAATTCTAATTTGTGTTGTAACTTTTTTCAGAAGGTTCTTTATAAAACAGACAATTTATCATACATGTTTTCATTTTCTCCACATTCCGTAGAAGAATATGAAGTGAGGCAAGCCATGAATGAGAATTTAGCCATGAATGTAAGTAATTTGCATTGCTAAAAGTCATTAGATTTCTTAAATAGTGTTTTCAGGATCGTAGAGTAATGTTGAAATATCTAATTACAGTATTTAAATAATGATTCACTGAATGATCTCTCTTTATTTTTAGTTCCAGCAAGATGAGGAACCGTTTTGCCCACCGTTAAATGTTTAGTAAGTGGGCCACTAGGAAAAGATGAGTTTTATTGTAAGTCAAGTACTGTGAATTTGAATACTTATGAATATGTAAGAGTAGGATGATATTCTACTTTTAGCTCATTGATCGCATTCCACTGCCCATCATTGTGACATGTGCTGACTTTAATGTGTTAGGTGTGACTTCCTATATATTATACAGGTATGTATATGTTACTGATACATTTTTTACTTTGAATTAATATATAGACTGTATTTACTTAAATCTATTAATTTATTTTAGAAAAATATTTCTTACGATATGCTATTTTGACCACTTTAGTTTTGAACATAGTACAACTTTTAGTATTAAACTTTAAACAAAATATACATTTTTAATATTTACACCAAAACCTATTATTTGACCTATTGTACCTATTATTTGAACCTATTATTATTCCATGCAAACTTAAATTATTTTGTGATATCAGCATTAATAATTCAAAGAATAACTTCATAATTCATTTTGGCAGTCTAAAATATCTTTTTGTATCACATTTTCTTTATTTGAGAAACTATAATTTAAAACCAAACTGCTTCTTGGATACTATATCTAAAACACAATCTTGAAAGTATGAAACTGATTTTGAATGCTAATGGTAAAGACTCCATCCAAGGTTGCATTGAATGATTATACATTTTTAAACATAATATTTTTTATTTTAATAAAATAGGCTACTGTATATCTAAACTTTAATGATTGGAAAGACCTGATTTTACCACACATAGCATATCCGGATGTGTATTTTTTTTTAAGCAAAGTTGCATAAAGGATGAGTGTTCAATGAATATCTTTCAGTGGCGGTTCCAAGGGGAAGCTATAGGGGCTATAGCCCCCCCCCTTGACCCTGAGAATATAAATTTAAACATTAAAGATTTTCGTGTCCTTGTTCATTGAAATTTTAGTAAATGGTGCTGAAAAAATAATCAGCTGATTTTACTTAGTGTAATAAAGCTATAATTCATTCAAACCCACACACTGATATAGATTGACTCATCGAACTGAATCCATCCTAACATGTGAAAGCCTTATACTAATTTGTAAAGTCCTTGCAGGGCTTGGGGGGTGGCTACCATAGTGTTCTGGGGGTGTGAAAGCCCCTCATAATAAAGGTGGGGGGGGGGGTCCGGGGGTCCTTTTTAACTCCATTTGGTGACATTTTAAAGCCATTTTTAACATCTAGAATTGTAACCAAAAACCTCTGTTACGTTTTTAGGACAGAATGTATGTTTCTATTAATTTTTCCTGGGTCCATTAAGGGGGGGGGGGAGCTTTATCTCCTGCAGCCCCTCCTTGGGATTGCCAATGCTAACAATATAGTTAGTAAAGAGACTGGGGTTTCAACCACTATAGGTCATGGCTGAAGAAAAACAATACAAAATTCAGGTTATATTCAGATAAAACATTTACACCTATCCAAACAAAACTTGAGAACAAATAAATAAAAAATATTTTTTCAGTTACAAGAAACACTCTCAAGGATGGCAGCCATCATCAGAAAACTCATTGATGGCTACACATATTTTAACGAGGATCTAGCGGGTGAGTGGCGTCCCCATCTCAATTGATATTGATATTGAGTCTGTCTTTATTATTTTTATTATTACTACACTGTATTGTATGGTAATTAACTTGAAATAATCTTTATTTATCACCCTATGTATAGACATAATGGTGTATAGATAATATCACGAATATTATAATTGGAATTATATAATCAAATAGAACAAGTTTAAGGCTTGAGGTTTGACCAGTTTGATTGTGTTTAATCTTTTAATGTACCTCAAGCCTTAAACTTGTTCTATTTGATTATATAATTCACGATTATATATTTCCATAAACTGTTTTCATAGCACAAGCAATTAACACGTTTGCGGCGGCACGTCAAATGGCGGGCGTATCCCAGGTGCGGCGCAGCCCTCAGCATCGAACAAACCTGATTGCCGCGTGTGATTGGCTTTCCAATTTTGGTCTGACGAATAGCAAATAACGTGCGAGGATGTCCCGCTTTACAACGAGAGTCGACGTAGTTCGCTAAACACCAACAGATAGCAGCACTGCTTGTAACGTAGCCAGTCCCATTGGAATAGTATTGCCAAATGGAGGGAAAAAGACGGGACAAAAGTAGAATTTTGAGATTGCCAGACGGGGATTTTACGGGGAAATTTACTACCAACCTACACCACAACAAAATACAGTATACTATTGAGCAGTTCTGTGCGAGGTTTCAAGTTTCTAGCTCTAATCCTGGCTTCAAAATAAATCATTTCGTACTGCATTGCAGCTTGGGAGCGATCGTACCCTCCAGGATGGCATTAGGGTTCCGTATGGGAGCGATCGCTCCCATGCCGCCGCGAACGTGTTAATTAGTTTAAGTCGTCATTGTTCTTTCAACTTCAAATAGCATCAGACAGAATGAAACATGAGGTATTTGTAGACAGCGCACAATAGAAGTAAGTGGCAACCAAACACATGTATAAAAACATGTAGTTTCCTTTTTTTATGTCAGTTTCAGAACTTAATTATAATCAATTTCCCATGTTGTTATTGCCTGAGTTCTTTTAGGTAAGATGTCTTTGTCTCCCTATGCATTTCACCATCTTGTGTGGCATCTTCCAGTGATCTTCTTAAGTGACAAACGCCTAAAACAAAATAAAACTTACCCAATAACTTTTCCTGATTTCCTCACGATTCCAACACCACTCAAATCCACTCAATTATTAGCAAAAGTGCAAGAGGTACTAAAAATACAAATGTAAATATGAATGGATCGAACACCCTCCTAAACAAAAAAAGACTACACGAGCTATACAATTCTTAAATTAATATACGACATTAAACGGAAAAAACAGGAAACTCAGCTATAAACCGGCTACACTACAGAGGTCATAGCATCCGCCCTACTATAAACCAGGAAAGTCAGCTATAAACCGGCTACACTACAGAGATCATAGCATCCGCCCTACTATAAACCAGGAAAGTCCAAACCACCCTCAACCATTGATCGGCCAAAATTTCTAATGCCTACACCCCAGTCCAAGAAATGAAATGGAGGAAGAAAAACCTCTTGTCATGACCTCTTGTCCGCTGTGTGTCTATCGTCTGTTGTCCAATCAGATTGACCGCTATACTATGACCGGGTAAGTGTAAAAAATATAGACCATATAGTGTTAGTGATAAGAAGATGAAATCACAAGAAGACTGCCGAAGATGACACAAAGGATGGTGAAATCCATAGGGTGACAAACATCTTACCTACAAGAAATCAGGCAACAACAAAAGTAAATTTAGTAGTTTATAAAAGCTGATTGAAATTGTTCCTCTTCAAAGAGATAAATTTGTTCCTCTGTTACAAACTGTAAAGTTTGTGATAAGTTATAATATGCTTGTATCATTTGTTACAGATCCAAGAGGTATTCATTATCCGTTGATGTCAAATCCCTTCGGTATCGTCGTGATCATCGTCGTATACAACTTGTTTGTGCAATGGATTGGACCTAATTTTATGAAGGACAGGAAACCATACAATCTAAAACCTGTCATAGTAGTCTATGATGCTCTTCAAGTTGTTCTCAATTTTTGGATGATGTGGCGAGTGAGTAACTCCAATCAATTAATTTGGTTAACCAAAAAAGCAAAGTTTTCCTATTCCTAGTTTGCTATCTATGCTAGGTAGGTAGTAGCGCTTACTTATCAAATAGAGTGCAATGTCACTGTTTTTAAATCCACAGTGCACTCAGTGTACCCTCTCAGAATAGTAAAGTGCGTACCTCTAAGGTAACAAAAGAATATTTTAACATATCTGTAGATTTTTATTGTTACATGAACAGAAGGCTATTGTTTGCCAATATTTAAAAATTTCTATAGTGATTCAAGCACAACACAGTTTGTGGCGTAGCCTCTGGACTGGAATATGATCATAATTATTGCAATAAATTAGGTTATTACCATATGCATCAACCAGTAGTCCTGTTCTTAGTTAGATCACCTACTGGTTTTGAAGACTTCATGCCTTCATTGTCAAATACAGTACGCACATGGATATTAAGTGTGATTAATCCTCTTCAACCTGGACGGTGTGAAGATTCCTCTTAAAAAACACTAAATACAAACACACAAAAACATTGAAAAACATTTAAAAGATAGCTTGCCTAAATTAAAAAACAAGTTTGGAGTATGTGTGCTGTACCTGGCAGAAGATCAGTCATGACACTGAGTCACAGTCTATGTTCCGTTCTTTTTTTTTCTATTATCATTTCTCATTTCCTATTATATCTATTGTGGTGTTGTAAATTAAATTTTATTGAATAGGTAGATAACTTGTCATTGTCCTTGAGCAGATGTTGTGGGCTATTTTTTTACGATCGGTAAATTTGTGTTCTTTAATTGTATAAATCTTCCTTTTTTACAATAGTGAAACCTTTTAGGTTTGTAAAAATTTGTTTAGTTATGGTCAGTTATTATAAGTGCGGCAAATGAAGAATTGAAGATTTTTTCCAGATCATCTCACTCCAAATTTTAATGACCACTGATTGTGCATTAATATTCAGCTTAAAATACTCCCCTATGTGGTGTAGTTCTCAGCTAAAAGTAATGCTTTTGAATGAATATTTGTATAGTAAAATAAATACACCTGGAAGTTTACCATATGAAATACACCTTGGAACATTTGAGAAATAACATTCCAGTTAAACCAGTTGTCAATTATTCATTTAACTAATCAACCCTTTTGATTCTCAGGTTTTAAGAGTGACTTACTTCTCAGGCAACTACAACCTACTCTGTGAACCAGTAGGAACTGGAACATCACCTGATGAGTTGCTGGTAAGCTCATCCTTCAACAACTACCCCATTTCAATGAAAAGTATTATATTAAATTATTAAAGTATTTATTACTCTGTTCACAAAATTTAGGGGAAGGTGTGTTTCCTGGGTTCCCCACAAATCTTTTTAGCTTAATATCTTGATCAGCTGTTGGCTTCTGTTTCAAAGATAGGGTGAGGTGGAGGGGGTGGAATCACTTCCCCTAAACCTACCAAATTTTGTCATTAAAGTATTAAAGATTATTAAATGTATTTTCCAGTCATTGTTTGGATAAGAATAAAATAACCTTTGGTTATTTGTGATTGATCTCAGAAATATTAGAATTTGTCAATATTCTTGACATATTCTTTACAATTGCTTAAAAAAGTTTTTTTTCCTTAGAGAGCTATTAATGAGTTTAGAAGTTATCATACTCGGTTTTTAACCTTTTTAATTGACAATTATATGTGTAAAAATTGGAAGTGCAAATGTTGAAAATGATTATTTTTTCTATGAACATTTAAACTAGAGTAGTACTAAGGTAGGTTGTTTGTACAAACTGTACTGAACAGAAACAAGTTTTTAGTCCTCAGCTAATGCATGAACAAATTAATCTATTAGGGTGTATGTTTTATCGATGTTTTTAGATTGTGCCATTTATAGTATTGCAATAAGTTATTAACAAACTGCAAATCCAGCTCTCTTAACATCTGAACAGCTTTCACAACATCTGCACAGCTATTACAATACAACATCTGCACAGCTGTTACAATACAACATCTGCACAGCTGTTACAATACAACATCTGCACAGCTATTACAATACAACATCTGCACAGCTGTTACAATACAACATCTGCACAGCTATTACAATACAACATCTGCACAGCTACTTCAATACAACATCTGCACAGCTGTTACAATACAACATCTGCACAGCTGTTACAATACAACATCTGCACAGCTATTACAATACAACATCTGCACAGCTATTTCAATACAACATCTGCACAGCTATTACAATACAACATCTGCACAGCTATTACAATACAACATCTGCACAGCTGTTACAATACAACATCTGCACAGCTGTTACAATACAACATCTGCACAGCTATTACAATACAACATCTGCACAGCTATTTCAATACAACATCTGCACAGCTATTACAACACAATGTAATAACTCTGCAATATCTTTCAGGTTGTAGAAACTACTTACTTTTACTTCTTGACAAAAATTCTTGACCTTCTTGACACTGTGAGTAGTAAAATTAGTTTATAATGTTTATTTTATTTCTAATAAGCTAAACAAGCTAAAGCACAGATAAGGGAAACAAGTTATTCCCTGTTGTGTGTGTTAAGGGTGTTTGGTCAAAAATGTGATGTCTTATTTTTTGTTATTGTTCAATTGTGCTAAAAATTAGAGATACAAATATATAGGTGAGACAAAATTTTCTATTTTGAATACTAAACGAGATATGGAGCTTGAAAGTAGTAAATTTTTCATCTTTGGTACCAATTCACAGGGAGAAAGGGTAATGCGATTCTCACCAATATTGCCATTCAGGTACGGAAAAATAAGATAATAATCACTAGCTATTTAAAATAAAAAATTTTGTTTTTTATACATTTTTTAAAAAATTAATTTTTTTTATTAATTTTTTTTATTAAAAAATTGATATTTTTTGGGGGGAAAACTTATCTGTATGTTGAAATTTAAAAAAATGTGATATGTTAACTCATTTGGGCTGTGAATTCGTACCTTTGATGCTTTGTGCTGTTGGAGCACTACTCGTTTAGAGTGTATACACTAAAACCGGGGTGTATACATTAGAATACAGCGATAAACATATTCTTTCAATGTTAAAAGATGTTAATAATTATTACGTGATGTTAGAGTATTCTACAGCCCCGGTTTTAGTGTACACACTCTCAACAAGTAGTGCTCCGATAGCGCACGACATCAAAGGTACGAATTCACAGCCCAAACGAGTTGACATATGACATATTTAAAATTCCAACATACAGATATGTTTTCCCCAAAAACAAACAGCTATTTTTTTTTTTTTTTTTTAATTTAATTTTTTTTATAAAAAAAAATTAAAAATTTTTTCAAAGTTTATAATTTTAAATAGCTAGTGATTATTATCTTATTTTCCACACCTGAATGCCAATTTTGGTGAGAATCGCATTACCCATTCTCCCTGTGAATTGGTACCAAAGATGAAAAATGTAATACTTTCAAGCTCCATATCTCGCTTAATATTCATAATAAACAAATTTTTCTTATATATTTGTATCTCTCATTTTTTGTACAATAATTTAACAATAACAGAAAATCAGACATGAACATTTTCGACCAAACACCCTTAAAGCTGTTAGATAAAGATGTTTCTGAGTTGAAAGATTCAAATCATTGCATCAACAGCAAAATTAAGATTCAATGTTTAGCTTTATAATTTAACAAAACATCTCCTTATTAATTAGGCAACCCAATTTTGCATTTAGTTACTTAACTTTTAATTACTATTGTTGTATTTTGGGAACAGCTCTGCCATTTATAAAAATAAAAAAATCATAGTTGATTGTTTTCCAACACACAAAAAGAGTAATTTATGTAATAGTCTAATATTTTATATTCTCTATTAGTTTTTTTACTGTGTGTAAAATGCATTAAAATATGCTATAATTCAGAATAAGTCATTCCTTTAGTTTGACTATTAAAATTATGGGGTTTCAACAGTAAACAGTTATTAATTTACACCAATTTTGTTGGTAGCTCAATTCTACTACAAAATAGGTAATTTTAAGCAACATTTGAAAAAAAACTTGCTAAACTAGCTTTAACATTGGAATAGAATGAATAGTTTCATAGCAAAGATATGAATAGTTAAAAAAATGATTCAGTATTTAATTAAATATTTCTCTGAAGACATCATGCTGGTCAAATAGGAGGAATGTATAACAAATTGTACCGATTTTTGTGATGGAGAATTTAAATTGCACCCCTATAGTACACGTAAAATAATACAAAAACACTCCATATAAACAACAAAATTTGTACATTCATGAAATTTCACCCGTAAGTTACTAATAATATGAGAAATGAAGATCCGATGAGTCCCCAAAATTTTGGGCGTCCTAAGGCCCTTTTTGGGGCCCTTTTTGTTCCGAAGGGCCCTTGTTCCTGAATAATTTTGTTTTTATGTTTAAAGGCCGAGTGAGGTGTGGTTTTCGATGGTTTTAGTTATTTTAAATCGATTGGGACTAGTTTTAAGTGTATTAAACCACCCAATACAGGGTGTTTCGAAATATTATTACTTTTTACGATATATAAACATTTATTAATAAAGTAATAAAATTAGTTACCTCCATGCTCTATATAAAAGGGGATTATTGAAAATAATTGTAATTCTTTACTATATAAGAGAGAAGGATCACAAGGAGTAAGAGAAAATATTAAATACCCCCGTCACAGCAAACCTGCAGACCTAGCGAATTTCCGTTTCACTTACTTGATTTTCAATTAAATCTAAAATAGCATTGCGTTTAACGATTACCTAGGTTTGCTTCTACAAGGAAAGACGTATCTATAAACAAACAAACAAAATCATTTTACACTATTCTCCTTAAGAATAACATGGAATTTTAAATTAAATTTTTTTGAATTTCATTCGTAACTAATACACTTACAAAACACGTTAATATACTAAATTATTTGTTTTCTTTAAGCTCTTTAAAATGCTCTAGAGAAAAATTGAGAAACTTTGTGTTTTGAGGGTCAAAGATTACAAATTTTTACCACATAAAACCCTGTTCTATGGACCGATTATGCCGGTTTTGTTAAAATTGAACCAAAATTACTCGAGTTACCCTGTATACGGACACGTATATAACAAGGATATATTATATTATATATATGTATACACACACATATATAATATTTTGAGTGGATGGTGCTTTAGGCTTCTGGGGGCATCGAAATGAAAACGTAAATCGGTTTCGGGTTTATGTTTTACCATAAGACCTTCGGTAATAGCTTATTTCCTATATGGGAAGTTAAAGGGGGATAAGTTATCCCCCTTAAGGGGGGGGTTAGGTTATATGGTGGGTAAAAGGATATGGATTAAGTTTTTACACTATAACATAATAACATAGGTTACTACGCAAAAATTTCAACTTTTAAGGTGATGTGATTAATCTTTCAATGTGTTTTTATGCAAATCTATTAAGACCAATTTCAAATTGATATTTATTTTTCTTAGGTAGTCATTTAAGTTATTTTTTTAACATGTATTAAAAATTAAAACAATTGTATTTGTATAAAACCTTACATTACATATTAAAATGACTTAAACTAAAAATTTACTTAACTAAAGCTATTTTTCTAAAATTTTCGTAGTATCTCTCTTTACAATTTCATCATGACAATAATTATTCTCAGACGACTCATTAACAATTTTATTATTCTAAGCAACTTGTCCATCTTTACTGATTTTGTCCAAGTTGGTGTTCAAGCGGGATTCCCCTTTACAAACCTTGCATATTGCAGGACAGGCAATACCAATCTTAAAGCACGAGCAATGTGGTGCAAAAACACCTTTCATATATACTGACGTTTGCAACTTGTATCTCAAGTGCATCAAAATTTTTTCCAATCAATACAAGTACGGTTGTCTTTCGTGGTTATGACAACAGCACTAACACATCAGAGCAGCATTGTCCGTACAAGCATTTTTGTCCTGAACAATGGGAACGAGGTTTTTGGGGTAAAAATTGAGTTTTCTCATTTACTTTACCCTCAAAACACAAAGTTTTCCAATTTTTCTCTAGAACATTTTAAATAGCTTGAAAACAAATAATTTAGTAACATGTTTTTGTATGGTTATGTTTTTGTATGGTTATTAGTTACGGATAAAAATACTAAAATTGTAAATTTAAAATTCCCATGTTATTCTTATGTAGAATAGTGTAAAATGATTTTGTTTGTTTGTTTATAGATACGTCTTAATAAAACTTGTAAAATGTATTTGTTTTATACTAGGCTATTAATATTTTACTATAAACACACTTTTAGCCTCCTAGTAGCAGTAAACCTAGGTAATCGTTAAACGCAATGCTATTTTAGAATTAATTGAAAATCAAGTAAGTAAAACGGAAATTCGCTAGGTCTGCAGGTTTGCTGTGACGGGGGTATTTAATATTTTCTCTTACTCCTTGTGATCATTTCCCTTACGTAGTAAGGAATTACAATTATTTTCAATAATCCTCTTTTATATAGAGCATGGAGGTAACTAATTTTATTACTTTATGAATAAATGTTTATGTATCGTAAAAAGTAATAATATTTTGAAACACCCTGTATGGGGTGGTTTAATACACTTAAAACTAGTCCCAATCGATTTAAAATAACTAAAACCATCGAAAACCACGCCTCACTCGACCTTAAACGTAAAAACAAAATTATTCAGGAACAAGGGCCCTTCGGAACAAAAAGGGCCCCAAAAAGGGCCTTAGGACGCCCAAAATTTTGGGGACTCATCGGATCTTCATTTCTCATATTATTAGTAACTCACAGGTGAAATTTCATGAATGTACAAATTTTGTTGTTTATAAAACCCTATTTACCTGTACATATATTTTCAACTAAACATAAACATACAAATCAAACACTTGTAATATTTTTGTTCTTCTCAGGTGTTCTTCATTTTGACCAAAAAGTCTAGCCATCTCAGTTTTCTTCACCTCTACCATCACAGTGGGATGATTGCCTGTGGCTGGATTGGAGTCAAATTTGTACCAGGTAAATAAATTGGTCATTTTATTGAATTACTGATTGGTTCCTCATACAAAATAAATTTATTTGTAGATAACCTGTAATTCAGACATTTATGGGATTTTAACATTTTATTTTATAAACATAAATTCATAAAGATATATACTTTTAGCAATTCATTCATACAGGTATGCTTCGCTAGCACAAAGAATATCTTAACCCTTTGTGGTCGAATGGCGAGTATAGGTCGCCGCCCGCCATTTTGCCGACTGCTCAAAAATAGCGAACTACAAGGACCAAAAAAAAAATAATAAAATAAAAAATAAATTCAAAAAACAAAAAAGTTTATTTTTTTGGTCGAATGGCGAGTATAGGTCGCTGGGCGCCATTTTCCTGACAGCTTGAATTGCAAGCTAGATTCGCCGGAAAATGTGGAAAAAATTCGACCTCGGTGTTGTGTAATCACAGCAAACTTGAAAATCTTTGACCAAAACTTGGCCAGGCATATCTATCTATACGGTGGTAGTAGTAGGAAACATAAATATTATATACTAGACAAAACCATCTTTCATACAAATTCTTCACTGATCAAAAGTTGTAAGATAATAAATCTATGTTGGTTCTAAGCTTATTTCATTAAAAAAATAGCAGGGAACACTTAAAAAAATTTAAAACCCAATTTTTTTAGTAAAAATTAAAGTATACATACAAAACCCCTCCCTTAAAAACACGCAAACTCTCAACAGCCTTGTTTCAGTCAAACTGCAAATGTCCTGATACTATGGTTAGTCTTGGTTAATTCTTGGACAGCATTGACAGCTGTGTTGAGACCGATTTTTAAAAATGGCCCAAACGGTTTTGGTTAATGTTTAGTACGTTATAGGCCTTTAAATTCTGAACAAAAATTGTATAACTCCCATTGCTGTAAACATTTGGTAAAAATTGTGTTTCTAAACCAACACCTTTAATTGTTTACCACAGTTTATTTCTCTCACACTTAAATAAAACTATTTAATAAACTTCTAATATATTTTAGAAATTAGGAAAGGATTCAATTGTATAGGTCAAAATTATCAGATTGGCTTACAAGTCGTGCGTTTTTGCAGAATGTAGATTTTTCAACTCATAGAATGTGAGGCCAAGCAATCTTGATGATTCTTTGTTCTCGTTATGGGGTTTCTTCTTAAGCTTTATCCTTTTAAGATTCATTAAACTTTATTTTATTTAAAATTTTCTGTAGCCTATTTAATATTTTATATAACATTTATGTAACAAAACATGTAACAAATGTGACCTCGTATATTTTAATTTATATATTACCAAATGACAATAAAGATCTATTATTATATTATTATTATTATTATTATTATTATTATTATTATTATTATTATTATTATTATTATTATGGTTGAAAAGTTATTGCAGCTTTTGTTATTTTCCCATGAAAAAAACGAAAAATAATGGAAAATCAGATTTCTGAAAAAAGGCGGGTTTGATTAAAATAAATATGCTATGGTCCTTATAATTCTAAACAAAATAGTGCAACCCCCATTGCTGTAAAAATTAGGGTTCAAAAGTTATTGCAAATCTTGTGATTCTCCCTATGAAATATCATAGTTACTCCCACCACCCATGATAAGTTTGTTGACAAGCTAATGGGAGAAATTATGTGTCAGATTGCTGATACCATTTATTTTATTTCAGGAGGCCAAGCGGTGTTCTTCGGGTCAATAAATGGGTTTGTCCATTGTGTGATGTATTTATACTACCTCCTCTCAGCTCTCAAATACCTGGACAGTCAGCACATCTTCTGGAAAAGATCACTCACCCAGCTTCAAATGGTAAAATTTTTAACATAGCGTTTTAGAGCACAGTTAAATGCAAAGGTTCAAAACCCCTTATTAACAATTTATTTATCGCTTTATAGGTACAGTTCTTCTTGATTGCTCTTCATCATATTGCCGTGATTGTCAACCCTGACTGTGACTTCCCCTGGTTCGTCAGCAGCATGCTCATCCCTCAGAACATTTTCATTTTCATCCTCTTCGCTGATTTCTACAGGAAAGCGTACTTGAAAAAAGACAAAAAAACATAGTACAAGAAAGATAATTTGTCCTTAATAGCAATTTTACAAGCATTTAAATATGCACACTATACATTTAAATAGTTAATGTACTACTTGTGTTTTAATTATTGATGTATTTTGTAGATATTTGAGTTTTAAAGTTTGTGTAGGCCTAAGGCTAAGTTTAAATTGTGTAAGCAAACGTATGTAAAATCACTGTTGAATATAGAAATGTTAGTATTTTGTTTGCTAAATTATACTGCAGTAAATTTGAATACACTTACTTACTAGTGTTGGCCACTGGTACCCCACGGTACTTTAGCCTTGCCAACACACTGCCTCCCCCTACAGCATTTTCTGTCCTGGACCGATTCTTCATTTCTTCCCAGCCTCCTTAGGTCCTGGTGTACATCCTTCCATCTGAGTTTCCCTTCTGAGTCGGTCCTCAACAAGACCTTATTGGCGGTGGCGTTCTCATCTCTCGTTAACAAATTGAAATATTTGTCAAATTCTAAAAAAATTTGGGTCTTGATTTTACACCATAGTAAATCTTACTAAGAATTAAAGTTACTATGTAATTCTCTAAATTAAAACTTTTTTCAATTTATTTTTACAATTTATATTGTAAAATATTCTTAGAATTCACTAGTTAGAATGTTCTGTAGAGCTAGAATTCTTAATTATTTTATTTTGTCATTACCTCATCTACAATTAGTTTAGTTTTTGTGTTTTAGGGTATAGTTGGGTTCAAGCAAAATGTGATGTTTGTTTTAGCTAATGTAAATAGTTCCTTGCCTATTTTGTATTTTAAAAATAGTAATAAATATCCAATGCACTTTCATAATTTGTTACAAACTCAGAAGTCCTGTTAAACTATGTTGCTAACGTCAAATAAGCCTGTATCTGCTAAATATATGATTAGTCTCACAATACAATGAAAACAAACTCTTTAAGAAGCGCAATGCCTTTTTGTTGAGTGCTGACTGAATGAGAGCATTGAATATATAACACTCTCTCAGAGTGTTATATATTCAATGATGAGAGAGAATGAGACAAAGAATCTGCTAGAGAGGGAGAGAGAGAGAGAGAGAGAGAGAGAGAGAGAGAGAGAGAGAGAGAGAGAGAGAGAGAGAGAGCAGTGCGGCCCGCCGCTTGAAGCTCATTTCGGCGGCAAAATTCTAGCTTGACTAAAGCATTTCGCTTAAAGGGTTTTGATAAAATGAACTATTAGACTATTTGAAACGTCTAACTCCGGGGAATGGTTATAAGGGTCATCATATGGAGAAAATAAAAATAAAATGTTTTCCAAAAATGATTTGTTACCCAGCTGCCATTTTTTACATAACATTTTTAAAAATTTGCCAACCAATCTTTATGAAACTTATTATTTTTATTATTTTAATGTAGAAGAAACCCATGTTAGGGGAAAAAATTAAGTCGGTATAAATTTTTTTTTAATTCAAAATGGCAGTCATTTTTATTTATGTAACTTAATTACAAAAAATTGCAACTTTATGAAAAAAATATCATGAACACTTTTATTTAGCATTTGAAATTTCCAATCAAATGACACAAAGTTCAAAAAGATATCAAATTACAAACAGCAGAAAATCACGATTTTTAGTGGTAAAATTAAGTAGACAATTTAACAGTTTATAAATTTAAGAACAATTTATAAAACCAAAATTTTTGCTCCAATAGTTATACGATTTCATCCAATTATTGTAAAATGTATTTATATGCAATATTCACAGGTTTTATGGTTTTTATGTTTTGAAAAAGTCAATGCGAGTTTTTTACAAGTTTAGTTTTTTTATTCATTGTTATAGCCTCCGGAATCACTGAATTAGGTCGTTTTTGGGGGGGGGGGGTGGGGCTGGGGCTGGGCAAAGTTTGATGTGGTTAGAAGCTTGAATTAGGCTTAAGCTACCGGTATTCAAATATATAAATAAATTAGTGTGCTATAAATATTTCCTGTAAACAATATATCTCTATACTATAACGAGTGACATTTGTCGTTTGCGGAATAAAAAAAAACGGCTCCAACGATTTTCTTTAAATTGATAGGAATAGTTTAGTTTCGAACTAAAACAAGATCCATGCTCGGCTCTGTTCTAAAATAAAATATTTTTTCCTACAGTCACCCGACAAAGTTGGCTTCCTTATACTTTTTATAGTATAGAAAGCTGCTAATTGATGCATATTTATACTTTGCCGTACGGTTTATACTTTGTCGTACGGTTTATACTTTGCCGCACATCAGGATTCCAACGAAACAACACAAAACAGCGTGGTTCTATTATGCACGTAATCCGTGTACGCTTGCAAAATAGGTTGGCAACACTTAAAGATAATAATACTATGAGCAGCTGATTGACTTTCGTGTTTATATTTTCGGTATTTCTGAACTTTCTGGACTTTTCTTTTAAACGTTTTTAAAACATTCCTACGATCTTAATAAACAATAAAATGCCTTTAAAGCATTTCTTTTAGGCGCGGAAACCACTTCAAATTACAAAAACATACGGAACAATATTCTCAAAACGCGGAGCACATTTCTTGCCGAGGAAAAATAGCGGAGTGATACGGACCGGGTACTACTTTCTCTAGGGCACCTATTTGTGTTGCCAGCTGAACCTAAAAACGTGTCGTATAGTGTTTGAAAGACTAATTATTTATATGCATTATAGTGACTGTAGGAAAAATATAATGTGTAACAAGAGTGCAAAAGGACTTTGCTGCACTCGAGATCATTCCGCACTCGCCTGCGGCTCGTGCGTAAACATTGCTCTCGTGTGCAGCAAAGTGCCACTTTTCCCACAAGTTACACAAATAACTATTTTAACCTATGCCAAAGATAAACATACTCCGCTCTCCGCTTATAACAAATCACTAAGCAATGGTATAATTACGACTGTTAGAGTCCTGGAGTTGTTTGTCACATTACTTCAAGTCAGACCAAAATGTGAGCCCTCGGGGCTCGCAGCCATGACATTCGTATTCTTTATGACCTACACCGTATCCCGGTCAAGGTCGAGCGTCTTGGCTTGGAGAATGCCCTGGATGTAATGTGACACACAGGTCCCATTGTCATCATCCTCCGTCATCATCGGGATGGCCGTGTCCACCGACAGTAGTCCTACAAACTGTTGAGACTCCAGGCGGGGCCTTTCCCAATGCTGGCAGCGGAAGAAAGTATGTTCCGCGTCATTGGGAACATCGGGGATGCCCGAGCAGTAGGTGCTATCGGGTGACACGGCTTTGCCCATCCTGAACAGGTACGACCGGAAAAGGGCGGAAGTAACCCATAAGAAATTGGGTGAGGTGATAGTTCACCTCTCCGTACCACCGATTGGACCGTACCCAACCGTACACAACCGTACCCAAGGTTGGACTAGCTGTATCAGTCGTCTGGTCCAGCGTCCCCATGTCTCCTGTTCCCAGCTCTTCTGCCACAGCTGGTTGGTGCGGGTGCGTTCCTCTGTTGTCTGGTCCTCTCCATCGCCAAAGGTTTGACGGGAATGATGACTCCAGCAACCACCGTGGACTGCGGGGTTCAGGCATTGTTCGATACGGGCCATCTCAACGCTGCGTGCAGCTAAAACTGCAACGTCGTCTGCGTACCGAACCAAAACAGTTTCCTCAGGCATTTCAGACGTCAAAAGGCTGTCGTAGCCGACATTCCAGAGGTCTGGGCCGAGTATGGAACCTTGGGCGGCCAGAAGGGACACTCATCGTCAGCGGGAATTCTTTAGGCATACATGTGGAGGCGAAACCGGAGGTAATCTTCTATGATGGACATGAGGTATACCGGAACGTGGAAGGTGTTCTCCAAAGGGCCCAGTATATCGCACCACGTCGCGGAGTTAAATGCCTTTGCACATCAAGTGTTACGAGCAGCACAACCTTTAAGGGAGTTACTTAGTGGTTAAAACCCTCAGCACTCATCACGGCTCGCTTCACCTCCTCAATAGCGTCGACCGTTGATCACCCCAGTATCCTATGTTTGGTCTAAGAACCTTCAGTAAAGTAACAGCTTTCATTTGAGCTATTGATAATTAAAATCGGACGTACCTGAAGCACGCTGCTGAATCACGAATCAACAATAATTATTTTAGGACTTATCTTCAATCAATGATAACGTAACTCTATTTTTATTTTAGTTATTTTATAAGTCATGGTCTTAGAATAAACCTATAATGTATAAATAAAGACTTTCATTTGAGATATTGATCGTTTGAATCAGTTAAGTTGCAGGTTTGCTGTGGCGGGGTTATCAATTGATGATGCTACGTAACTAAAGGTAAACAAACAAACAAATCAAAAAATACCATTGTTGATTGAGCCGTGCCCTTACAAAAGAGTCAAAAATTCTAACTGTGTAAAATAATTAAATTATGAAAACAGCTGATATACAGTAATTTATGAAAGAGGAATCTTTAGAAGCCCGTCGGATGGGCTTTTAATTTTAAAGATTCCTCCTTCCGACGGGCCCCGTCGGATGAGTCGATGAGTTGTTGAGATTTGCGCGTACTTCCACTTTCTACGTATGTAGGCGCCGTTCTGTTATGTAGGCCGCCATTTTCTAGTTTCGTCATGTCATTGTCAGTGACAGATGTCTGAGATCGTTGACGTCTCCGTTATCGTGATATACTCTGCAAAAAGCTACGTCCTGTCCAGTACACCACATAGTTAATTAAGACATTTTGCCTTGGAAAAGATTATTTCAATTTAAAATCAGTCTAGCACTTAATAATTCAATTATTAATATTTACACATAATTAATTGTAACTAGAAATAATTTCGAATTTACGATCATAATTAAATTACAGTATGTTTATTTTTATTTTGTGTATTTACATTTTTTGCAATGGAGCGGTACAAACTCAAACCTGTGTTTAAATTGTGCGTTTGTTAGATAGCATTAATTATTTAACATATAAATACACGAATTAATTAGTTGAGTAAAAGCTAAATAAATGGGATCTAGTAGGTCCAGAATAGACCAATGTTTGGGTAAAAACCAGCAAACTTCAGATTTGAAGGCATCAAGCATTAACTTACTGTTTATCTGAACACACGAATTGAATGTACCAATTAACTTGATTATGTACTTATTTATATATTTTTTTTAGATAATGTTTAGTGCATGTGCAAAAAGTAAAAACAAATGGTTACTTACAGTTTATGTTACAGGGTTTTAACGTTTCTTTATTTGTGACACAAAAACGAGAAGGCGAAAGTTAAGTTTGTTAATGCAAAAGCAATGTTAATTTCGATTTTCATAGTTTTTTCTGATCTGACTTTAATGCTAAGGGAAATAGTAATAACGAAAGTAACTACGTAGGTTTGACAAAAAACCCGTTAATCATTGCATGCCCTTGATTGTTTATGGGGTTCACTATAGATTAAACTCGCTCTCATTTAGATCACCCATTCTTGTAAATAAACTGAAGACTTTAAAGAATGAGACCGTTGGATTAACTTGCATTTTATGTTTACCATTTATTCCTTGTTATTTTCACTGAATTTGAAACGATTCTAACTCAACTAAACTGACTATGTACTCGTTTTTTAAAAGTATTGCTATTCTCAAAAATTGCTACCAGATCGCATAGACAAATAGAATTAAAAATATTTAATTCTATTTTTCTATGCAGATAGTAAAGCACAAGATTTACAAGATTTTCCCTAAAATGAGGAAAGTTATTTATACCAGTTTATAATGCAAAGAGAAGTCTACTTATATCATTGAAAGTCAATGGTTTTACTTTATACTTTTCAATGAAATGGCGACCATGCAAAGTAGGTATTTTAAGCCAAGTATGAATGGAGATGAGTGTATACTACGTTAAATATAAAATTTTCAGGTAAGAATAAGATGGTGTTAAATGTTTAGCCAACTGTCAACAATTTTGAGAAGTGACGTCACTATCGCGCGTCTTTGAGCTCGTCTCATCTAATGTCCACATCCATATACGAAGTGTTAGGAAATAGAACGTTTGAATGTTGAAGGAATATTGTTTTTTCTTAGTTTAAATTGAACCAGAGCTCAATGTAACAAAAATCCTTATAGTTTGACAATATATATCTTTAGGGGTATATATTACGTTTTTTTCAAAATAAAATTATGTGTTTAATCATTTAGAACATCGTATTTAACTTTTGACGGGACTATTTTCTAACTGTCCCTAACCAGATAACTCACTTCGTTGCACTAATAAAAAAAGTACCTGTTTATTTTGATAGTAAAATCAATATAAAGGAAACTCACGTTTTATTTGCAACTAATTTTGGCTGTTATTATTTATATTTCAGTTGAATTTCAATTTACTATGATGGAAATTTCAACCTGGCAATACACAATACATTTATTTATATTTATAATAGCCTACACTTGCATAAACATTGTTTTGACATTTTGTTATTAAAACAGCTGGTTACTTTGGGGATTAAGTTTTGGTAGGAGAGAGCCAAGTTAAATAATCAGTATTTGATCGGAACTATTTTCACCTACCTATTTCGAGTTATCTTCAGTGGAATCTTTGCTCAATAGTAACAACTGGGGCCCATTTCATAATAAAGTACAAACCAATATTATTAGTAAATCAGCTGATCGCCCAATGCAAATCTAATGGAAATTACAAGTTACAAGTTGTAACTTGTAACTTGTAGTTTATTATGAAATGGGCCCCTGATATTTCTCATTTCTACTGTATTTTGTAATTTGTTAGTGTACTGTGAATGGCTTGTTATAAATACGACTCACAAGTCTTTTGTTTACTTTTTCCTTGTTATTTTGTCCAACCAACATGGTTACTTAGCAATCCATAATAAATATTAAATTTTTAAATTTTCAAATTAGTTGTGTAGTGAAATAATAATTTCCTGAAGGTAGTGGATGTCGTGAGTCACGTTTTAGGCCTGAAATAAATTATTTACACCACATGAAGAAAATCATCGAAGCCGTTTTCAATATCTTTGTGCATGCAAACAAGCAAGTATACAAGCTTACATACATACAAGCAAACATTGCTCATATAAGATTATAGGTAAAAAAAAATTAAATTACGATAAAATCATAGCGTTATTTTGGAGATCTATATAAATATAACAACATTTTGCCGCCTGGACCATATACGTAGCATGGACATACTTTTTGCCGTAATCTAACGAAAAATTACAGTACCCAGTCAGTATTTTGTGTTAATTACGGTGTATAATTCACCTATTGAGCCTGATTATAATCAGGATTGGACATTCCAATTATAATTGGAATGTCCAATCACAATCGATCATTACTTAGCATCTTTCATGTGCATTTACCGTCTTGTTAAGACAGTATAAGTTGACCTGGAAGCACAAAAAAATATGTCAAATAATAGTTCAATATATATTTACATTTATACTGTTCACTCACAAGACGTTAAATACATATAAAAGATGTTAAGTGGTGATCGATTTCGATTGGACACTTTGTTTCAAGTGATATTAGACATATTTGTATTTACTTTCTGTAATATTATTATTACTTAATATGCTGATTAAGAAGTTATTTTCTGAAATTTGAATCCAACATAAATGTTCAAATATAGACCGTTTCCACCTTAATTTCCGATTGATGAAATGCACATATCTTTAATTTTTTACACAATTTTTTCTTTCCTACCAAATATTTTATAAGGCAGGCATTCTTTCGTGGTAGTATTTTCAAACAAAAAAACCTGCTTTTCTAAAATACAATTTTCCATTCTTATAAAATAACACAATTTATTTTTAGAAACAGTATTATAAGGATTTTTAGGTTCATCATATTTCCCAAGTCCTTAAAACCAATTCAGTACATTGCTGGTAAGCAATCAGATCTTGCTAAATTTTCCACGAGGCTTTCGCAAAAAACAATATCTTCGGGAAGGCCCCGCTACCGGTGGCATGCAAGGGACACAACGATACTACCTCACCTACTGACATACTGGCCGTGTGTAGCCAGTACCATTCTGTTCGGTGCCTTCGCTCAGGCACTATCCAGCCACAGGCAGTCGTCGAACCGGTGAGTACAATTTTCAGTATGGATTTACTATTTTATATTTATAGGAAAGTTTTGAGTGTAAAATAATTATTTCTTAAAGTTAATAAAATTGTTGAATTTAATGCAATTTTTTGAAATAAAAAACAAAATGTCTACTGTATTTTGTATTTAAAGGTTTAAAAATTACTGTGCATTTTAAAAGTTGTTCCTAAGTTACTACTTCATGTTTCAAAATGAATTTTAAGTTTCGTTGAAATCAGTGTGTTAAATTAAAACGTCAATTTAATTTCGGATAAAATCTTTAGTATTTTATTTTACAGCTTGACTATTCGCAATACTTCAAACTAAATACAGAGTCTGTCAGAGGAATAGGTAATATAAACTGTATAAAATAGTTTTAATAAATAACTATTAATTACAGAACTCAGGATAATTTTATAACATAGAAAAAAGATAGCTAGAAGCAATAAATGGTTAAATAAATATTAGCAATAGAAAAGTAAGAATACAGTTTGGTTAACTTTTCTTTGGGGATTGCAATGGCTGTATTGCTTCATTTATTTATCGTATCTTGTACTTTGTAGGTAAATCTATTAATCGTATTTCATTATAGCTGACTGAACGTCATATAAATGGTTAAAATATTGTCGTTTGATAAAGAATAAAAATTGTAGTATTTAACTACACAATTGGACACCCTTTTTCAGTTTCCTTGGCTGGTCTATAATTATCTAATTTAATATATCTGTGGACTATTGGATTATTTAAACAAATAATTGTTAACATTGTCATGTATAAAAAGTATTTAATAACAAACCGAATGTTTATTTAGGATAATGTTAATGTTAATCATGTTAATCGATCTATATCACCAATAACAATTTATTGATTCACTTGTTGAAACTATTTTTAGCAACACACACTTCTAATATAATTTAACATTAATTACCATTCATACTTTTATTGTTTTTCAAACTAAAATTCAATGTTATTTTGTATAGTGTGTGTTTAATAGTGTGTAGTGTGTCTTTAATTGTCACGCCTTCATTTCACCGTGCAGTTCAAATTAAGAGTTATATAATCTATGTCAATATTTCAATATGGTGTAGTATTTTTGTACGATTCTTTAAAAGAAAAAAATACTAGTTGCTAAACCACAATTTTCGAAATGGAGTAAGGGCGTAGAAAAGGATAATGTGCTTGTTTAAATGTTTTGCAGTGAAATTTTACAAACCAACTATTGATTAGACCAATGATATTCAACGAAATCTCAAAGCTGTACCACACACAGCCATACATGCAGAATCAGCATGTTTATAATGTACTGGATAACGCGGTGTTAAGGTCAGCTGGTATAAACATTGACCATATACGAGTATATTCAATGTTCTTAGCACGGTGTGCTGTCGCTCATACTTTTTTTCAACGACTAGAAAAATAGACCTGGTAAGCTATGAACTAATTTATATTTCGTTTTCAATACTTGTAATTTATTTTCAGGTCATGGCTAGGCTTCTGCATATCGTGCAGAACAACTATCAACAGATCCTCAATGAAACGATTGAAGGTAAGATTCTAATTCGGGACATGCTTATTTTAATCATTTTAGGTTTAATATACACAGGTCCAAAGGTAAGAGCGGGAAACTTCAGTCTTTAAACGGCTTGACTTTGTAACGGCGCAACTCAACCTCTCAACAAATTAAAATCATTGTCTATGAATAGTTAAGAGGCTTTTGTATAGAGAGTTTTCTAATGCAAGGAAAGTTCTTTTCTTCTAATACATAAATTAAATCTTTTTTAAATAGTTGAGAAATTATTTATACCAATTTGGCAGAAAACAGTAGAGTAAAGTTCGGAACAATAATTTAGACACTTTGGATCCCTTTTTTCCTAGATGGATATAAAAAAGAAGATAGACAATTTTTCCAAACATGTAGTATTTTTCAACGTTTTAAGACGACCATAATAACGGCTTTGTATTATATAGTAATGCTGTTGGTTGTATGTAATAATAGGCAAGCATGTTTCTTTAAAACCTTTTTTCTCAGCTCGTGTGCATCACAGGGGAAATCTACGCATACTGTTAGAAAGATATTTTCCTGTAGATGTGCAGAATCCCTTTATAAATTAAATAGGCTCAAAAATAAACACGAACAATTAATTTGAAATAAAAAAACCCTTTATGAGTTGCCATGCCGGTGACAAAATAACATCAAAATATAAAGAGAACATAAAAACAAATGGATGAAATTCCAATCACACGTTTTATTTACAGCCTGGAGTGGGAAATAGTCCTATACATAACATATTTTGGTCAAGTTTTCAACCACTGGACGACGTCTTGTTTAAAGAGATATGCGGTGGTTGCGTCTATAATATGAGGTGGAGTGGCTTTGGCTAATGGTAGTGGACTAATACAGTATAGATTACGTATAGATGATCAGTTTTACAGGGATTTTTGTAGATACTACGTCGTAAATGTAAAATGTCTAAATGTGGTGGATTTGAATTCCCAACTTAACTAACTTATAAACCGGCAATCCCGGTAAAATTGTATCAATGACAATAATCTTCGTTAGTGGAGGGAATACTCCGACGATGAGGTAGTTCCCCTCTATGACAGAACTTTGTTAAAACTTTGTTATATTTTTTATATATTAGAACTAGAAAACCTTTGTTATATTCTATACAAGTGAACTTACCAAAAGAGACGAGCTCCGAGCCCCCTTTTCCAGTCAATATTTCAACATGCTATCAATAAATATGATAATCAACGAATACTATGATATTTTATCCCTGAAATCAGTTATAGGATTCATTTCTGCTACTAAGTAATTATTCCCTGGATTAGGCTGTGGAGATAAATATTCTTTTATCTCTTTGATTTCCCATATCCTCTCTTTGTTGATATTTTCTGACGAACATAAACTTTGAAGGGTGTTCCAGGCGTATTTTCGTTGCTAAAACAAATAGTGATTTGTGTGGTTCAACTGGTGATTGGAACTGGGGCTTCAAGGGAAGAAGTCCAGCGCATTATCCACGAGAGTAGTCGCGTTTCTACTTGTTTTAACTAATTTAAGGAAACATCTAATCGTAAATCTCAGGAAATACCAGGAAAAAAACGTGACAATTTTCTTTTTTAACATCTTGAAATATCGTCTTTCTTGTAATTGTGATTGTCCCAACTTCTTTAAATGCGATTTTAAATTGCTCTCGACATTAAGCACGTTTTTATTACCTGTGTTTTCTGTAGGTGAATCATCGTTAACCTTGAAACACTTTTAGAGGTCATTACCCTATATGAAAAGCTTTGTATGATCTTCGTTCAACTAGTTCTTATTATTCAACAGCTCTTAAAAAAGTGATAGGCTAATTGACTAAATTAAACAATACAATGTTTGATTATATAAAAGTAATGTTTGAAAGGTTTTTGTATCTAAAAAAGGGCGTGTTGCCTTATTATGAGTTACCTCACTATAAGAACATTTCTCGTTGAGGAAAAGGGAGTCTGATAATGTTATTTGAGTATTGGTTAGTACCTTATCACAAGAGCCCCGGGTTTAAATCCAACCAGTCTCCTACCAATGTTTCTAATCGCATCGCTGTATGTGAATGCACAAGAATGAATAACATGACCATTGCATTCTCTTATTAATTGCACATCGACGTTTCAGGCTATGAAAAATATCCATAATATGTTGATTTCCTCCTGAGTGATGGCCTTATTACCTGCCTGGGTCTGTCTCAAAAAGAGAATTAACTTACTTGTGATTCCAGTACACATCCAATTCCCATGTTAACTGTATGGTTGGAGCCAGTGTCAGAATAAAAATGGACGTAACAAACATTAGCTCACTCTGGAAGCTTTTGACAGAGTGAGCTAATTTCTGTTAAACAAAGTTTCTTTAATCTATTCTTCATGAAAGACGATTTATTGTTAACCATAGCGTCTTTGGTGTCACGTCAACAATTGTAGTAACAAACAATTTTGACATTAGCACACTATATGAGAGGCTCCTTTGTGAAAAAAAAAAAATTGCTACAGATGGACTAGATAAATGGGTGGTAAAGTCAAAATCCCAGATAAACATGTAATTTATCAGCTGACTATATCTATCGGAACATATGGTGATTTGTTTCAGACCCCATAGTAGACTCATGGCCCCTAATGAGCAGCCCATGGCCTGTACTGTCCATCGTCAGTTTTTATCTCTACTTCGTACTCCAGTTGGGCCCGGCGCTCATGAAGACGAAACCAGCCTTCGACCTGAAGTATGTCATGATCGTCTACAACTTCTACCAAGTCGTTTTTAGCACTTGGATGTGCTTTAGGGTGAGTAATTTTGATTGATTTACTTAAATTAACTCGTCCTTCTAAGTTGTTGAAAGTGTAAACAAGTGATGTTGTGGAAGTTTAAATTGATAAACCAAACTTTTATTAAACAACAATGTACTCTGTAGGCAATTCAAAATTGTATAGAGGGATTGAATTGGTTCATGTACGGATTTAACAACCTGTTGCCTTCCCTCCTTCATCCCCAACCACTTGATGGACGAAATCGTTTAAGCAGGCGAAAAAGCTGAGCTATTGAACAACCTTTTGGCTCAGTAAAAAACTTCAGAGTCTGATTCTGAGTTTGTTTAATTTGGGTCCTTAAACACCTGAACTGTCATCCTTTCAGTATTTATACACTCTCTAACAGGTCAAAAATTGACAAATCCTTCATCCAGAATTTACTATAACACTAACTGACCCATCAAAATTATAAGTTTTGTCCAGTTTGTTTCCAGCCATCTAGATAAGCATGCATTATAGAACTCACAGACGAAGGCGACTTTCTTTATTAGAACAAGGCCCATTAAAACCAGTGCCACAATAACGATGATAATCGTTGTAAATAGTTTAACTCTATACAACTACGATAAACACAAAATTCAACACTATTGTTTGCGATAGTGACAAGTTCTGTTTCATACAGTCAATTATCAACTGACTACAAGATAATCACTGTTTTTCTTCTCCCAGCCTTTGGCTGTAAGACGACCAGTTCAAGGCTTGTTGATTACTTTCACTGCGATGTCACAATAATTTAATTACTGGAGACACCTAGCTTTAGTTTATCAGAACAACAATCAACGGTGGGGCGAAATGTGTCTTTGAAGGTTATTTTCACTTTATACATCTTACTACAAGTTAACTAGGTAATTAGAAATGAATCTGTGTTCAAGATCTGTGTCTAATTTTCTGACTTTGCAACAAATAATATCGATACGTGACGGAAATAGAAAGTTGTATTGGAGAGGGAAAACTAATTTTACTAGTGATTGTATCGACAAGATGTTTTCTTCATTCATTGAATTGGCTTTTACAGCTGTAATTACAGAAACTATTGTTTTTATTTCTCTATTTGAGGTTGGTGTTCCTTAAAAACTGTTTTAAATCGACTACATGATTAAGTGGAAGATTGTTGAGTCGATTTCGATCAGGTTATATTTACATTTCAACCATTTAAATCGGGTAATGCTGTTATAGATTTATGAATTCATGATTCAAAGAATTGGCTGTAAAATTATGGAAGCAACATTAACTATCTCGATTTGTTAAATTCCCATTCCACCATTAACCACAAAATACACACATGACATACCCACGAGCTGATGATGATGTCTCAAATGATGTCATAACACTTAGTGGATAAGCTGCACACTTTGTTCATCCCAGTACATAAGTTGATGACCAAAATCATTCATTTTGTAATATCACTCAATCAATAAAACATTAAATTATCTGAGGTAAAATTGAATTAATTGATCAATAATGACTCAATGTATTGTCCAATTGTGAAATTTAAGAACCGACGGATAAAACCGAGAGGACACTTTTTGTTTGGTCTCCAAAGAAAACACAAAGGTTTGTAGGTCACGGGGTGTTGCAGTGAAACCCTGCAGATTTCCATGGTCTTATTCCGTCTGAAGACCGTTAGATCTGTATTGCAATATCTGGGTCACGTGACAACGATCACGTGGTCATCGTGGGAGTTCGGGGCGCTCATTGACAGGGAAATAGGAAAAAGTGAAACTGAATGACTTATAAATAACTAGACTTACACAAGCCCTTTCACTTGAACCGGAACGAATTACAAAATCAGACCTAGTAACTTGGAGTATTTAAATCTTAAGGATTGAGGTCAGGTTTGAATAAATTGTGTGTCGCAAATGTGTACCATTATTCTCCAAGCGACATAAATAATGGTCATGACATTGTATATTTCATCACTAGGGCGTAAAGTGACTCTTTTCGATCCGACCTCAGGTTTTACGATCGAGGCGAAGCCGAGGTCGGAAAATTAGCAAGGGTTGAAAAGACACTTTTTGCCTGTGTGATGTACTATGGTTTCCGTCATATTGCAACATTTTAACAAAAATAAAGTTATGAAACGAAAATACTGTTCATGTAAAGATAACCTCTCTAAACGACTTCCAGCTGGTTTTCAATTTTGCTTATGCAAATAAGCAGCTGTTAAGTAAGTGATTAGATCATTTCGTCTATTACCAAAACGAAAGTCTTATGTACCTTATGTCTTATGTGTACCTTATACTATCGTTATGTCCAACTATTAACTAATGCAACAATAAGCTACAACCGATTAAATCAATCGATAAATAATTTCAATACATGCTATTGATGCTTACAATCGAAGTTTACAACAGCTGATTTTTACTCCCTAGGGACTAAAAAGGCCTTTTAGACCCGGAGGGGAGCTACTTTAGACCCACAACAAATGTTTTAAAATACCCCCGCCGCAGCAAACCTGCAGACTAAGCGAATTTCCATTTGCCTGATTGGATTTAGACTAAAATGTCTCCCTAAAAATATCACATTTATTCCCTATTTAAATAGAATTAGTTTAACAAGTACTTAGGTTTGCTGCATCAGGGAGGGTAAAACTGTTCTTTTTTTGTAAAATGTTAATAGTTAGTAAGAAATAAAAACATTTTCCAAATTTGGGCAAAATATGATAATAAACAAGCACACTACAACGGTTTACTTATTCTCCATAAGAATAACATAGGAATTTTAAATTAACAATTTTTTGGAATTTTCTCCGTAACCATTAGGCGCATTATAACGCTTCAAATTATTTGTTTTTTTAAGCTCTACAAAATAGTTTGGAAAGAAATTTCAAAATTTTATGTTTTTTGGGTCAAAAATAGGAAAAACCCATTTTACCCCATAAAAGCCCCCATAAATCCCTGTTCCCATGGTCCGATCATGCTGGTTCGCAAACTCGTTCGATTAAACGTAGGTTTACACGTTTGTACCAAATTTCATCAAAATCGGATCATTTTTGCTCGAGTTATCGCGCTAACGGACACATATATATATATATATATATATATATATGAATTTGAACGGATGGTGTTTTTGGCCTCTAGGGACCTCAAAACGAAAAAAAAGTCGGTCCCGGGTCCAGGTCTTACCATGAGTACTACGGTAATAGCTTATTCCCTAGGGAAATTCGCTAAAAACAACTGTTTTAGCTACAGTATGACGAAAACGTGGAAACTATCTATTTCTTACATGGAAAAGGGGTAGATAAATCTAAAATGTGGGATTTCTGAGATATTTTTTCTGTGTGAAAACTTGAATGATTTATGAATCAAGTTTATATTACTGTAAAATATTAATATTTTCGGCCTAAAATGATAAAAATAGAATGAAGAGCAAACACAAAACGGGCGAACGTTTAGAAAGTTTTCAATAATTTGTAGGTGGATACTTTAACATTCAGGCGGTAATATAAGAAACTATGTAAACCTACATCTTTTCATTGCATGAAGAAAGTAGTTAAGATATTGTGAGAGTGTTTGAATAATATATTTTACCATAAAAAATTCAAATCCAGTAAATTTTACAAGCACAAATACTACCAAATTACGAAGATTATACATTGATGTACAAATAACATTGATATAAAGTTTCACAAAATCGTGACACCATAATATGTTTGAACCTCTCATTACAAATTTTTCAACATAACTTTGTTTCAGCTTTTTACCACTGACCGTGCTATTCAATACATGATACAGCATGGGTGTCAACCTCTGTCTAAGGAACACAATCCAGTCCAAGACCCGGTAAGTATTTATTACTTTTGTGTTGTTTATACAATTGTACGGGAAGTAAATATATAACATCTAATCACACACTTGAAACGTATGTAAAATTAATTGAACTGTTAACCCACAAGACGGTAAGTACATATAAACATGATGCTGAGTGGTGATAGCTTTCGATTGAACACTCCAATCATCATCAGACCCAAAAGTCAAAAGTTTTACCCAATAGGTTTTGATCAAACTTTATTATTAAAATACCTTGCTAAATTTAGCCATTTTACAAATTCAGAACAGGTTTCATCTAGATACTACCTCTAGTATATCTGACGGAATAAACCATGCAAGTTAGATTTTCAAAAACGTTAGTGCCATGTTTGAACATCTTTCCTTGGATATTAGTCACCAGCTAAAGTCAAATTGTAACGTGTGTTCCTGTCTTGTTAAATGTATGATGTGATTGTACTTTGATTACGATCAGAGCACAAACATTAGTTCATCCAAAGTTTTAGTTAGCTAGTTTTAAAGTAGGGTGAAATAACAAGTAAATAAATAGTCAACATAAAATCACATCATACATTTAACAAGACAGGAACACACGTTACAATTGTACATCGTCAAGTGTACTTTTAATAGGGAAGAATATTAAGTTAACATCAACAAGCTCAAATCACCGAATATAGAGGTTATTTATGTATCTTTCTTTATTCTGTGCTCGCATGTAACAGTGCGTAAAACGCTCCTAAATATTTGTTCCAGGCATCAATAACTAGAAGTGAATTGCATAAGCAATAATATCCATCACATTCCATCTTGCACGGTTTAGTTTTTTCGTTTTCATTTTCAGTGTTGAAAAAATGTCTGTACACACACATATGGACAACCTGTGGTGTGAAAATTCTAAATAGATTTCACTAAAAAGTTATTTCTTCTGTTTACCTGAATTTCCTGCATGCTTGGATTCAAATATTCAAGATTTTGATCATTTTGTGCTTGTATTTTTCAGTTGAGAGAAGCTGCATGGTTTTACTTCGTGTCCAAACTGATCGAGCTACTAGACACGGTAAGCACACAAGACATTGTTTGTATGAATTATTTGATGCGCAAACAAAGACTACCGAAGTGGTTCTTGCAATGTCCTTGACTTTGTGTTGACTAGTGTGAAGGTTGTCTGAGATGTCCTCTGTGTATTTGTCCTGGTGATGAGTAAAATGCAAATTACAACCGGGCATTGGCTTTGTTTAATGTTTGGTTGCGATTGTTTGTTGTGCATTTGTTGATGGACATGTATTTATCATCTTCAATTAGTTCACGATATCCACATATAGTCGGGAAACTGCAATATAAAAGCAATTTTCTCGTATCGTACATTAAGGAGTGCAATGTAATGTGTATCATTCATTATTAAACTATTTAAACTGTTCATATTTTCAACCGTTAATAAAAAGGTTATCAATCTACTTAACATGAGTTAAATTGGAAAGATGATAAAGAAAAAATCGTACAACATCAATCGAAGATTTTAACAGAAGATCATATCAGCTATTTATTTTTAGCAAGTAGATGTAAATACAGTCGAAAGGAACATACTGTATTGTTATAAAATTGAGTACAGACTGCACATTGAAGACTCTGTTGCTGCACTTAAAAAATCCAGATGAACAAATAAGCATATTCTTTATGTAGCTCTGGAATACCACCTTTCATTGTTAAAAGTATTCGTCCACTCAAATTTGCAATTATTGGGTTCACCTAAATGGGAAATGAATTTAACATTATCTTTATTGCAGTTCTTCTTATTATAACATTCATTCATCTTTCGTTTAAGAAACTATACATTACACGATTATTTTCTGAACTTAGTTGTAGATTAAAACCGTGATCAATGTGCATAACTGTTGCAAATCTTGATATACTGTAATTGGTTGGATTTGTCTCTTGCATTGTTGACCTTGTCATGTATTTTATTGTGTTGAAGGTGTTTTTCGTACTGCGAAAGAAACAGTCGCAAGTAACATTTCTACACGTCTACCATCACAGCAACTTGGCCATATCGACCTGGGCCTACCTCAAATACGTCAAAGGTGACTATGGTTAATTAATTATACTATAGCATGTCAGCAAAACATGTGAAACACCTACATGAACCAAAACCACCATTACACACATTAATCAAGAATAAATCGGTTAAATAGTTAAAACAATGTTACTGTAAATAAAATGTTTGACTTTGATTAAGTTTTTATCCTACCAGTCTATTCATTTATAGCCAATTAAAAAGGTTTATACAATTTTGATCAAACCGATGTGATTTAAATCATATTTATCAATTATAGAAATTTTACAACAATATGGAACTAGGGCTTTAATCGTAATTATAATGGTTGACCACTTTTCTTGCTATAGCCTACAAGTAAAAATCCTGGTTTATGATCCTACTATTATGTAAAAGATATACAGACTCATAACCCTTGCAAAACACAGCTATGAAACAAACTTATAGCAATGTAAATAATACTCTCTAAACGTACACCAATAACTTATGACATACTAATCCTGTAAAGAACAAAATCCAAAATTGTTTTCCGTACACATTGATTACTACATCACTCCAAACTATTATTGTTGCAGGAGAACAAGGTATTCTCATAGGATTCCTCAACTCGTTCGTTCATGTAGTCATGTACCTGTACTACCTCCTGGCTGCCCTGGGGCCCTCCATGCAGAAGTACCTCTGGTGGAAGAAGTACATCACGAAGCTGCAACTGGTTTGTATTCAATTTCTTGACAGTTTGAGAGAGAATCGCCTTTTTGGCGTCAATTGCATCGTCAGATTATATTCAACACCACACTTTTCGCCCGTACTGTGGTGTAAGTGGTTTAGTGACAGTGAATATGATTTGACAACGAGAGGTTGATTTTGAAACACTATTGTCCGTGTTGTTAGAGCTGACGTAAAATTTCTAAGACAATAATATGTTTTACATACCTCCGTCAAATAGTTCATCAATTTAGATTGCTCAGTACCTAGAATGTTTCGTTGTGAATTGCAAGTTTTAAAATGTTGTCTTCACAACGAAGCAAGTAAGATCAATCTTAATCGTTTGACTATTTGACGGAGGTATGTAAACCCTATGATTGTCCTAATACTATAAGTCCAAGGGCCAGAAATATGAATTTTGGTTAAAATTTCAAGAATGTGATTGTACTTTGAAAGAAGGTAGCAATTCTTAATTGTTACATACTGAACTATTTTAGTAAAACATGATAAAGTCAAGAACTTTACTAAGTAAAACAACTAAACAGGTCATTATTCAGCTAGAAGCTACACATTGAGGGAGAACTTTTCATTGCTCATGGTTAAGAAAACGATACTGTAGGTTTTCTGACATAGATTCTAGATTATGAATTATTCAAGTAATGTATTACATAAGTAATCATATAGGCCTACGAATATTTCACGACTCATTAACTCAAATGAGCTTTCTTTTCTTCAATCTTAATTACACCTATAAATAGCACCTAGCGTAACGTGAACCTTATAAACGGGGTTACAAAGTCCAATACAATTGATAACTGAATAATTATTTAATAGCCTTGAAAGAAAATTGTTTCAATAAAACCAACCACCACTGTGAAAACAGGACATTTTATCCTTATTGAGTTTACTAAGGGTTCCACATTATTGAAACAAAGAGATTTGTCAAGTTTGTTAAGTTTATAAGGTGATTAAAAACTTACAATTTCAATCTCATATTATTTCACTAAGAAATGTCATTCTTATTGAGTTTACTAGAAAATCTTAACCTTATTGGGTGTACTACTGTATAGATTTTTTAACTTATCAAGGGGTTTGGAAATTTAGGCATATTTGAGTTGACTAGGCGATTAAAAATAGTATCAAGTTTACTGTGGAATTTAAAACTGTCATGTTTATAGTCGGAGAAATATAGGATATGACCTTTAAAAAATTGCAAGAAAACGTTTTATGGTTTTATTTTGTAGAGTTGGGTTTGCAGAATGATATACTAAAAGTTGCCAAAAATCGGTGCACGAGAAAACCACTAAAATCAGAATTTAAAATGGCGGCTATTTCCAACATTGGACAAACTAAAAAAACATTTCACATGCATTTGTTATGCACATTTTTCGAGATATTGACTTGGGACCACCGCCAGTATTTATTGGGTGGTTAGTACTTCATTTTTATAGGGAACATGTTTTTGGCCGCCATCTTGGATCCGCCATATTGGACATAGATATTTTTTTTCAATGTAATGATAGTGTTGTGACACATAATTACCAACTACATTTTTACACTGATTTCAATGCAGAAATCCGTTTTTAAATATCTTTATTCATTTAGAACATATGTTCAAACAAAAACTCTCCACCATACATTTCTTATTGACGTTTCGTAGTTTGATAATTTTTTTTAAACTATTTTTCTTATATCTCCAGTTCTTATTGACGCTTGTAGTTCGTTCTAGGCTTAAAATATTCAGTAATGTAAGGGCTTTCATTTGAGCTCTTGATCATTAAAATCAGACGAGTTGAAGACCAGCTAAAAATTTCAGAACAATATTAAATTTAACTTTTTAGAAATATATTTTTATTAAAAGATTTATAACTCGGGTTGTTAATACGTCACAAAGTTATTTCTGGTCTCAAATTACTCAGTAAATGTTTGGCTTTAATTTTATTGGTCATTAAACAAAATCTGACAATTTTAAAATTAGTCATGGACCATAATTTAACATTAAAATGTATTTATATTGAAATTTGTCTTTAGTTAAAGACATATATCCCCAATTCTAAATAATTCCCAAAACTCTTTATAGTCTTAAATAATTCGCCAAATTATTGACTTTTATTTTAGCTATGGATTACTTTCCGGGAGTTATTAGGGTTTGGGATATATGTCCTTAACTAAAGACAAATTTAAAAATAAATACATTTTAATGTTAAATTAAGAACCATGACTCATTTTAAAATTGTCAGATTTTGTTTAATGATCAATAAAATTAAAGCCAAACATTTACTGAGTAATTTGAGACCAGAAATAACTTTGTGACGTATTAACAACCCAAGTTATAAATCTTTTAATAAAAATATATTTCTAAAAAGTTAAATTTAATATTGTTCTGAAATTTTTAGCTGGTCTTCAACTCGTCTGATTTTAATGATCAAGAGCTCAAATGAAAGCCCTTACATTACTGAATATTTTAAGCCTAGAACGAACTACAAGCGTCAATAAGAACTGGAGATATAAGAAAAATAGTTTAAAAAAATTATCAAACTACGAAACGTCCATAAGAAATGTATGTTGGAGAGTTTTCGTTTGAATATATCTTCTAAATGAATAAAGATATTTAAAAACGGATTTCGGCATTGAAATAAGTGTAAAAATGTAGTTGGTAATGATGTGTCACGACACTATCATTACGTTGAAAAAAAATTATCTATGTCCAATATGGCGGATCCAAGATGGCGGCCAAAAACATGTTCCCTATAAAAATGAAGTACTAACCACCCAATAAATACAGGTGGTGGTCCCAAGTCAATATCTCGAAAAATGTGCATAACAAATGCATGTGAAATATGTTTTTTTAGTTTGTCCAATGTTGGAAAAAGCCGGTATTTTAAATTCTGATTTTAGTGGTTTTCTCGTGCACCGATTTTTGGCAACTTTTAGTATGTCCTTCTGCAAACCCTACTCTACAAAAAAAAAAAAACCATAAAACGTTTTCTTGCAATTTTTTTAACGATCCTTATGTAAGTTTGATTAGTTTGCTTGGACTATTAGCCTAACAGTGAGTTCAGACTTTGAATTTACACCATTGACACGATTGACAATGTAAAACTAATTACTCTTCTTTCTAATCCCATTTGAGCATTGAAGTAACAAAAACAATTGTAGGTCGTTCGTATGCTTATTCTACATATCTAGGTAATATTTAGGTACCCTTGACAAAGAGTTAAATTGGAGAACTAATATCTGGTGCAGGAGACAGCAATGGAATTGCAAACTCGTAAACTCAATTAACTACTAGCTTTGACTATTGCTACTAGGTACAAAAATACAAAATTATCATTGGCAAACAAAATGTAGCTATATAAAGTTGTGATCAACCCAATTTGGACATAAGGCATTCAACTTTGGGGCACCTCGAGTAAATCTAAAATTGGAATTATTGAACGCGTTCAGGCTAAAACTCTTAGAAGCATTATTGGCGCACCCTGGTTCATATCTAAACTATTAGAAACGATTTCAAAATCAAATAAGTCAAAGAAGTTATTTCAGACCATAGTAAAATTATCAAGAAAAACTTAAAGATCAACCAAACAGTCTGGCTGTTAGTGTTGTTCACGTGTTGGACCTAAAATACAGATTTAATTCAGACTTCGACTATTTAAGCAAGACGTGTCGATGGACAGGTGCTTGCTCCACACAGATTTTTTCTTAAGTATTTTACTTATTTTTCTAAAAATGTATTGAACATACTGTAAAATAAGTTCATTTACACACAATTCTACATATGACTATTTACATTCTTCCAGGGCCAGTTTATAATCTTCATCGTCTACCTTCTCACTCTACTCGCCTTCGACTGCAAGCTGCCCAAAGCGCTCACCGTCTATATGACCCTCAACAGCACCGTGTTCCTCTACCTCTTCAGCGACTTCTACAGGAAAGCCTACCTCAACAGCAAGAAGATCCAGCAAGCGTCCACATGCCTGCAGAAATCAAAATCGAACTAACGTTCCAAAAGTCACTAATTCTAGGTTATGTAAATAAATAATTATTTCTGTTTACGGTGATGTTTCATTTACCTTAATGGATGCTGAAGTATAGTTTGAGGTGAGTTTGAAACACGTTTAAATGAAAGTTTTATCAATTTTAGAGGTAATGTACGTGTCTTTATTTGACTGATTATTATCTCTTATGAGCCCACCTTTTACACTATTATTTAATACTGTGTAAATTACGGTTATGGTAATACGTATAGGGAGTATTAAATTTAATAATTGCAAGTGAGTCCCTCAAAAATGCTTTAAAAGTTAAAGTTAAAGTTTGCAGTTAAACTAGTACGAGCTGGTGGCCCGTCCTACGTACGGGAATCGAGTTGTCAACTAAAACGGAATAATTCAGAACATCTAGTTTACACGCATAGACACAAATTCTGGCAGTTTAGGGAAAGATCACCTTATAAACAAATGTAACGTGACCACCTATTTATTCCATTCGAATATAGACCTAAAATATGGCGATGTGCATTTTAAATCCGATAATTTTACCATAAAACAGCATTTGTGTTGATTTGAAAAATCTTGAAGTGAGATTGGTGACCGATTCACACTGGTTGTGAGTAGAGTAGCTACATGCAACCTCTAATTGCATACTGTACTACTTATGTACTTACCGTACCTTATCTTACCTCCGTGACCACTGAAAATTTTATGAGGATTCTCTTCTATCAACTGCCTCTTCAAAATTTAGATCCCAGTCTGAGGATGCATTTCATAACTTGATATTTCCCGTCTATCGTGTGGTACTCCTTGGAATATACTTTTTTAAAGTTTATGCAGAGCCTGTCCATCCAGGCTTTACCTACTTCTGGAAAGCATCCCTATGTTTGGGTGTTAACACATTTCTCTTAGCTCTCTGTTCTTTTTTATTTCGACCTCCGGGCCTTCGGGGGTTATCTTGAACTGGTCTGTATATTTTCTCTGCACTTTATTATCTAACCCAGCATTAAGGTTTTCGGATCTTTGGTCAGTGCCCAAGTTTCTGAATCATCAGTACTACGGGGATAGTTGGTATGGTATGAGTCGACTTTGGTTTCTGCTGCAGTTTATTTGACAGTTTTATAGAGACCTACTACACCGATTGACGCTTTCATTACTAACCAAAATTTTAGTATGCCGACATACTCACATTCAAACATACAGAAAAAGAAGTATCAACACGTAAACCACTTATATCTTAAACAATTAAGCGATAAACTGCTGACAAAATATTTCCCAAATATGAGTTGAAATTTGCAACGCACAAACTAAATACTTACACAGATTGCATTTACGACAAAACTTGATTAAACGCAAGTGTTTGAGATGTTTAGTTCAAAATAACACATTTCCTGATAACGCAGATCCTTCACGGTAGGGGAAAACTACCTACATTTTAAAGTGAAATAGTATGTAGGCAAACACCAACGAACAATATTTTTGTAAACAAACAACTCGTAACATAAACATTTCAATGACAGTTACAAACCAGCTGTTAGTTAAACCAGCATTGAAAATACTTTAAATTGCTAGCGTCGGCTACTAGACTTTTTAAAAGTTAAAACTTAATTTCTAAAAAACTGAAACCCTAAACTAAAATTATGGCTTCGACATTCCCTAGTTCTCAAAATTACCTTTCTTTCAACACAAAAATCATGAAAATCCGTCAAGTGGTTGATTCAGAATCGTGAAATAAAAAAATCCTGTTTCGTTTTAATATTATAGATATAGATAGATAGAAGCATAGACTAGTATGTTTTATCTATGATAGAAGATAGATGTGAGGTTGTCCCAAAATTGCCCTGTATTTTTAAAACTCAATTATAATGCACATAGACTATTCATTTCGCACTATTACTGAATTATGTAATGTAAAACAATGTTCCTATATTACCAATAACGAACTTGTTGTAAGTGAAGTAAAGTAAGTATCGTAATAAGATTGAGGGCTGTGACATTTTGTCTTTTCGTTGCCAACACGACAAAACAGTAAATATAGTTACTTAGGCAGGGTGCACACTGGAGAAACCCGTTTCAGGAAACTGGTTTCATCAAATTGGTTTCAAGGAAACCATTTCTTTAACAAATGCACACAGAAGAAACGGGATTCCATCAGTTTCGTGATATGAATTCGGATGATGATGATGTGACTTATGAATTCGAATGATGATGATGTGACTATATTGGTGATGGCTAAAGAAAACTAAAAGAAGGAAGTATTGGGTTCACCCGTTGATTAGGGATGGTCAACACAGTACTTACATTGTAGCTCGTTAATTATGCAGTAATCCTGTAATATTTTTATATTTTTAAGAATGCCAAAGCCTCTTTTTGAACGTTTAGTGGAATTACTTAGCCCACTAATAAAAAAGAAGGACGCCAACCGGAGGTTAAAGGCCGGTTTTATGCACCACGACAGTCGCGTGTCGCGTGTCGCGGCGCGACTCAAGTTCTATTGAGTTAAATGGGAGCATTTATGCACCGCGACAGCGACAAACTGCCGCGGAGCGACTCTTAGGCCGGTTTTATGCACCGCGACAGTCGCGTGTCGCGGCGCGACTCAAGTTCTATTGAGTTAAATGGGAGCATTTATGCACCGCGACAGCGACAAACTGCCGCGCGAGCGACTCGGAGATCTCTAAATACCCGCGACAGGTTTTAGAATCGCAGCTTCAAAAAATGTGTCGCGCGCGGTTCAAGTTCTATTGGATCAAATGGGCACGTTTATGCACCGCGACAGTCGCGGCGCGACAGTAGTATTTTTTATACTCCACGTGGTATATTCTCCATATATTTATATTGATTAATGTTAATAATTAGTATATAAATGAGTTCTTTGCCATTTATTTGTAATATAAATTACATCATTATATTATGTAATGACATTTTTAAGAGGGTTGACCCAATTCCAGCTGTAAATTGTATGTGTTGTTTAAATAACTGGGGGTTCAAGTTCAAGTTCTATTGGATCAAATGGGCACGTTTATGCACCGCGACAGTCGCGGCGCGACAGTAGTATTTTTTATACTCCACGTGGTATATTCTCCATATATTTATATTGATTAATGTTAATAATTAGTATATAAATGAGTTCTTTGCCATTTATTTGTAATATAAATTACATCATTATATTATGTAATGACATTTTTAAGAGGGTTGACCCAATTCCAGCTGTAAATTGTATGTGTTGTTTAAATAACTGGGGGTTTGTCATTAACGTGTACAACACTACAGGGTCTATATTTAAACAACTTAATAATCACTTCTACATCACAAACACAACACACAACATTGGATTGAGAACAGACTGATTTCTTTAATTCCCCCACCACCGGATGTGAGTTTACGCGACAAAAAAGTGTCGCTGTCGCGTGACATTTTTGTCAGCCGCAAGACGTGGCGCGACTCGCGACTCGCAACTGTCGCGGTGCATAAAACCAGCCTAGCTCTGTGAGCTGAGGAAAAATAACAATACATTGAGGTAAGTCAAGAAAACCAATAGAAACGTGAAACTGAAGCCTATACGAAATCTGTTTTTTGGATTTCATGTAAACCAGTTGCAAGAAACAAATGAAATCACAGTTTCATGCAACGCAGTGTGCACTACCCTGTGTTAAACTAATCCATCTGTTGCGAGCAACTAAAGTTTCACGTTTCATGAAATTGGTTTCCTGAAACGGATTTCTCCAGTGTGCACCCTGCCTTAATAGTAAATAGTTTATTTTCTCCCCATACGCTTACTATATGGAGAAAGTATTGTCTTCTTCAAAACTTTCGAGTTTAAGTATTGAGTGGCTATTTTAATTTTTGGCCCCCTTTACCATAAAAAGTGGCTTTCGAAGTGATGCCTGTCTGTATGTGTCGAGCTGCCGACCACACCTTTGGTCCGATTTTGATGAAATTCAGAATGTATGTACTATATTTGGTATGTATCTCCAGGAGTTTTTTTTAATTTATTTAAATTTTGATTTTTAATGTAAAAAAAACTAATTGAAAAAAACGATTTTCCCTTAAAACCCCAGAAAATGACGGAAATATCTTTTTTTTTCGGAAATGGCCCGAACGAATTTGATAAAAATAAGTAATAAGTAATTTAATAATAGTGGGGAGGCGAATGGCCAAAATTCCAAAGTTGGCTCACCCCGAAAGGTAACCGGTGAACACTATGCTAGATGATATTGTATAGTAGTAGAGATGATATTTTGACCGGTGTTCACTCTGTATGAGTGGGACTCTCTTTTCTGGACGCCATTTTCCAATCTGGCGGATGTCACTGTTTGATCTTTGTATAACTCGAGCAAAAATGAACCGATTTTGATGAAATTTGGTATGAACGTTTAAACTTACATTTATTCGAACGGGTTCACGAACTAGCATGATCTGATCATAGGAACGGGGGTTTATGGGGGTTTTATGAGGTAAAAATGGGATTTTGTTATTTTTTGCCCCCAAAGCACAACATTTTCTTATTTTCCTCTAAACCATTTTAAAGAACTTAAAAAAACAAATAATTTAGTATATTAACGTACTTTTGTACCCTTATTGGTTACGGAGAAAATTCAAAAAAGTGTTATTTTAAATTCCCATGTTATTCTTATGGAGGATATAGTCAACTCTTGTAGTTTGCTTGTTTATGGATATATTTTGATCATACTTGGTAAACTTATTTATTTATTCTAAGATATTAATATTCTACTAACATTCACGCTTTATTAGCCTCCCTGTAACAGCAAACCTAGGTACTCGTTAAACCTAATGTAATTTAAATTGAATTAATTTAAAAACGAATCAGGCAATTGGAAATCCACTTAGTCTGCATTCGCATTGGTACCTAAATTACTGTACGTTGATTGAATTATTCCAAGCAGGTTGTTTCTTTTTTAATTTTCCTTATTGCTATTAGTTCTGTATCAAATATTGGTTTAAATACAGTAAAAGAAAATCTTTGATATTGAAAATAGAACCTGCATTTATAAATCAGGAATTCTGTAATTTACAATAGCGAAAACAGTCACCTACAGTAAT